GTCCGAAGTGGCTCGGATTCGTGGGAAACGAAACTGACGTGGTAAATCAACGCTTCCCGCACCCTAGATCGGTGCGTAATTAGGTATTTTACAGACCGGAGTAAAAAAACAATATTATTGAATTGGTGTAGGATGAAACATGTTGGGATACCGATAGGATATGAGAGCAACACTACTAAAGAATCAAGAGTATCATCTCACATTCATTAAAGAGCAAAAATTAAAACAAATGTAACAAAATATCAAATGTAAAAAAAATGTTCGTTTCGGCTGATCAAAGTCAAAGTCCAGACTATACTGACAAAAGTTGTTTAAAATAAATTACTATCGTTCGGTGGATTTTTTTGTCCCAGTAGTCTTGTTTGCGATAAATCGACTAATCTGGCAACCTGCCGAATATTATGCGAAAGTTGCCGATTTGCGTAAACCAATACACACAGAAAATATAATATAATAAAGGAGTCCCAAGAAAAGGGTGCTTGACGTACAAGATGTTGCCACGAAGCGTGGTATATTGAATTACTTGTTGTTCCAGGTCAAACACAATTCTCGAAAATTTAATTACACAACATATTTTGCGTGATTCTACTATCGCAGTTTGTTATAGATATGTTACCGAAGTTATGTGGTGGAAAGTTTATGGACCAACGCCTTATACACAGTTTAATAATATACAGTACTATAAAATATTGATACCTAATATTTTTTTACAATGTTCCATTGAGGTGTTTAGTACTAATAAAATAATCGTTACTTAACAACGAGACAGTGAAGTTTGTTGCAAGTCACATGTATAACACGAACTTTGATATAAAGCAAACATGTGACAATTAATTAATTAATTAAGTAATTGACTGAGTGTGTCCCATGTATTCTGCAACTCTGTAAAAACAATTATCAGGTCAGTCAGTATTCAACCTGCATCTTCAAGAAACAATTAAGTCAAATGATCTAGTACTGTTTTGTAATGTTTGTTTATATAGTGTGCCTGTATAATTATCACAAAGATCGCATAACAATATTTAATGAAAATCGATTCGTCTTCCTGCTCTTCCGGTTATAGAATGTTTCGTTAAAGTCTCAATCCTAATCTTTATTAATTGAATAAATAAATATATGCCCGATTCCTGTTTCGTAATCGTAATGTTACGTTTTTAAACCTACCAAAATCGTTCGGGTTCGTCATATCCAAAGATTTAATTAAGTAAGTCACTCCGCTAAAAACGTAATGGAACTAATCATTCATTTCGACCAAAATAACGAAATCACTAACTGTTTTAGTGACACATTAGTATTCACTATACACAGTACTCATAAATATATAACGTCTGTTTATGTTGGTGAATTTTATATTTTCGCGTTGTGCGCTTTTTCTTTTCGACTGACTGACTGGGGAGCGGCGCTTCGCCATCTGTGATTGCCGCGCACCCGAGTTTCTTAGAACGCGTCCAGCCTATTCGATTCGCTCTTCACAAGAATAAGCGAAAAGATAGAATAAGCTAGTTCCTTGAATATTGACAAGGCGTCAATTAATATACAACTACCCCTAATATTTCACCTTTCACCGATTCCAATAAACGAAGCTGCTTTCACCCAAATATATGGAAAATAAAAATAATTTTCCGAGACCATTAAAGATAATTGCAATGGTGGAATGATAAGAAATACCACACTGAAAAATATCAATGGGTTGCACTTTTGGTTTGAGCGGAATTTAATGTATTACAAACGCACAAAATTGGTTTTCGCAACATAGAATAATTTTGTACTATTTTTCATTTCATTTCGGGTGGTTTTGAAAATTTACTAGGTTACCTTGTATTAATTGCAATTATCATTTAATGATATCAATAAAGCTATCCTAGTTTTGCAAATAGGTTTCCTAAAAAAATAGTGACACAATTCAAACTGTGGTGTCAGCATTTTTAAATTTTTAGAATTAGAGTTGGTGATAGGTAATGTGTAATCTTTAGGTTTTTGTCTCTGATTATGATAAACTACGACACTTTTGTTTGATAATATATTTTGCAACAAGTTTGATAAACGCCATTTTAGTCACAAGTTTGATTACACGAGTGCACACTCTGACTGACGTGTGACGTATCCGTCAGAACTGACAAACGTCAAATTATCATGGGTTTTGTTTAAATAGTATAATTATAATATATTATAATTTTTTTTTGTAACTCTCAATATTCAATTTTACAATGCAATTTTGCAATGCACTGACTTGTTCCTAACTTTGTCAACTTCAATCCAAGGGATATTGACATGAAAGTTTCATTATTAGAGATGGACTTTAACACTTGACTTTTGTCTGATTCTAAATTTTCCTCGATTTTCCCATATCAAAGAGAATCTTTCGTTTCGGTTCATATGGAAAATCTTTATGTTCAAAGTAAAGAATATCGCATCAGTTCGATTTAAACTTAAAAGCTTTTTCATGAACATCGCCTTCTCGAGAGCTTCGGCGAGATGTAATAATGTTACATTTTACAAATGATACCATCGCCTTGGATGGACCTATAGACTAGAAATGCAGATAAAAACTAGGAATCAGTTTAGACGGTCACTAAATAATGAGAAAGAAATCCTTGGTTCATTATGCAACAAGTGCGGTAAACGGCATTTGACTCACGAGTTTGTTTGACACGAGCTGAGCGAATTTTGAATAAACAAGTGAGTTAAAAAGTTTACCGAACGTGTTGCATACTATACTTTTTCTACGACCATTAGTTTTTGGGTCCATTATCGCAAAACAACACGAATACATTCACTGACATGACCGTCAGAATTGACAAACGTCAAAATATCTCCGAAAACATCCGATTGCTCGCAAATCCGTACGTTAAAATCCCGGAAATGTCCGAAGTGGCTCGGATTCATGGGAAACGAAACTGACGAGGTAAAGTGATGCTTCCCGCACGCTAGATCGGTGGGTAATTAGGTATTTTGCAGACAGGAGTAGAAAATAATATTTTATGCAACAAGTGCGGTAGACGGCATTTGACTCACGAGTTTATTTGACACGAGCGGAGCAGATTAACAAAATGAGACATTCAAATGTATTGCTTAACGATCAATTAAATTTAAATACCTCTCCTTTTATGGTCATTTTTCGGTATATATAGTAGCGGGTAGTTTGTAAATAGTGCATTTGATAAAGACACGGTGTTGTCGAAACAATTGTCATGCCAAAATATATAATTTCGTAAAAATCTGAGCTTTTAGTTCTTGTTTATTTTGATAAATGGATTTTCATCAAGTAAAAGCCACCTCAGTTCAAGACCTTATGTTCTCTGGAATAATTATTTTCGGCTTTATATTTTTTACTCGGTACTCGGCTACTACTATTATTTTAAATCTGTATCTGTACATTTTTGTTTTTGTTGCATTGTGTACATATACCGGCTGGAATCAGTCTTTGACCTAACTGGAAATCACCATTAATAGTATATTATGCAACAAGTGCGGTAAACGGCATTTGACTGATGAGTTTATTTGACACGAGCGGAGCGAGTGTTTAATAAACGAGTGAGTTAAAAGTTTACCGAATGTGTTGCATACTATACTTTTTCCACTACCGTTAGTTTTTGGGTACATTTTCGCAAAACACTTATACATTCACTGACATGACCGTGACAAACGTCAAAATTCAAAGCGTGGGAAATATCTCCGAAAACATCCGATTGCTCTCAAAACCGTGTGGTAAAATCCCGAAAATGCCAAAATCCACGGCAGGCGAAGCGGCAGGCTAGATGTTTATGGTTAACGAGTCGCAGCAACTTTTAGAAAATTTGGTCTTCTTCTAGACAAAATTATAACGAACTTTATCAAGACAACCACTAATTTTGATGTTAGCATTATATTGGAACGGGCTTCCATTAGAAAAAACTTTTAATTTTTACATTTACTGGGCTCCCATGAACTTGTAAAAGTCAGCGAATATCCTCCAAGTCGAAAACTTAATCAACCTGATTTTTGCCTCTATTTTCATTCTTTTAACTTTATGCTCTAATTATTTTGTTGGAATAACTATTTTTTCTTTGTTTTGAGTTGTACCATCCCCAAAAATTAGAAACTAACATTATTATTATGTATGAATAGGCACGTCTTTTCAGCACTTAATAATTTTCGTACTAGTAAATATGTATTGATTTTGAAATTAATTAAACTTTTTGCTGTTCTGATTTTGTGACATAAAATAAAGTGCTTTTAATGAACTATATATATTTTCTTTTTTAAATAGTTATTAAATATCTTCTCATAGTGTTCATTTTTTCTCAAGGGCAGGGCTATGAAAAAGTTATGTTCTGTATATCGTTTTTGTTTATTATTTGTGGAACGGTTATTGATACCTAAATAAAATTTAGACCGCAAATACCTCTGCTTGGTCGCAAAAGTTACAGCTGGCAAAATTTAACTTCAAAATAATTTACATTATTTTTGATTCATAGTTGTTTTTGAAACAATTATTATTCCCTGGGTTAGTTCATTCTCACGTATAAAAAATACTTAAAATATTTTTTTTATGGAAAACTGTTAAAAAAATAAATAAATAAAATTAAAAACTAGCAAACAAGCAAAACAAGTGACATCGCCGCCCCTGTACAAAATATTCAATTTTCGTTGGCATTAACTTTGATGGTCCAATAAAAGATATTTCATTTCATTTAGGTTAGGTATCTTAAACCGTTTCAGAAATATTGAAAAAAAAAAACGATTTTTTGGGGTTTCTTTTTACATCTTCGGAATTAGGCGTTTATTAACCAAACAATAGTTATTTTTTAATATTCTATTTATCCTAAATTTTTTTGAAACAGTCTGTATAGAAAAGCGTGTTTTGTGGCAGAAACTGTAATTTTATTTGAAACTTCCGAAAGAATCAGGGATTTTGCGAATAAAGATTTGATCGGAATCCTGCCGTGTCTCCGTTTGCGAATATCCCAAACTCCAAACTCACAGGATACTCTTAAAATATACGTGGTCTTGCATTACAGAGCGCAACCGAGGAGGCAACGGACCCATCGGCAGCATGGTGAATACCGGCGGCTCCTTCGAACCCAACATAGATCGAAATGGCAAGACGCGTTGCACACAGGCGCCCGATGCTCCCGGACCGTCGCAATCTTCGAGTCCCGTTACGGCCGGCGTCGCGACGTTGTATAAAACGGACTCGTCGATTGATAGCACGGCGCTGCCATCCACTGCTGCGACGAAAACCTCTTTCGAGGACAACGACGCGGTTTCGTTCAAAAGTTCGTCGTCCGAAAGGGAGGAAAAGGCCACCACTCTGTGTTGCAGCTTTCCGCTGGAAAAAGTCCAAGGTGTCCTTCTGCCGTCCTCCACCAAATCCCAAAGGAAGTTGTTATGTCTGTTTTGCGAGCGATCGTTCGTTAGCTCCAATCTGAGACAGAAGCATGTGGAACGCGCGCATTCCGTGAAAAGAAATCGACGCGTCAGCGTGCGCAGGCAAAGTCAGCTGAGCGCGATCCCGTGCGCTTATTGCGACAAGCTGAACGTGTCCGAACACACACTCAATGATCTCTTCCGGCACATGGTCGCGGAACATCCTTCCAAGTATTTCGGGTGTCTTCCGTGCGAGGATAGGTTCGGTGCCTTGGCTCAACTTGAAGCTCACAACTCGTCCAAGCATGAAATTCGTTCCGCCACGGGCGTCGCGACAGACTCCTCGGACCACCACGTACAGTCTTCTGTGAGTTTCAATAGGGAATAAAAAATTCTATCGCATAGGTTGTCAAAATTTTTATAAAACAACTTTCTTTGTTACGACCAATGATTCAATCGGCGGACGAGGCTAAAATTAAAAAAATGTCGTGTTTTTGACGCCCCGTATATAAAAATTTCCAACATTTCAGAAAAATTCAACAATTTTTTTTAACAAATAAATCCAATAACTATTGGAGACCGCAGGAAATAAAACGACCGAGATTTGCCAGCAGGGAACGCTCTGTAAGGCATTGAATTTTTTTTTGCGCTGTTCTGCTGTCACAATGCGTTGCTCATGTGAAAACTGTTCAATTTAAAAATATTTATATTTTTTGGAGGCGCTCGAAATCAGTACTGAAAAATGGCTTACATGGTGTCCAAAATTTACCAACTAATTACATCATTTTTAAAGATGCCAAACTTCGTTTTTTTCAAGGTATGATGCACAATCTAATTCTTCATCGATTGACTGTGCCGGTCGTTATACCTATTATTAATGGGTTTCTGACTATTTTATTTACTTCAGAAGAGTCAAGGAACTGTGGAACGGTCATGCAGTTTACCCTATCTGTAGCGCTTGGATTTTCCACCCCTTGGCTGCACAAAAAACTAGAAAAAAGAACTAGTGCACTCTTTCGCGGTCGGAACAAAACGCAATGTAAGCCCTGTATATGAAACGCGTTAGCGAAAAAACCTGTAATTTCTGAAATTTTCTCAACCGAACAAGTTATCTAGGTCATTTTGGTTAAGCGACAGGCAGTACGAAATGGACAAACAAGTGAGATTATGTGTAGCATCGGTTAATTTCTTTTACTGCAAACATAAAGCAAAAATATCGTAAATTTTGTAGTATTTGGTGAGAATTAGCAAAACGTTAAATAATTTCTGCTATCACAGTCGGCCAATTTTTCTGGTGTTCGTGACTTTTATGTTATTTTTTATGATGCCAAACAAGTGAAAATCCCCAAAAATGCTTAAAGTAACAAAGTAACAAAAAGTATCCTAAAATATGCTCTGAAAAATTTTCAAAAATCAGAAATATATGCAATTTACTGAGTGATTCAAATTTAGTTTTTTTAAATAACGAGCGTAACCTCATCCACCCTTTTTATTTCACATGCCTTTTTTGTCATAATAAGGTAGAAAATATTGTTTAAATAACTTTTATAGAAAAAGTTTTTCTCTGTCTGTATTCGTTCACCAGCTGAGAAGTCTGCTGCTTTTTCTCGATTGGGATCTTAACTTATAGATAAGAACTTATAGATAATTTATAGATAAGATAACATAGATAAATAGAGACGAAAGTGATTCGTCCACACCGAAAAAGTATAATTTCTTAACCTCCCCCTCATCAAACGAATTTAAAACATAATGTATATATAGTACTGGGTTGGTCACCACTGAACGCTTTTTGTAAAATCCATGCTGTTCCACAGTTTAAAAATCTAGATAGCTACTGGAGATAAAAAGACCCTGTCTATGCTGATAATACAGGAACTTATGAAGCAACCATGAAACATTTTTTGACAAGGTCTATTCAAACCAACCAACATGGCTGCTAACAAATTGTCAATAAGTTTGTATGCTGCATTTTCCCGGAAGTATTTTCTCAAAATACATCCAGATCCCATTAAATCTTCAGACAACAAGGAGTTATGTGCACGGATATCGCCATTTAGAAACAAAATGGCGAAAACTGCAGGTTAGTGGGTGAAATGCTCGTGAAAATATCATAGCCACCTGAGGCATATCAATTTTTACTGGTGAACCAATAAATATAGAGAAAAACTGTCTATAAAAAGTTGTTTAAGAAAATATGTTCTGCCTAACAAAAGCAATGGTGTTGTTGTGACAATAAAAGTGTGGATTATGTCCCATTCACTATTTTAAAGAAAATTCAAAGTGCTTGTATGTGGGGCGCCAAGTTTAAATCACACTTTACTTTTTCGAAGAAGCGGCAACGTTTCATCGATCGATAGAGCGTTGTCGCTTATATGGACGACCAAATTTTAAGAACGACCAGAAATTTCTTCAAACAAATTTTAACCACTTAGTTCACTTTAAAAATAAACGTTTTTAAGATAAAACGGAATTAAGCAATAAACAATATATGCCTCGAGTACTGTATTCTTTCTTATATTTGATATTTATTCTAATATTCATGGTTACCTTTTAAAAATCTGGCGAGATTAACTTTATTTATTACCGAAGACTTTTACTTGCAAAAGTAAAGTTTTAGGGCCATTAAGACAGTATTACAAACAAATCATTCCAGTGTTGCCAGTTTGGCTATAATGTTCAAAAATAACATTTTTTAAATGACAATCACACTTTTAGTTGGAAAAATCTGATGGTTCAACTAAATGAAACTTCTTGATTTCTTGTTTCATTGGTTTAGTGAAATTTATCGATAAGGTAAGTAAAAATTTAACCACGGTAATATGAAACGATCATTATGAAAAAAGGAAATTTATCGACAACAAACTAACCACTGAAACCAGTGAAAAAAAAAATTATCACTAACTACTGCTTATTGGCTTTTAACCAATAAAATAATTAGCAAACGGTTTCCCAATTCAAAAAGTTTTATTCATAATTAAAACGCTCTACCAGATGTTCCAAATAGAAAAGCGAAGTTGTCCTTTAAGCAAATATTATTCTTGAATGTTCTAGCCAAGCTGGCAAAGCTGGTATGATTTTTCTAGTATTTATAGTATAAGTTATTAATAAAAAGTAAAGTAACATTAGCGCTTCCATTCTGAGGTTTCTGAATTTAAGTACATAAATTACATTCCTGATAAATTACAAAAACAATATAGATACCTCAGATATGGAAACAATTTTTCCCGCCCAAAAATCAGTGATGCCAGTTTTACTAATAATTCTACCTATACGAAGGGGTACCCATAAAAAACCGGAATTGGATTGCCGCGCGCAGAGCTTGTATAGTACACTTTTCTGCCGCTAGGTTGTGAATAGTACAACTTAGTGCGAGTTCAACGCCACCTTCGTTTTAAATTTAACTTGTTTTGTTCACTTGCAGTGCCATTTTTTGTTAACGCTGTTTTTTTGTTATTTCGTTTTTTTCGATGGCAAGTTTAAAAGAACAACGTGCAGCTGTGAAATTTTGTTTTCTGCTCGGTAAAAGTGCTGCTGAACCTGTTTCAATGTTAAAAACAGCTTATGAAGACGATACGATGGGAAAAACTCAAGTTTGTTCGCTTCAAAAATGGCGCCGAGTCAATTGATGGCCGACCTCGTTCTGGACGTCCATCAACTGCTCGAATCGACGAAAATATTGAAAAGATTCGAGAGTTTGTGCTCACAGACCGTCGACAGACAATTGAACAATTATCAAAGATTAGTGGGTTGTCTTGGAGCACGGTTCAGCGAATTTTAACCCAAGATTTGGGAATGAAAAGAGTTGCTGCCAAGTTTGTTCCTCGTGTTCTGACTGACATGCAAAAAGAACATCGAGTTGAAACAACAGCTTGAAACGGATCCAGATTTTCTTTCAAAGACCATTACTGATGACGAGTCATGGTGCTATGGTTGCGATCCAGAAACGAAGCAACAGTCCAGCCAACGGAAGACGTCACTGTCTCCCCGTCCAAAAAAATGTCAGGTCAAATCAAATATCAAAACGATGCTGATTTGCTTTTTCGACATCAACGGCGTAATTCATGCAGAGTTCGTTCCACCAGGTGAGACCGTTAATCAAGCTTTTTATCTGGAAGTTTTAAGAAAATTGCGCAACAGTATTCGACAAAAAAGACCCGATTTGTGGCGACAGGGGATTGGTTCTTTCACCACGATAATGCACCTGCACACACAGTCATTTCTGTTAAGCAGTTTTTGGCTAAAAATGGCATGGTTCCTCTGCCCCATGCACCTTATTCGCCTGATCTCGCTCCGTGTGACTTCTTCTTATTTCCACATATGAAAAGGGACATGAAAGGACAGGCGATTTGACAACATTGAAGAGGTTAAGAAAAAAACGAGGGATGAGCTGTCGGCTATACCCAAAGATGAATATAAAAAATGTTTCAAACAATGGAAGCACCGCTGGGACAAATGTATTAGTTGTAATGGAGAGTATTTTGAAGGGGATGAGGTAGTTCTGTGATTTTCAAAACAATATATAGTTTATAAAAAATGATTCCGGTTTTTTTGGGTACCCCCTCGTACTTCTTGCAGTCTGCAACAAAAGTGTCAGCATATGCGATGCCGTTATGAAGACAGAAACATTAATTTATAAATCAGCGTTTTGGTAACAAAATTATTGTTTTAAATATGTCACAGGTAGCGATACTTCAATTTTAACCGTGAAGATAAAAGCTGTTATTACACAAATTACCCAGGTCTACAGTTATTTTGATGTTTGAAAGCTATTTCCTTATTTGTATATTTTTGGGCCCCTTTTTCCAAAAAGGGACATGTTTTTGGTCTATCACGTCATTTTTTATAGCGCTCTATATCTTAAAAAATGTTATTTAATTAATATAGGTACATGTCAGAGATGACATGAATATGTTTTTTCTATGTTAGGCATGATTTTTAAATGAATTGATTTTTATGAAATTAAATATGATTTGGCAACACTGGATATTAGCAACAGAGTTGGCGCAGAAGCGCCAATGCAGCGTTGTAACCTGCTTATGCGCAGTTTGGTTGTATTGGTCGTCGTGCTACTGTGTTCGCGGCTGTTGTCTTCGTTGTTGCGTATTTCTACTGTTCTAGATCGTATAAATTTGGATAAAAGACATTGAGTGAACAATCCAAATAATTTTCGTTATATCTGTGGTAGTTATATCGTAGTCAAGCAAAGGCAAACTATAACTTCTTTTGTGAAAAATATATACCACGCTTATCTTGGTGTAAAAATTGGTGACTCAGACAAGTCGAGATCCCAGGAATCACAGTTATGATTGTTATTTTTGTTCGTGTAATGTTCAAGGATTCGACAGAAAAAATAAAAAACAAATTGTGTATCCCAATCTTGACTCTGCTATTCGACCAGCTCCTCATGGACCAGAGGTACCGATACCTACTGGCCAAACGAAATGGAAAACGTCATATCGTCAGAATCAGAGAAATCTAATTTCACACCAGATTTCAGAGAGCCCGCAGTGTATAATCAGAGCGAATTAAATGATTTAATTAGAAATTTGCACCTTCCAAAGAATGCACCCCAATTGTTAGCGTCCAGACTTCGTGACAAACATTTACTGGTACCTGGTGCCACTTCAAGCTTTTACCGGAATCGTGAAAAAGAGTTATGGCAATATTTTACTCAGGAAGGACCGCTAGTGTTTTGCAATAATATTTCTTACTTAGTTTCAAAATTAGGAAATGTGCCGTATATAAGAGAATGGCGCCTGCTTATTGACTTAAGTGAGCGTAGTTTAAAAGGCGTTTTATTGCACAATAGTAACGAACTGGTCTCGGTTTCCGTTGCACATTTGGTACCAAAAGGATCAGTGGATGCTTTGTGGTGGCCTTAAGGTGATGTAGAACAACAGGGAGCGGGGGATTTTATATGCAATTTTAATGCTTTATGTGTGAGTGGAATAGTCGGGCAAGAGAGACATTGCACTCAAATGGAATGGCCCCCTAGAAGAAGCTTTACACCTGGTAGCAAAAATGTATTAGTTGACCTCAAAAAAGTTTTACTGTTTGCTCTTGATATCAAAATTGACTTAATAAAGCAGTTTGTTAAAGACCTAGACAGTGTTTCAAATATTTGTGCAAGAAATTTCCAGTCATATCTGATACCAAGATAAAAGAAGGTATTTTTGTTGGGCCGCAGATAAGAACATTATGCAAAGACAAGGATTTTTAAAACACCAATGTCTAGAAAAACACCAGGGTTTCATTTAAAGAAGTAATTGTTAAGTTTCTTGGGAACTCTAAGGACGGAAACAACGAAAGTATTGTTCAAAATATGTTACAACACTTTCATCTAGGTTGTAATATGAGTTTGAAAGGGCATTTCCTGTTTTCACACTCCAACTATTTTCCTGAAATCTTGGAGCAGTTAGCGAAGAACAAGGAGAGAGTATTCACCAGGACATTAAGGAAATGAAGCGGCGATACCAAGGCAGATGGAGCATAACGATGATGGCGGACCACTGTTGCATGTTAAAACGGGATATACTCTTAAAAACACACAGCCGAATGTCCAGAAAACGCAGCTTTCTGACAAAAAGATAAAGATTTCACTCAAAGTCTGAGTAAAGTTTTTTTTTCACTTTTTTTAAACTAGGATTCCATATTTCCTTTTTCCTTTATATTTGCAAAAAAAACCTTTACGCGATTCAAATAAACGCATAGAATTTTTGAAATCAGCCTACCAAAATTATATAAAATTAGTTTTCAAAATAAAAACATCAAGTTTAATTTTGTAGACCTGTGTTATTTATGAAAAACTAAAACAAACTTTTGAACCTTTGACATTCAGTATCTCCGGCATTATCTACTATTGGATTGAGATAAGTCGGATTGTATTGTCATATTTGGCACGCAAGAATTTCGGAATACATAGAATTATGGTTCAAAATGCTGATCTTTCTGTCGTTTGTTTTAAATCATTGCAAAAATGTGCCCACCTCTTATTTTAAAATTACGGTGGTCTGTGTTTAAATGACACGAATGCACTTTTTTAACAGTAAATCTTAAAACTGAGCCAAAACTAAACCCTCTGCAATTGGCAAATATTTTTTATTATTCGGAATCCGAAATTGTAAAGCAAAATTTTAACATTTTTTTTATCTCGGAAACGATTCACTTTTCTATGATTAGATAAAATATTCTTGAAGTTTCAGTAATTTATCTAATTTAGTGATTAATCACTGTGTAGTTGTATAATTATTTTATTTAAAAAAATTTTATTAAAAATATGTTATTTATTATATTTAATAGGTATTTCAAAGATTAATGATTTCTCTAGAGCCATTGTGGTGTCTTGGAAGTGGCTTAATACCAAAACGTCATTACACTACTTGGATTTAAATGTTCATTTCATTTGGTTAAATTCAGCCTACAGATACTAGCTTATAATGGCTTTTCTGCACAATTTTTTAAATACCTCTACGGTCAGTAAATCGGTTTTATTGTCTGCAGGATGAGGATAGCGTCGCCCCCAAAATCACCAGAAGTCGCTCAAAAACCAAACTGGAAGACTCTGGGTTTCAAGATTTCAAGAAGCCGTTGGGCGTGAAAAAGAAAGGATCGCCTTCAATCAAAGACATGCGCAAATCTTTCAGCCTCAAAACGACTAAAGTCACGACGTTAAAGAGGAGCAAGCGGCTGCAAGCGCAAAGTAAAGAAGTCGATACAGAAAAAGGCAAGCGCGAGAAGAAGGTGTCGATCAATAACAAGCCCGACCTGGCCAATAGTACAAAGATGCCGGAAAAAACCAAGTCCGGTTGTATCAATCCTTACCCAGAGTTTGACAACTTCTACCGAATCAAGAAGATCACTGATCATTCGATTGACAACTTGAAAATCAGCTCTTTGACGTTCGATGACGTATTCGATAAAGCTTTTTTTAATCGGATAAAATGCAATATCGAGGAGAATTTGTTACATCATATTGATGGAAAACTATTCAAGAACGAGGAATCCGAGAACCGTATATCGAATTTCGAAAAAGTCTCACCAGTTGCTCAAACCCTTCAAAATTCGACATCCGAGAACTACGGATGCGAGTTGTCGTTAAACGCTGTCACCCCAGTGGCGGCGCTCTCGTTGAATTCGCAGTTTGGTGAAGATTTTGAATCGCAGATCGAGTACGGCTCGAAGCCGTCTAAGAAGAAGGCGCCCATCAAAAATGACGAGATCCATTACAAGTACTTCACTCGGCGCAAATACCAAGCGAGCATATTAAGGCAGAAGGAAAACCGCGATCTTAGCAAACTGGACATGTGGACCCAGTTAGTGATCAAAGAACGGCAGCAGAAGATGATCAATGAGAAAAAATCGTCAAAGGAAATGCAGGAGTATACGGAGGGTGACGAGTACAAAAGTAAAATCAAACGCGAGGAACTCAACAGGATCTTGGACAGGCGGGGTCCCTTCGAAGATCTGAAAGAGGAGGTGTGCAAGCGGGCGGCGTTTGATAAACTAAACTCCTCCTCCGACTGCTACATAAGCGAGGAAATCTTCTCTGTTGTCCGGGAAGTGCTCAATGATCTCTTAAAAAGAACGTTCGAGGGTATCGAAGATGACCACCCTCTGCCGCTGACGAGTGTGGAGAAACAAATTGACCGCAGAGATATTCCGGCCTATTTAAACCTCCGTCAAACGTCCCTTCTTCCGAGCGAAGGAGACATAGACAGGTCGGACAGAATAGCGTTGATATGCTCGTCACAGGAGACCGAAAATTTCGAACTGCCAACGAACAAGGCGCGCGGTAAAGACGAACTAGTCGAGCTAACGGGCGAATGGGCGAGATCTCGTATCTATATCTGCGGAGCGTGCGCCCGCAGATTTCCTAACCTCAAATATCTACTCGAGCACAAGAGCGTCCATCATCAGAACGTGTGGGTGCAACATTACGAGTTCGTGGGGAATCAAAGCGAACTGTATCGCCATTTGAGTATTCCGGTGTTGGGAAAAGTGGGCGTGGTCGAGGATACGGTGCAATGCAAGCAGTGGAAACGGAGCGAGGCCAGAACATGTACGAAGTGCGGGAAACGGTGCAATTCTTTGGGTGAACTTCATCGGCACGTGTTGGAGTGCGCGGGAGATTGGACTTGGCTATTGGCGCGACGAAAGTGCAAGTATAAACCGTTCGGTGCGAAGTCGCGTCGGAAACGGAAAGGTAAATACTACATTTTGACTTGTTTTGTATTTTTTTCAGGGATTTTGCGACATGAATTACCTTATTGTTGAATGGTCATTTATTTAAAACGCAATAAATTTCCTTTTGTTATTAGAGCTTGTGCACAAACAGTTCATGACTTGATTGAAGTTTGTAATAAGTAGCAGTGTTCTATGTGAATATAAGAAGATAGTTCATTCTATGTCTACGATTTATCCCCTTTACACCAGATTTTTTGGATCAAACAATAATTTTTTAGCCGAAAACTCGTACGTATGTCACTGGTAAAATTGTTTATAAATATTGTGCCACAAAAGCTATTTTTCTTCTGAACTCCTGCGTCAAACTTGCTGACGTTTCGCAAGTTATGACGCTCCTTCTGGAAGGCGTTTTATATATAATGACTTTCAACGAAACCCGTAATGATTTGGAGATATTATTTGTTTTATCAGTCTGTAGCTTACACATGGTTTCGGTTTAAGTTTTTTTAAAAAATGTAATGTAAAACTTCTGGATTCCTCCTGCGTCGGTTTTTGTTGACTCGAACTAGCTAACGTTTCGCCAATCGTCCTGTTGGCTTCTTCAGAGCTTGACTGAAGCTGGCTCGCATTTGGTAGAACTACCAACGGAAAATCCGAGAGTCTATAGAAATCTATAAGCAACCTAACAATCTTAACCGCGACTCAGGTCTTTACCTGTCACCAATATGGGAATCAGTCATCCAAGACGGTGTTTCTGCCGCTCACTTGGCTCAGCCCCCCTCAAGCACTATAAAAGCAGGTACAGAGTAAAATGCGAGCCAGTTTCAATCAAGCTCTGAAGAAGCCAACAGGACGAATGGCGAAACGTTAGCTAGTTCGAGTCAACAAAAACAGACACAGGAGGAATTCAGAAGTTTTATAAAAAGTATTGCAGTAGCCTGTGGAAGGTTCTTTGAAAAAATGATATGCATAGCAAGTCAAATATAATAAACGCATATCATCAATACTCAATGCTCAATAAATACCAAGCACGCTGCTGGGATGTTTTTAAATAAATATTAACAGGTTTTTTTCTCGCCTTATATTGCAGTATTTTTTGAATTATCTGATCAAAATGAGTATGATCGTTGTTTAATAAGATATTTTCGAAGGTATTATATGCCAAAAACGACGACCTAATGTAATTTGGTCCCTAAATTGATGTTAAATAATACCATTACGGAAAGTCATGATAAATATGGTTCACGCTAATAAATTTCATCTAAATAATCAAAATAAAATAATGTATAAGGATAGACAAAAAAATTAAAATTAATCCAATTCTTGGTTTTTTAATTTGTTTTAGTGAGGAGATTACTTTGAATCTATATTATTTCACTATGCAAAAAGTTTAGAAAGTATAGGTAATGATAAAAAAGTTAGAGTTGTCAAATTAAAGACAAAGTGACATAAAAACATAAAATGTGCGTAAAACAAGATAAATGATCTGAATTGAGAACAACTCCGAAGAAGTGATTAAAAGATGTGGGAAAGGTCAGACGACTCAAAAGGTGAAACATTGCAAGTGCGATGTAATAAATATGGACAAGTTTATTAGAGAAACGTTTGCAAGTTTTATTTTTTAAATAATCATCTTACCTTAAGGTTTTATTTTACTTAAAATTTTGCCAGGAATTTTAATAAAATCTAACCAAATGTTATTGTTTCAAATACATAAATATTATTTACGTATTGTTTTTTTTTTAAATAATTATGCATTTCTCTAAACCTTTAAATAATATATAAGTTCCTTTTTCCAAGGATTGGTTACCCAACTTCACCGCAAGCAAAAGACTGAGCCTTCGGAAAAGAAGATTTACAAAAAATCTTTCGACGGCCCTCGGCCAAGGCCAAGTGATGGTAAGAAATGTTTGAATTTTATACATATGTTGTGGGGTTATGTTAAGGCGAGGGCACGCTTTACCATACATTGAGTATTGACTAATAGATGCGTCGTGTCTGGCAAAGAATGCGTTAACAGAACAAGTTTTCGGTATAAGTAATTCAATTCAGTAACGTTTAGTTTTACATAACTTTTAAAGAACGTCAAAAAAGTATGCCTGGTTATTAAATGTAATGTTGGCGTTAAATTTATTGTCTTTTTTTCTGTTTTTCTTCTTTTTGGCATTGTTACAAGGTTATTGTTTCTCTTCTCAAAAAACTTACTAATTCTAATTCTCAACCTTGACTCTTTATGTTTATTAATATCGGCTTCTGAATTTAGCCAAAGATAGCTGAATCAAATTAGTGTGATTCAAAAAATATGTACCCTTCTTTACAGACATCCTATACACGGGATGTCACAAATTCGCTTTTTCACTATTGTAAACTCTGTAACTAAAACTAATGAAATCGGTGAAATGGAGCAAAAAAGTTTATTTTGAGTCCGTTTTGAAATTCAGAAAATTCCAACTACTTCCTGAGATACTACTTCAACTGACATTTTTAAATTGATAACATTTTGTTATAAATGATAAAATAAGAAATTAAAATCTGCCATGTAATAAATTAGTCGGAATGTTGCCAATTTTAACACGGCTTTAGCACATACCTTGTTCCCGTTCCCTGACTTCGTATCTAGTGCAGTTATGCACAATAATCTCGATAGTAAAGATCAAATCTGTGACACCCTAGATTGCTTGATTAACGCACAACCAAGAAAATTGCCATGAATTGATATTTAAAATAACAATGATTGATGTCAGCAAAATTAACCAATTTCGATTTATTTCAATCACTCTGTTAGCAACTTTGAAAGTAAGGTAGAGTAATACATTTTTTGTTTAATGGTTACCGCTGGTCGAAATAATATTTGAAAGGTGGATGGAGATTTGTTAACTTCAGCGGTATCGTTTTGACAGAAACCACCAAGAATATCAACGTTAATTTGAAAAGTAAATTATTTTACAAACATACTTCACTTGCACTGTAGCCTAGTGCAGCACCTTGTTTTGTAGTTAAATTCACTGTTAACGACTGTTTGCAATATTGTGCTTTGGAACTGTTTATTGAGTGGATTCTGCCTAGAGTCAGCGAAAACCGTCCCATTAAAAACAAATTATCGTGAACTTGACGAAAAAACTTAATTTTTTGATATTCTAAGGTTAGTCACATTGTTATTGCTGTTGTAGAACAAAATTACCAATCAATTCTATTTTGGACGCCCGGTATCTTAGGAATGGGATCGTGGCGTTTATATAATATTTCAACCCTCAGAGATGTTAATAATTGAGATATGTTTCAATTAAAGCTAGCAAAAACCAAAACTGTTTTATTCTTTATAAGGGTCGCAGATTGGATGGTGTAAACTCTAAAACGTAACGTATGGCTTTAATTTTTATCTCAATACTCATAAACGGTAAGATAATATCGATTTTATTTTATTTTTTCGTCAATTCTAGAAATCCAATTACTTGCAGGAGGTGCCATTTAAAACTAAGCAAGATTTTGCTGTGTTCGTATATGACCGGTAACACTACATGATTCAAAATCTTTTCGAGCGATGACAAGTACAGTCATTTCAAATAAATCGATTAGTTCGTTCTTCAGCTGTCTCCCATTAGGCAATCCACTACGAGCCATCCAGTGTACTGCAGCAGTTTCGATCCAGTTGCAACAGAGTGTGTTGAAATTTCCGAATAATATCACGTTAGATTCTTCATTCGAAAAAGAAAAAAATAAACCAGACAACTTGTGAAAGTGTTTTTTTTGGCTGTGCGTTAAATTAAAAGTTTTTAAAGGTTGGTATTAAAACGTTAATGTATTTACAGCGGATACTATACAACGAATGTTGGCCAATCTTCCAGCGAAACGTTTGCGACGAAACATAATGTCGCTACAGGACGTCATTTTCAAAACGAGAAAGCGAAAACAGAGTAAAACTGAAACGAAAACAAAGTGCGGCAAAACGGCCAGCACCCAAACTCTGGCGTCGGAAAAGAATCCAGCCAATAAATTGACCAACACGCACCAAAGACAGCATACGGGCAGCATCTCATCTAATCGAAGATCGCTACGGAGCTTAAACAAAGTCTTGGCTAGCGGAATTTTAGATTCGAACTCTTTGCTCAGGGTTAAAAGGAAAATTAAATCGGTGCACGAAAAAAGGATCACGAGACAAACGTCGCAAGTGCAGTCGTTGGACAGTTCGGATTGTCAAGGAAAAACTGACGTCGACGATACCGACAGCGAAAAGTTGGTGCCGCCGTCCGTCCAACCGAAAGGGAAAAAATCCCAACGGGAAATGTTGGTTAAGGCGCCTGGGATGCCGAACGTGCAGAAAAAATTTGCGAGGAAAAAAATTTTGACCAGCCGACTGAACATAAAAAATTTCTTTCCCGTAAAGAAGAGAAACAACAGAGCAATGCTTACCAAAAGCGACATTCAAAGGCAAAACATTAAGAACCTCGATGTTATCTTGCAGAAGACGGTGAACTTCGATCAGCACGGCGGTTTGGAAAACATCGCGGAATGCTCCAAGGTTACCTCGGGCGGCCTAAAGGGTCTCGTTAGATCCCTGAGGAAGAAAAACAACTCGAGCGAGTTGAAGGTCCAGCAAAATCTGTCAAAAAAGGGCACCGTTCAAGATAATGAGCCTAGAACGTCCGAAAATGTTTTGGTCGCGTCGATTTTTAATAAAAAGGAAGTCTTCAAACACGGAAAGGAAGGACTCAAATCGTTGAGTGCAAAGGTAACGAAGCAAAGCACGGAGTTAAATAAACCAAAGAAGAGGAAGTTGAACAAGAGCTTTCGAAACGTTATTAATAAAGTGAGCAAGTTAAAAATCGATCCCGACGTTGATACAAAAGAAAAAACCGAAATTGACAAGTGCGCTATTTTTTTAGAAAAACCTGTTTCAGAGGAAAAGAGAGGGGAACTGCCAAAACAAAATTTTATTTCCTTAGAAATCAGACCCGAGAGTTTACCAAGAGGGAGCCCTGCGCGAGTTGCCGAGATTACTATAGATTCAAAAGAAAATCCGCCAATCCCTGAAACAATTTTTAATCTGAATTCGAAAAACGAGAAAAGTTTACAAGCAAAAGGAGAACTCAACTTCGATAAGCAGGTAGAGGTAGTGAAGCCAAGTTCTGAAACCAAACGACCGACCACAATCATCCCTCTTGCGGTTGAAACCGCGGAAAAGTTAAAAATCGTTCCTTTGATGTCTCCTAACATAAAGGGAAAAATTAGAAAACCTAATAAAGGGTTAAACGATTGTATTGCCATGTTAACTAGCAAACTGCAGCAAAAGGAAGACAGATCCAATTTAACAACGGCTGCACCGTTTAGCAGTTCGTCGGAAAGGGCGGCGCTAAAATCCCCAGAAAAAGCTTTTACAACACCTCCCATCAAACCTGAATGTATTCTTCGAATACCAACGTTTAAGGTGACACCGCCCATCCAGCAGAAAGAGACCGCCTTGGACCTCACCAAGAAGTCATTCAGCGCTCCCGATTTGTTTTACAATCGCCTTGCAAACGGGATATCAACTTTCGGTAACACTCTAAGCATGGTGATCGAGGGCGTTATCGAACATAACTGCAAGGAGGTTTTTACCCAAAAGTTATCTAGCAATTGGACTTCCGTTGACGATATAATTCAGCAAGTAATAAATGATAAAGATAAGAAACCAGAATTTAGAAAAAATACCTCCAAAAATTATTTTTGCGTCCAGAATTCAGTGGATGAAACTATTGAATCTGTCGTCAAAGGATATCAAGCTTCGTATGAGGCGGATATTTCAGCGGTAACCAGCTCGAATCTAGTAAAGAATGAGAAAAAACCGCCGTTGGTACAGAAATCCAAAGCAAAAAAGAAATCGCCTAATACTAACTTGAATAAATTAAATCCCTTCAAAATAAACAACTTACTGCCAGCGGTGAACAACCACAAAACAGAAAATGCCAAAATTCTTTCTCTGCTACTAAAATCGGAGTTCCAAAATGCCACCCAAAATTTGCTGAATGGAAGCAAGGGTTCAATTATCCCGACGCCTTTGTTTCATAATTCAGACGCCGCCATTACTTTTTCGTCACAGAAACCTCATAATAACTCCCAAGACTTCCTAGCCCCAAAGAATTCCGAGTCGAAATTATTAATTGAAAAAATCGTGGATCCCAAACCTCAGATCGAATTTAAAAACGTATTACTGTTACAAAATGAGAGTGTCATTTCTGTTGCGAAAACTGACAGTGAAAAACTTAACGATAATGAACGAGAATGCGATCAAAATGCAATCATCAATAGTGTTGGCGAGAATGAGATGACAAATAAATCAACCGTGATTAACAAAGTTAATGATTCTAAAAAGAAGCCTAAAGCAAACAAGCAGACCAGTCTAGTTTGTATTAAGAAAAAACCATCTGCGACAGCATCAAAACAGAAACCGGTCAAAAGTAAAAGTATGGAACTAGAAACTTCATCTTTGAATGAAATAAATCTATTAGTAGAAGATGTGGCGGCTGTGGAAGTTGCAGACTGCTTGTTGAAAGGAACACCACCACTTGTAAGTGATTCTGAAGACGAACTGCCTCTGGCTGTTCTTGCCAAACAAGAAGAATATAAAGATGCAACTTCGCTAATTGAATCACGAGCCCAAGGCATGACTGATGATAACAGTCGTTCCACTAAAGAACATTCTCAGGAAGCAGAAACCGCGGAATCAAAAGAAAATGACGAGGGTAAAAATGGAAATTCAAGACATCACAAAGATCTAGAAACAAGTGCAGAATCATCTCTGATTTGTCCTAAACTTGTAAAGAAAAATTTAAAGCATCGGAAGAAAATGTCGAAAGGTGTGACACCCAAAACGAAAACAAGTAAACCGAATGAACAGGAACCATCTCCCCACCTATGCGTCGTCGCAGTTAACCCAAGTATAGTAGTTAAACCTCCACTTGAAATCGCTGAAGAAAACACTGCTCAGATTGTTAACGAAGACAAAGGGAACGTGTTTCCAGACCAGTCCACTTCGTTGTCATTTGAGCTCCATAAAAAGCAAACCACCAGAAGAAAGTCAAAGAGTTCTAAAAAGATTGAAAAGGACGAAAACGATTTGTTTAAAGATTTTTCTTTGGTGATCAATAAAAAAACTAAAAGAATCCCTCCTACGAATATAGTAGACGATTCTGTTTGCGACGAAATATTACAATCGCTATCGAAAGTGCCAGAGGATTACTGCAAGACCACCAAACCAGTAGAAACTCAAGATGATTCTGTTGAAGAGATGGACATGGAAATCGAACATATTCCATTTAATTCTAGTATTATTGAAAGGGACTGCGAGACTGAAATTACGAATATATTCCAAAACTTCGATCCAACTAACGAAACCAAGGCTGAAATCGGGGTTCATAACGAGCCTCCTTGCTTCCGCAATGTTATGCTAAGTATTGATGATGTAAAAGAAGAAATTTCCGTAACACCTAAGACCTCAAACGTAGTCGATCGCTCACGTGAAGATGAAAAACTAGAACAGGATTATTCTCGCGAAACTATCGATTCGTCCGCGCAATCGCGAGAAACTAATGATGTGTGCGATATTCATCGTGAACCGACATCTAGTAAGGAAATTAACCCAGAACAGATTTTTGATTGTGATTTGAATGGCATTTTGGATGAAACTAACAAAACGGAGAATGACATACGAGTTAAACAGAACGAAACGACTAAAAACTCGTCCTTTGGCGTATTGAAGACGTCAACTTCTAATGACGTAGCACCTTGTGCACTACTAATCCCAAAAACAAATCTAGAAGTGAAAGTAGTCTGTAAAAAACTGATATTGAGTAAAAAACAGAAGAATGAGATCTCGTTATCAAAAAGGAGGCATGCTACTAAAGCCCAACTCAAAGGCAAGAGTAAAAAGAATGTCCAAAACAACTCAAAGCTAATAGAACCGGCATCACTCAGGAGGTCTGCACGATCAAATCGTAAAAGTAGTACTGAAAATTCAGTTGATGATAGGTTGATGCAACATACAGAAGCAGAGATTACTAATACCGACAGAAATAAACGAAGAAATTCTGTGAATGTGATACTAGATGTGGATAATAATAAAACAGTTGAAGATTTTCATATACATGAAGAGTCGCAGGTGAAACTATTACCTACAACTAACAAAAAACAAATTACTGATACATATTTATCTGAAACTAATTTAGTAGTTGGTCATAGAAATCCTAATTCCCAAGCAATCCCCAATGAAAAAAATGAAATTGTGGATACAGCAAGTGAAGAAGTGTTAAAAGATTCAAAGAAAGGTGCAGCTGATGATTCAAGTCAGAATATAAACGAATTAAGTACCACAATTGCCAATAAAACTCATCAGAATGAAAAAGAAGTGTATGTGCCTGATTGTATTTCATTTGAAAAGGACTCAATTGCAGTAGATAACGTTCAAGTTTCGGAAGGAAAGGAGAAAACGTCGGTAGCTTTTGGAGAAGAGGATATTATATTCGAATCTACTCCAAAACAAAAAGAGTCAAGTGAAAACAGGAATATGAAGAAAACAGAAAATTCAGAGCCTAAAATAATCTTGCCAAACGATGTTAAGGTATTGGAAGAATCCTTGATTTGTGTTATTCCAGGACTGGATGCGCAACAATATAAAGTTAAAGTAGATAATCAAGTTGATGAAGAAGAGAAGCCTAACTCGCACATTTCTAGGATACCATCGCAAGAGGATCTTGCCGATCTGAGTCATTTGATGAGTCATTCTAAGAGGATGGCAAATCCGCCTGGTGCTATAGAATCGTGCACTTTGCTAAAGAAGCAGAATAAAAAGGGAAAAGCTGTGGCCGCACTGAAAGACGTCCTAAAAATGTGTAACGTCGAAGAAAGTCTGGGAAATTCGTTCAGCAGTCTAAATGTGTTTAAAAATTCTCTAGATAAATCAGAGGTCAGGCCAGACAAACACCTCGATTTATTTAAAATCGATCCATTAAACGAAATAATAACCAGTTCCGATATGGACATCGCTCCTGTAATTGACGAAATTGATAAATCCTTGGAAATTGACGATATTTACGATTTTAGTGAGGAATTTGAAGACAGTGTAAACAATGGTTACGAAAAGAATAATAAACCGAAACTTAAAACGGATACAATAGCAAATACAGACTCGCATTCCTTCGGCAGAAGAACGGCCAATAGATTTGCAAAAGTCAAAGCTTTGGAAAGTATCCATGACGATGCGATGGCCCAATTAAACGAGGAATACCCTAAAGTTGTCAGTGGCAAGAAATCGTTTGCAAAGTGCAGAAATAAAAGAATCGGCTCGGACGCGGCGGACATTTCGCAAAAAGTGGATACTTTCAGTATAGACGAATTCATGTCTTCCGCAGCTCATTCCGATATACAAAAAAGTCCCACTGGTGCAGAAGAAGGTAGCGGGCGTGCTGCTGGTGAAACCATTGAACTTAATACCGGGTTGGATCGCGATTTAGATAACATGGAAAACGGCGAAGCTGGTACGAAATCCACGGACAGCAGTAACCTAATCGTTTTACCCGATGTCGACCAAATGAAACAAGAGTTGAGAAGAAGCAGGAGGGGCTCGCATAAGGTCGCGTCGTACAATGAGAACGACCTGATCGATCCTTTGATTGAAGCACTGGAGAACAGGAGAAAAGGTTTAAAAAAGCACAGAAATCCCGAAGTGACGGATACGGCGGACAGAGTGAAAGAAAGTAGTAATGCGGACAATTCAAGAGTCGATATTAACGGCGTGGGAGACGGGAATGAAATTGCTATCAATTCTGTCAATGCCGATGGTTCTAGCGAAATGTGCAGCAAACCCGCAGATAACACAGTGGAGTTCAACTCTGATAGTAAAACGACGACGTCTGACGGAGGCTCGAAGTCGAAGAACGGCAAATTTAAATCGCCAGACAAGTCAATATATTGCGGAATTTGCAATAAATACTTCACGCGCTTAGAGAGCTTGATGAAACACAAGGGCACTCTGACGCACATTTCCAAACTGTCCGAACTGGAGGCAAAAGAAGCTGAGATGAAAGCCCTACTGGAGAAGGAAAAAGATTCAGAAGTAGTGGTGGTCGAGTCGACGGATCTTCCGGAACCAAAAGCACCGGATTTGCGAAGCGACATAAACATAACGAATATACTTCAACAAAACGAGAGTTTCTGCGTATCGTCACCCAAGGCACAAACGTCTTACACCAACAACGACACATTAAAGTTGGCGGATATAATCAGCGAAGTTTTAAACAAGCCCGTGCTGAAACCGGCTAGCGATGCGACGTCCGAAACGAGCGACGCCCAGAACGAGTACCACCGTTACAAGAACCTCGCTGAGCGAAAAAGTTTCGATTCCGACAACTTGTCGTCGAATAAGGACATATCGGACGACACCTTCTACAATCGAACACTGTCCAAGACCACCATCCTCGAAAAACAAATTAGTCTGCTCGAAAATATCATCGAGAATCAGACCGGCGGTATTAATTTCATGGATAACATTTTCCAATCGTCCAATAATTCCCATTCCGAAAACAATTGCGAGTTTGGCGGTTTCGTCCCCACCTGCGGTGCGGTGGAGCCTACCCAGCCGACTCCTGCTACCGATATGTTCGCAAAACCAATTCAGTATGAGGAAATATCGGACGATTCGATGAGCATAGGAGCCTACGAGGAGCAAAAATCGAGAAAGGTTCTGAACAGAGACGAGGAACTGTTTCTGGAGTGTTGCAGCTTATTGAAAAGCGGCTCGGAGGTGTCAAATTTTTCAAAAAAGTGCAACACTGCTTCCGGCGATATAGCCACGAAACAGGGGGATAATAACGGCGTGTTCGATAGCAGGCATCTAGTGCAAACGGCTGAGGATGCCCACGAATATTCCGACAACTCGAGAACGCCCACGCCACTGGGAGATACCTACGACGATGACGCGTCTGACTCCAACGATAGCCTGTCGTCAAACTGGAACTTGCGCACCGGGAAAAAATTCGAAATCGGGAAAAATTTCACCTACAGAGAAACCGCGACTGAAGATTTGCCGGTGCAGCCTTCTAACAATGACCAGTTGGCGTTGGGAATACTTGGATTTAAAGAAGTGATGCAGCAGTTTGAAAACGTTTCAAACAACTCGGACAGGTAAATTCTACTCGTTAGCCTGATGCATGGCATGTCAGAGATTAAACTATAAGCTGTGTGCTATGTACTGATAAACTGACTAGCAAAACTGTTTAATGCCTTTGACTTGGGTCTAGTAAAACATCACAAAAAATGCGACCCATGTCATTGGATAACAGATTTCGGATTGCTAGGTGAAGGCGTTGTTTTGGTTAGTTTTGACTTTGAGGCTTTTAATAATAAATGTTGATGTAAAATTTTGACATTAAGCTAATTATCAGCAGTATGCAGTAAGCAAGGGTACTTGCTAACGTTTAGCCTCACATTTTGCCCTACATGCCTATATACTATTTGAGGGGGCGGAGCTAAATGAGGGGCATACACACCGTCTGATTCCCATATTAGTGACAGGTGAAGACCTGAGTCGCGGTTAAGATTGTTAGGTTGCTTATAGATTTCTATAGATTCTCGAATTTTTCGTTGGTAGAAGAATTGATTACATGCAAGAACTTTAGTTTTATCGAATACAATTTTATGTCCGGTTTCGTGATCGTGTTTGGCGACTGCTGATGAGTTTAGTTGTCTTAGTCTCTTTCATGTTCTTTGAGCCAAGTCTTTCGTCGGGTCTCTCGAATATATTCCTTGCCGCATATGCATGGAATGCTGTAAACCTATGAAATCTCAAATTGAATTTCGTCTTTGACCGATCGAAGATGTTGAGAGATTTTTGGATAAGTGATCCTTAATATTTTGTGGAAATTATTAGAGACAAGAGCAGAGATAAGGTATTTTAAATCTGGGTTCAGTGACTCCGGCTGAGATAGTTTTACTGCTCTGTAAACAAGAGAGTCGATTACCAATGATTTTTGGGCCGGATGATGATATGACAATGCATTAAGGTATCGGTCTGTGTGTGTAGGTTTTCTATAAATAAAATGAACCAATGTTAGGTCCGATTTTCTATTGATAAGAATATTTAAGAATGAGAGGTTATTCATAGTTCCTGATTCAATGGTAAAACGTATGTTAGGGTGTATAGAGTTTAAATGTCTTAAGAAAATCTACTAGGGATTGTTCACCATGATTACAAATAACAAAAGTATCATCGACGTGGCGTTTCCATAATTTAGGTTTTAGATGGAAGGAATTTGACCGTTATATGAAAATATGCTCCAGACAAGCATTTTTCAGTTAAGGAAAGGTTTGGTTCTAGATTCTCGTATTTTAATATATCTGAAATGATGTTGAGAGTTTCAGGAATAGAAACTTTATTAAAGAGGGATTCTACGTCGAAACTAACCAGAATATCTTGTGTATCTAATGTAACGCTTTTTAATTGTTCAATGAAAGGAATTAAGTACGAAACTATCAGTTTTCAGTTTTAATAAGGAAGCTAGATATTTTGCTGGAGAATATGTTGGAGAATAGGTCGAAGGGATAATCTTGGTTTGTGAATCTTTCTGAGTCCGTAGAGACGAGGAATTTTAGAGTCATGAGGGGTGGTGATATTTTTTCACGGAGTTTGATAGACAAAAAGCCTTAATAACAGATTTAAGGTTGCGTTCCATAAATGACGTATGATCTTTTTTAAGTTCACGATATGACCGTCTATAAGAAAATCTTGAGTTTTTTTCCTGATATTTATATATATATAGATTACAATGTCGGGATTAGATTTTAGAGATTTTAGGGCAATGCGTTCAGGCTTTGCAATATTAGATTTAGGAGGTCTTGATTTTTTAAAGTATTGATGTTAGTTTTCCAAATTTCTGAATGTGATTTTGGGTCGAAGTTAAACGAAGATTTAAAGTTTTGTCATTAATCATGTTTGAAAAGATGGAAGCAATTTCAAGGTGTAGAATCAGACGAGTCTCATTGATTTGGTCTATTTCCTTACGGGTATGATGAATTCTTTCTCGAAGTAAAGCGAAACTAGATTTTCGAAGAATTTTATAAGCGGATAAGTTTAATTTTGACATAATCGGATAATTTAAGAAAATTGGGAATAACGTTATGGTCTCTACAACGTAAAAACCCATAGTCGATTGGCTAAGTTCGTTCATTGGCAAATAATAAAGGAAAAATCATCATTACCTGGATTACCTTAAAAATATTTATTCCAAAGAATTTTATAGTGATTCATTTTCATCACCGGTGATTTAGAAAAAAGCAAGAATGTTTTGTAGTGCTGAGAAGTAGTGATCACTGCTAGTGTGAGTTATTTTGTTTTGCAATTAGGTGATAAATAATATAGCGTACACACACACACACATACACACCAAAGACCACTTTGATTACTGTTTTGTGTCGAATTTCAATTAGTTCCGATCAAGAAATCAAAAATCGAGGAGCATTTGGTAGTATTAATAGAAGCAAAAACGTGATATTTAAATGACTTCCTTCATATTTCGATTTATTAAATTGTAAAATTTGGCAACTCCGCAACAATTATTGTATAGAACTTCAGTTTCTAGTTTTCCCTTTCGTTTTGAATCATATATACTATTATCTATAGATAAGTAATTTATTCGGATTTTCCAGCGACGAACAGAACGAAGTAACTACGACCGAGGAGGTGGACCACTGCAAAAAACCAAACGATGAATTTTCGTCCAGCGAGCACAAAAAGATCGTCACGAAAGGGGCACGCAAAGTTTTCGAAGGACTCATAGTTTCGATTCCGACGGAAGAGTTGGACTTGGCGATTCTGACTGGTAACCAAATTACCAAGAAAGAAGAAACTACCGGCATCGTTGTGGAAAGCAAGGCTAAATCCAACCGAAAATCTAAACCCATTAAAAAATTTCAACTGGGCAGCAATATCCTCTTCAAGAGCAGCAAGAAAAAATCTCCTCTGGCGGAATCGTTTGACGAGAAACACGACGTATACGATTTCGAAGAGACGCAAGACAACACGGAAATCTTTACCAAGCCGGACTTTCGCAGTTTTCGCAATCTCAAGGGTGAGAAAAAAAAAGACAGCGATAGCGAGAACGACAGCCCCGCTTATACCGATTCTATCGGCGCGGAGGCCCATTCGGTGTCGAGCGCTTCGACGTTTTCTGTCATTTCGACCCAGAAAACCGACTGCTCGGTAGAGAATATAACGAAGAAAAAGTGCATGATTATGGGTCGGATTTTTAAAAACGCCGCGAAATCGAAAGCGGACGACTTCGACGAGGACATCAGACATATCCCGGAGATTCCGGAAATTGATAATATCGAACTGGTGGAAAATTACGTGCTGAGCTGTTCGCGGGTGAAACCCTCCCCGCCTCCCGAAGAAATTAAGAAAACCAAGATGACGGAAGAGGAAATGAACATGCTTTTCGATCAGTTGTTGGGGAAGAACGTCGCCGAGACGAAACCGATGGTTAAATCGCCACCCCAACCAAAACCATTTACTAAATGCACCGACACCAGAAAAAAATCGAAACAAAAAACTCGCAAGCGACACCATTCGAATAGTTCCGACGACGAATTTAATATAAACAAGACGTCGAAAAAGCGATCCGTAAAGAAGAACGGCAAGGAGGACAACAGTATTAATCTTGAGCAGGAGTTGAGGGAATGTATAGGAGTCGCTAGCCGGAAGAGTCAGAGAAAATGCACCAGCGGTAAACAAAACGTTTTGGTGGAATATTGGAGTTCGGATGAAGAAGCATTCGAGGCACTATTGGAAAGCCAGAAGATCCAGTCGAAGGCGGAGAAATCCAACGACTCGGTGGTTGCCGTCGATGTTCCGATTCCGGAATTGCAGACCCCGAAAGACAGCGAGATTAAAGCGCAGGGCGTCGTGCCGCCACACGAGAACGCGCCCCTCGTTCAGAAAAAAAAATTCGCCAAGAATAAGCTTTTGTCGTGCAAGAAAATGTCTTTCGATCCATTCGTAACGCCGAACCGAAGAAAAAGAGCCGCAGCGAATCCTTTGTACCATTGGTCGAGTTCAAGTGAAGACGAATCGCAAGCTCTGATAGAAGTGACGTCGCGAGATGAAGAAGACGAAGAAGACCGTCCCGTTCAGCACGGGTGGATAGTAGGCGACTCACCCAAAAAATTGGTCACGATGCTGGCGTTGACTAAGGGCAAGAAAACCGACATCGAGTGTGTTAAAGAACAAAACAGGCGGAGAAATAACACCGTTAGTTGACGGTAGGACAGTTATTAGACGCTCACTTTTTAGTTCGACACACTTTTTGGGTATTGAAAGAGTTCAGGTTAATCAATTGTGTTAAATGCGATGATAAATTTTATATTGAAATAGAGATATTGTCTTTATTTTTTGCTAAAGTATAGTGTTTTCGATGTTCGGAAAAAGTAAACGCTGACCTAGACTTAATACTGTACATTTGAAAATTAATTAAATTTATATTGTAGGTAATGTATATGTGTATAGTTGAATAAGGTCGTTGGCGTTTCAGGCAACTTTAAAAATAGATAGATAGCGTAATGTGAGTCCAGTATGTCATCTCATTCGTTCCGTTTCATGGCTATAAACGTGTATATCTTATCTTTATAAGTAAATAAAATTATTTAATTTTGTACATTTTGTTGATAAAGCGATTTATTTTCTGTTGCACTATTATTATAGTTTAATTGTATCAATTCTGCCATTTTTATAAATTGAATAAAACTGATGGGTCTTTTTATTTTCATTTTGACTGGTATCCACGTAGCTATTGTGTACCCGGCGATATATTAATATAAACGTTATAGTTTGTGTTGCTTGTTTACACTGCCAGAATGTGCCTTGGTCTTTATAATTCAGGCCATGAAATTTGTCTTTTGTGTACATATTGTTGCAAAAAGTATGTATGTGTATTATATTGATATGGGAACAATGTTATTGGTGTTGTCGTCGAACATGTATAAGAAGGTTTTTTAATAAAAATTTTGTCTGCAGCCATTCCATTTTTCAAACTGATTAATTTCTCCGTTTGCGGCGTTACTTATGATTTCGTTAGGAACAGTGTCAGATTTATACAAACTGATCAGAGACGTTCAGGTTGTAACTTTTTTCTCTTTATAATATATTAATGCATATGTCCCGCTAAAGAAAATGATTTGAACCAATAAATTGAATACCTGCTTTAAGAGACACCTACCGGTAGTATTATTGGATTATCCAATTTGGATAATATTCACAAGCAGTATGATTTTTTCTGTCTTGGGTTAAATCGTCCGAACTTTTCGTACCTGGTACCTCATAGTAACAGCGGATGGTTGGCAAGGTCATACTGGAGAAATCCCAAAGAACCATATACATATATTCGAACTTTTCACGAACTCTAGTCTTAAATCACAAATTACGCCGCATCTGGATATTGTTTCGCTTTTACGTCTTTACTAGGTCAATCCTCCCAAGAGAACTAAAAAATATTTATCTCTGCTGTATCAAATTTAAGCATAAATTTAGATACAAAAATTGCCCTAAGATTTTTAGTTGTGTGATCAGATATAAACGTTAATTTATTACCAAATTGCCGATGATTACGTTAGACTTTTAAATCGGGTTCATCAAACGCGACGGTGAAATTAAACAAATCGCTTCGCATAAAATATCAACGGCACTTAAAAACATTTAACAACTATTTACACACTATTATATAATGTGCCCTGGGTTCTCTTTTCGACTGACTGACCGACTGACTCTTAGCGAATAAGCCGCTCCAGTTTTACAGAACATAGCACCTACTGGCGCTATTCACAATAATTATGAATTCCAGTGGTGTCCCGGGGGCATCATTATAATCAATATTAGTGATAAACTCGTACCTTATTGTATTTTCGTGAAAGAAAAAAGAATTGTTAAGAATAATCGATTTAAAATGTCGCATGCTCGTCACTGGAATTCATAATTTCTAGTTATGGTTGTGTCCACCATAATGATTCATTTTTTTACTCCTTAGTCAGTGAAGAAACATGCAATTGTCGTGCCTGATTTGGATCACGAGTAGAGAAAGTGTCACGGGCTGGGGGCTTTCGGTAGATATTTAAAACACTGATACAGGAACTATCTAAAACATCAGCGTTGTTAAACACGCGAGCCAATTCAAGCGTTTACAGTACTTTAGTCACGGATAGGGAACGATCGGACGCTTTAGGTAGGTATTTAAAACATTGATTGTGTGACGTTTGTCAATTCCAGTGGTTCTGCATTCACACGTCACTTATTCATATTCTATTTTTTTAATGACAGTAGCAGAAAATATATACTATATATTACGCGTATAAACTTCTTTGGACACAGATGTGATGTAATTTTCAACCCTCATTGCGAAAAGCGGCAGAATTCTAGAAAAGCCAAGCGCTGCTCCCTGGTCGTTCATATAAATTATTCAGGCATCTCATCGACTGCGTTTTTTAGCAATTCTCAGCAACGTTTCTGCTCCCATCATTGTTTGCCTTTTGGTTCCTAAATAGGTATCCCTGCTAGAATGGGGCGCTTCTTATGGTCTTAAAAAATTGAAGTGATTTTAATAACTTTTTTGTTCCCAAGTATATTGATTTTCCCCTATAGTTATTTCCCGAACAGACACTGATAGCATGTACTTCCACCTGGAATGGGCATTCGGAAATGGGATGAGCATATAATACGGCCAATCCACATTTCCATCTTATCATGTTCCCCAAAGATCACACTTGGAGTCGATAAATTTGAATCTTCTAAGAAATCGCGATTTGTAATTGAAACAAGTTCTATTCTATCATTTATTTGAGTATGATTCTTTCTGTACAACCTTTTCCTGTGCACACAAAATAAAGACTAACATCTGAAGCAAGCAAATAAAATATTTTTTTTATGTTCAATATAATACAACAATATGTGAACACTGCCGGGTATTCACTTAAAATTACGATATTTATATATAGAGCTTAAAATTATATTACTGGAAATAATTCAACAATAATATGACCCATTACGACAAGAGATTAGTACTACAATAAATCTGTACATCCACCCCGCTACAACGAAAGATTAAAGTTATCTGTCAAACTAGATAGATGGGATACTCAATAGGGACACATATCGCAAGTAGTTTCTAAGATAAATTATTTTGATATAATATATTTTATACTTGTTTACTATATGCATCCGGGAGAGATGAATAGAGTAGTTATAAATAAAGAGTACACATTAATGAAATTTCAGTCATGCATACATGTTTGAAAACAAATCATATAAAAAATACATAATTATAAAAAAGTGGAAACCAGGAATTATTTCACCAAACTTACTTTACCATAATTTATAAATAGTACAAAAATGTCTATTCACATCTTAGTAGTTGTAAATAAACATTTCATTAACCTAATACATAGTAATAATTAATAGGTAGAATTAATAAAATTTTGTTTAATTCAAATTGATTTAAAACCTCGAATCAATCAGCATGTTAAGAGACTACCAAATGCTTTATATACTTTCTATATAATATATATATATATAAAAAAAAGAACAAAAACAAAGAATTTATCACAAATCTGGATGTGGAGACATTTTTTAAACCTTACATTAAATCAACGTTTTCTGTTATACCAGATTAAATTCAAATATTTTCAAAAACGTTAACCATGTTCCGTTTGAATTTCACATTACAAGAACTCTTATTACATTTAGAGATATCACTATAGTGCAGCTGCACAGTCCAGTTCGGTAATCTGAAATAGCACTTGGCCCATGTAATCTGAGCATCACCGTTCCTTATCGATTGGCCATCACTTGCAGCAATTGCCCGTCGCTTTCGGACCCGTGTCACCTTCTGTCAGTCGTCTACCCTGCGCACTACCGCCCTGTCCTGATGTTTGCTCATTCTTCGGTAATTTTTTTGCTAAAAAAATCATTTTACACTTCAATAATCAATAACCGACTGTTTCTATTTTATAATAGATCATTGAATCAGTTTTGGGATTTATTGGACCAATTTGCTTGTTGGTAAATTCATTTTTAACATATCTACCAATTCTTGTTTCCATAGTGTTAGTGTGTCCATAGTTCTTTTTTGCCTCATTCATTACATTTCAAAAAAACTACTTCACCACAACCAAACTTGGAGTCAACCTTCATTTTTCAAGATATTCAGCCAAATTTGGTACTAAGAACTTTCATTAATAAATTAACAAAACCAATGTGTCTAGGTTTTAAAATATATAATATAATAATAATATGTTAATAATAAATTAAATAATAAATAATATATTAAATAATATAGACTTATTCAGGACCCTTTAACTGATTTTATTTTCATGACTTTTATATTTTCACTATTGTTATTCTGTGCTTAGATTACATTATTTAGGCCAAAAGATTCTTTGCCGGCCTACATTTGGTAAAATTATTAAATTTGTTAATGTAATTTTTATATATTTATATATACAAATTTGGACTGTTTAGACTTATTAGCTGGTCAGAACCATTGAATGAAAGAGTTTAAAAAGGGAATCAATTATCAAAAAGATGACTGCAAATGACACACCTATGCTTGTCAATACAATTGCGCGACGTCGGTTTAATTCATACATGTTTATATTTTCTTTGCAAAATAGCCCAGAAACTTCGAAAATAATCAGTTTATGGAGAAAGAACCAAAGTTCAAAAAAACCCAGGAAAAAAAATGTTTTGTTGAAATGGCTCATGGTAATAAAAATTTTATTTTACAGGATGATATTATTGAATTTATTTTGATTGAGATTTTGACAGTCCTGGAATACTCTGCTCCCCAAGTTAGAATACTGTAGATGTTTTTCCTGTTTAAAATGTCTAAATGATGTAAATGGAAAACAATATTTTTCTCAGGACCTAAACAAAATTATAAAAAAACTTACCAATTAAAAACGTTTATCATCTAATAAACATTATTTTAAAATGTTTTCTTTGGCATTAGTTTTTTTTCTACAAACAATAAGTTATCAAATGGGGCAATAGTAATGCATGACTGTAAATTCTATGAGTATTAAAAAAAATTAGTAGCAAAATACAATAAGTGAAAATGCAATCAATCCTATAAAATTAAATAAATATTTCTCGAAATAATTAACTAAAATGTTGTTGCTTAAGATAACAAAATTATAAGGGCATTAAACCTTACCTATTGCTAAGAAAATGTCATTTACATTCATTGCAGTTTTAGCAGATGTTTCCATAAATAGCAATCCATTTTCATCAGCGTAAGTTTGGGCCTCTTCAAATTCTACCATGCGTTTATTTGCAAGATCTTGCTTGTTGCCAGCAAGAGCAATAACAATATTGGGACTAGCTTGCCTTTGCAGTTCCTTGACCCAAGTTTTAGCCCTCCCAAATGTATCCTGATTGGTAATATCATAAACCACAATAGCAGCTTGAGCTCCTCTATAGTACATAGGGGCCAGACTATGATACCTTTCTTGACCAGCCGTATCCCAAATTTCAAACTTTACAGTTGTGTCATCCAAACAGATTGTCTGAGTGAGAAATGCCGCTCCTATTGTACTTTCCTGATATTCATGAAACTGTCCTTTAACAAAACGGAGCACCAGACTAGATTTTCCCACAGCGCTTTCACCTAATAGTACCAGCTTAAACTGGCATATCTTTCCTTGAGTTTGCCCATTTGGTCTTTGTGCTGTAACTGTTCTATTTGCCATATTATCTAAAAATAACAAGATTAAGAAGTTTTCCTATTGAAAAAAGGGAATGTTCTGTGAAATATTTGGTTACAAATTCTGATAAAAAAATAATTTTATTTATAGTTTTCCAGAGTAATAACAGAATAACCAAAGTTCTGGCAGAAGAGAAATAGAAATGGAATTTTAAAGAGTATTCAAAATAATTAAAAAACTATTTTCTGTGTATTAGTTGCTTATTCTATCAATTGTCAAAGAAAGCAAAGAATATGCTTAAGGTAGCTAATAAACAGTGCTTTCTGCTTTTTTCAATATGACTTATTACTTTCTTTGACAGAGTAAACAAATTACAATTTTTAAAGCAGATATTAAGATTCAAAGTCCTAAGAAATATATTTGAAGGTATGTTCATCCATAACAATTTAGTTGTCAATTTTGAGGAGAAATTTGCAACATGGTATATATACTTCTGAAGAACGAGCAAAATAACTAATGAAAAGAGGGGGCGTAAAATCCGATTTCAAGGGCGTCGCACTAGATAATCAGCTGACACTATCGTGAATTATCGAACTAGGTAATTTTACAGCGAATCACGAACTAAAAACCCGTTACAAGTTGATATACAGCATCGAATGAGATTAAAGCAATGGAAATGACGCATTTGACACAATGAAAAACAATAGAAAAGGGTTAACTTACATTGACGATTTCGTTTAGATCTGGGTTTCTCAAATTCGATAGTTACTTTTCAATAACATAAAAATAGCAAATTAATTGTTTGTCCTAAAAAATGGCCAAAATGCAATTACTGGAGGCACTATCACAAAAATGAAATATAAGGTGACAGGTCCTCAAACTGCAAACGTTGCCACTACAAGACGTCGCAGTATGACAAAATATTAGGGATTGGCGAAAATCACCATAATATTGATGCAAAATTTCCCTAAAGAGGAACTAGAAGGCAATTTCAAAAAATGGAAAATTTAACTTTTTAAAGCTAATTTCTTATTAATTATATGATTCCAAAAAATAGTGGGAAGAACATATAAAATTACCGGCTATTTACGAATGTAATATTTAATAAGTAATTTTCTCGAAAATTGATTTAATTATTAATTTTATGTATTTATTATAGGAATTGTAGCGGTTTTGTTTTGGAAACAAATTGGAAACGGGATTTTTGTATAACTAGTTATGATAAAACTAACTAATTTCTTTTATCTGTGAATATAACCTATAAATACTATAAAAGTTTAAAAACGTAAAATATTTTGGACATGTTTAAAAAACCGATTAGAATCAAAAGTAATAACCCGGTAAAAGGCTCTGAACGTAAGAGTTTTAAGGACAAAGTTTGCGCTAGTTTCAAGACTTTTACCGAAGCTCAAGCAAACGATTTGCTTCATAAGAAAGAAGTTTTGTATTGTGCCAAAGTTGTGACCCACAAGGATGAAGTCGTACAGTTATTTGTGGTTAATAAAGTACCTTTTTTTTTTAGTGTTGGGGAGAAATTGTTTCCCACCATTTATTTATTATGGAAGTATCCAGATTTGATATATTCTTTCACCACCCATCCTCAAGTATTTAATTTCATAACTTCTGGGGCTGACCTCATGTTGCCAGGTATTATAACTCCACCATTGAGTTCCGGAATATCAAAATATGGGCATGTATCAGAAGGATCTGTTGTTTCTGTTAATTTGTCAAACAATAAAGCTCCTATAGCTGTTGGAGTAGCTTGTCAGGATTCAGATTCGATGATTCGTTCTCACGGAAGAGGCAAATGTGTAACAATATACCATTTTTATGGAGATAACCTATGTGTATTTAATGGCATATCCAGTATTCCAATTCCCAACATGGGAACTCAGGAATGGTTGTCACTAAGTAATTATAATGAAGATTTTCCACAACTTTCTGCAGACAGAAAAAAATCTGAATATGTGGACAAAGAAAAACTTCAAGATAACACAAATGGAGAAGTTACTTTAGACAAAGCAAAGATCGATCTCGATGGTGAAGAACACTCACATGAAGAGGAAAAACCAAATCACTCCAAGTTAAATAATGACACAGCTCTGTCAGATGATCTACTTAATTATTGCTTCTTGTGTGCTATTAAATATTCCAAAAATCTTAACTTGCCAATTCTAGTTTCTAATTTTTATAAACTCCAAATGCTTCCCTCTTGCCCACCTGACAAAGTTTTGGATATAAAGCAATCTTCATACAAAAAGCTAAAGCCATTCATAGATGAAATGTGTAAGTTAGGATTGATAACAGTGAAGGAAATAAAAAAAGGTGTTGAAGCTATAACAGAAATTAATAAGAATCACCCAAAATTTAATGAATTTTATATCAATCCCGTTAATAGGCCAAAAGAGAAAACTACCAATGACTTGGGCATAAAAGAACCTCATATTAGTGAGTCCTATATAGTTACACAAAATGTACTGCCTTTATTTCAACAGGCCGGTTATAGAAAGGGAGATACTATTCAGGGTTCTACTGTGAGAATGTGTGTCACAGATTATATTAAGAAATACCAATGCCAGGATTTGGAAAACACTAATCTAGTAAAGCCTAAAGAGGTTCTACAAATAATTTGTAGGACCGAAAGTGCTATTACCTGGGAAGAAGTATTTGAAAGGGTCTGTGATTCCATGAAAAACTGTTTCAAAGTTGTTAGTGGCAATGAACAAATTTTCAATAAAGGCAAAATATCTCCTATTACAATGAATGTAAGTGTGAGATCGTACAACAAAAAAGTAACTTTAGTTGACAATTTGGAACTGTTTGGTATCAATGTAAATGAATTTTCAAAAGAATGTCAGCATGGAGTCGCAGCCAGCACAACTATAATTTCAAAAACTCCAGGAAAGAAATCTGATCAACTGCTTGTACAAGGAAACCAAGTCATATTTATTCATAACTTACTAGTTGATAAATATAAAATTCCTAAAAAGTTTGTAAAAGGTCTAGAAAATGCACCAAAAAGAAAGAAATAAAATCTAGTATATTAATTGTGTTTCTTATAAAACATTAATTTGTAATTACTTTATTTTTAAATGGGGACAAAATATTAAGTATTCAAAGAAACAACTGCTAAATAATATAATAGATATTATAATTAATTCCAAATTTAAAATATTTCAAAAAATTATTTAACATACTTTTCCATAAACTTTTTATGAAATTCTGATCGAAGGGAATCATTTATAAAAACATTTGTCTTTTTTTCTGGCTCTGACTTTGCACAATTCTTAAAGACAACATCATCATCCCATCTTCTTCTGACTTTATGATCAGTCTTTGTTCCACCTGAAGAATAATGGGTCAGCAAAGGATTTCCACTCAAAATATTTTCCATTCGAATTCGTTCTTCTTCCTGACGTCTTTCTATCTCTTTTTTGGTTTGTTCCAAAGCTCTTTCTTTTTTGATTTTGTTTAACTCTGCTAACAATGCTTCCGTGTCATCTTCATCTTCACTTGTATCAGAATCATCATCATGATCTAATGGATCATCAGCATCTAAACTTGCTGCAGGTACTTGATCTAATTTAACTCTTTTGCTATGTTCATTTGATCTGGTAGCAGGTCTCTTTTCCCTTTCTCTTTCATCTAATTCTTTACGGAAATCTCGAGACCGATTTTCCTCTTGTGTTCCTTGAAATGGTTCTCTGTGAAAAAGTCATTGGCAATTAATCTGACATACTGGATTTCAAGACGTAAAGTACAAACCTGTATTTCAATTTCGTATGACTTGGTAAATCGCGACTAGAATATTGACGTGAAATAGCACTTAAGTCTTTTTCATTTCTACCTGTGCCGCCTCTAGCGGGTTCAAATGTTGGTCTGGCTGCTGTAGTCATATTCCTTACCTAACCCTATTAAAACTAAAATTATAATAATATAGTTTTATCCGGTTTAATTTAATAACAAGGCAGATATACTAAAATCCTGTTTGTCATGAAAAGCCATAGATATAGAGAGAGTTGTAGACATCAATCACAGAATACAAACATCTCTATAGTTTATTTCTGGTGGTCGATTTTCTTCGGCTATACAGTCAAATTCTTTCTTTTTCATTTGGTGCTATGGACAATTGCTTTTTTTTCCTTACTTGCCTTACACCTTTACTAAAACAGCTGCCCAAGGCTTTTTCCATATCCACAACCTCCGGCAAGTTGAGTTTGCAGGTCTAACACCTTATCATCCGAGCCATACTTAGCCTTACTAATTATTTTAAGGCTTCAAATAGACTAACCCAGAGAAAACATATAATGGTCGCAGATTTGAAAATTGAGGTGTAGGTTGAAAATAGTGTTGTATTCAACAAGTTTGATAAATGCTACTTTAGTCACAAATTTGATTTAGCATAAGCGGAACGCAGGGGAGCGAGTGTTTAATAAACGAATGACTGAAGAAGTTTAAAAATATGTTACAATAATCATAAAGAATAATATTGTAAGTTACACTCAAGTTTAGTAAACACCATTCTGTACCGCTATCACTAGAGTATGGTAATTATAATACCAAAGGAATAATGAACAATTATTGTGATAATACTTTTTGAATTTTGAAAGAAATCGTTGGCGACACTGAAACTCTGGATGATGAATCTAATCTTCTGTGGTTCCATTAAATCGTTGACCTACTGTAAGAGGCGCTGGTGTGATTTAAATTCAGATGACAAGACCTGAACTGATATGTCAAAAGTTGGAAAAGATAAAACTTCAACAAACCAAGCTTAACGAGAATTGTTTCATAAATTAGAAGTTTTTGCAAGTGCATCGTGTATTGTGCTAAATTTTCTTGGATGTCGCGGGTTATACACACGGTTGGGATCGATCATGCGTAGGCTGACTAGGCCATGATATTGAAGGGCAACTTAAAATTTTGTATTTTTATTGTGAATGTGGAGTGCATTTTCAAAAATATTCAATAGGAACTCTGGCCTAAAGAGAAATCAAAGTGGCGAAGTCACATCGGAACCAACTGATCAATCGGATAATTTAGACATGGATGATACGTTTACAAAACAGGTAATTACAGTCATCTTGTATTGGGATACATAGCACCTGGTATACTTTTTATTTATTTACATGTTGGAGTGAGAAGAATTCCTCTGTTTTTGGAGTTTTTAGCAGAATTATGTTAAAATATTCAGTTCATGCAATTGATTTGCCTACCAAAGAAGATGTAAAAGTAGTCTAGAGGCATCTAGTAGTAGTTACATATTTTTCCTTACTTTCATTGAAGTTGTATTAAAGAATTCTTATCTGGTTGATTAATATATATTTTGTATCTTTTAATATTGGGTATCATAATGTTTCATTCAAATAATTGTTATTTTCAATTTTGACCAAACCCAAAACAATTATTTTCTCTTGGGGTAAATTGATTGTATTCAATATAATGTAGAACTTACAAAAAACACAGAAATAAAAAATAAATGAATAGGAATTATGGTTATATTTATTATAATTGTGATTTTTTTTTCATACATTGCTTTGTTAGTATCAATTATCTTTTTCATATTTATATTCGAGTTTATTTTATTATTTAATTTAATTAATATTTACAAGAATGTGCCTATTGATTTTTGAAATGCATTACATAATTAAATAATGTATATTTGCACCGAAGTGAGAGTTGCCAGTTTCACTGATCCCACACTTTTTTTAATGTTTTTTCTTCTATAAGCCCATTTTAAGAACATATTAATGTTTGAAAATTAATCTTATGAAACAATAAAATAATTGTCATCTGAATGAACAATTGTCTACTAAGCACAAGCAATTATAATCAGACATTTGTTAATTAGCACGTGCTGTGGCGTTCTGAATTTTAACAGTTGAATAAAAATTGTGGGTGTCAAATTGCTGTTAATTTAAATAATTATATGGTCAGGAATGAAATCTATGTAATTCTTATTTGATAAACACAAACATATGATATAGTAAAAGTGAATTTTTATATTGATTGTGTGTAATATAAGTGCGCATTATATTTATTAAATAATGGTTTAACGTTTTTGATTCATTAATGTTTACCTACATAATTTTTTAATTCTATTTCTAATGGTTTTTTCAAAGTAATTCATGAGCGACCTTTTATTAATACGTATTGGCTCAATATATTTATTTTGACGAGTTTAATCTAAGCTTGCTTATTGTGGAGGGTTTTGGTGCATTTATTAATGTGAGGATAGATCAAGCAAACATTATTCTGCAACCATTGAGCGGCACGTCTATCAGTTGCGCAGCTGTTGCGATCTGTTGGACGGTGTGCACTCCCTAGGCGGTACATGAAAGGTGATGTTGCCTAACACTAGGCTCCAATGTCGCCAATGTAGACGCGTGTACCACATCATATACCAAAGTACCTTTATACAGGGTCGTCGCTAAAGGTGGGAATAGACAAACACCTCGGGAGAGAACACCGCGCAACAGGTCGGTAACAATCGCAACACAACCTCGTTTTGTTGGATCTTACACAATAATCTTTTCTTGGCCTTTTTCCACGTTAATATGACTCATTAGCATTTCCATTACAAAATGTCACTGGGTGGTTAGCGCCTTATATTTTTTGAAAATATTTTCAGGCCAAGCATAGAGCTTCCATCAAATGGCTGCTTTCAAAAGCATTTAACAATAAAGTTCCGGAAAACTTAAGAGAACCGTTTTATAAGGATCATGAGGTATGTATTGGGTTTACAGGTGAAACAATTCCATAATAATGTGAGATTAAAGTCAATTTTGCTTGCACACACGAGTCTGATGTGATATTTAGCCCTCTGATTGATTTTTATAGGGCCAAGAGCATCTTAAACCCCAAATTGTGGGTGGTTTGGCTAATGCGGAGATCTACTGCCGTTCGTTGGCAAATATTTATTCAGACCCTAATTATCATAGCCTCAATCACAGTGCCATTTTAATGACATTGTCAAGGAAAGGTGTCTCTATCAGTGAACCATCTGATGGAGGTCAACTTACGGAAACAACCCTTATTCAAACAAACCCTTTGCGAATGGTAAACATTGTGAACTGCCTGAAAATTATTCCTTAAGAAAATCATTTTTCAGAATGCCCATATGGTTGTGATTGAATCCATCATGCTTTTGTACGCAAGAGAAGTAGTAACACCAGATCGCGTGTTGGCCGCTGTTCAACGTTTTAGTCACGGGCAGGGACCGCCACCCCCAATGCCTAAAAATCATGAACAGGGGCTATTAATGTGGGTGGAAAAGGCGTGTGAAGCGCTTCAACAGCGTCTGGAACAGGATAGGTCTGAAAGTACCGCACTGTCGAATGGTGGAGGGGTGAGTAATTGAAGTAATTATTTATTGCAGTGTTCTTTAAAGAGGATTCTCATATTTTAAAAATAATTTTGGCATTTTTATCATTTTGTTTGGTTAGTAAGAATAAGCGGAACTTAATTTATTATTGAGTTTTTATGAAAAAAAAATTGTTAAACAAACATATATAGACAGAACCTTTGAATCTTGTAGCTGTTGATAGTTTAAAAAAATATGTAATCGACTATATCTCTGATATTGTTATGTATATAATGCATAAATATGTAATATTTTAGTTATTGCTACTGTAAAGACTTCAAGGCCTCCATGCGAAATCTCTTTTATCTTTATCTTGTGGACAACAAGAAATTATATAACAGTGGAAACTCTCTGCGCATGAGCTAACGTGACACTCATTACTCTTCCAAAACACTACCATCCACGCCAAAAACACAAACCTATCAAACTACTGTTGAGGTGCAATTGCAGAAGTATAGTCGCATTTGCCGGATTGTAGCCCTGCCATATACGTTTTAAATGGAAAATCATATATACTCGCATTGTCGCCAAACAAAGAAAAAATCCCATGTTATGTCAATTTTAAAGACATATGAGCAATATAAAGCAACTCAAGCTTATTTGAGTAACTGTCTACATAAAAAATAATATTTTTATAATTTTGTCGATACACTGTAGCTGTACATCTGTGGGTTTCCTTTATAGCAATTTCAAATACCTTTCATTAGTCTTCTGTAACTATAAATTTGATCCAAAAAATCCTGAAATCCTGAATGCTAGAGTTTATTTCTAACAAAACTATATCAAGGAACTGAATATGAACTGAGATAAATTGTACAGTAAAAACAAAATAGCAAGTATGCTTGTTGTTTTTCTCTCTTCTCATTTTTTAATTATTTTATTTATCAGTATAATTCTTACTAAAATTTGCAATTTATTATTTGATTTAATTTAATAATTTAAATTTTTGTGACAACTAAATCAATAGGTAGGGAATATGAAAATACTGATTTATTTTTAATTTCTAAATAATGCGCCAAAATATATATGCTCATGTTATATAACTGATATAAAGTTAAATATAATAATAATAAAAATATAATAATAACTATATTTATAATATAGTTGTAATAATAAATATTTTTATAAAACAAAATTAGATCAATCATAGTGCAATAGGTATAAATACATTTATTTCTTTTGCCGTATATCCCCACATTGACATTACTACTATGGTATACAATTTACTATTTTAATAGTATATTATGCAACAAGAAATTATTGGCATATATTCTAGATACATGAGATTGTCCAAAATGGACAAAACACAGTTTTCACAAAGTACCCTCTACTAAACGATATACCCTCAAAAACGCCTAAAAGGTAGAAATTTGAGAGGTAATATAAAACACCTCGTATTACACTTTGCTGCTGGTAGTATTAATGTGTATGACAAAAAAGAAAAGAATCTCCATCACTACCCGTCTCCCTTCCATCTACCTCTAAAATTTGGCTCACAGAATCAATATTTGTTGTTGCATTACTTTAACCATTCCAGTTTAGATCCACTTTAGTATAGTCCATTGTTTAAGTATCATCAATCAGCGATTATTTGTGATTATAAATTTCGACCAAAATGTGGATATGATTTAATATGCGTGATCCATAATCCATATCAGGACTTATCAACCCAACCAAATTGTTTTTTGTTATAAATAATATGTTATATTGTGCTAAAAAAATGTTTTTTTTAGGGCGATAAACCGAGGCAACCGCATTTTCATTCTTGTCGCGACTTGAAGGATCTATGCGATGGTAGCAACTTGGCAGCTCTAATTTCCTTCTATTGTCCTGATGAACTTTCCTGGTCTGACATCAAAGTTTCGCAAGTGCCCTCAGTTCAGGGCAGTTTGCAAAATCTTCAAATCATACATGAGTTTTGTGATCGTTGTCTGCCATCGTCCATATTTCATTTAGAACCTGAGGATATTTTTTACATGAGCGAGTGAGCTTGAATTTTATTATTCTGCCATCCACAATTAAAAAAGCGGTATGCGCAGAAACAGCTCCAGATAATTGAGTTTGAAGTTTTTTGCGACTTCGCTATTTAGAGATATTTTGTAAACAAAAGTGTTTTATATGTTAATAGCAATAGGATTAAGTAAGTAACTCCGTTTTATTCATGTTTTCTTATTCATTGGAAAATTCACAATTATTGACAAGTCTTGTACAATATGTGATAGATACTGGCGACTTTACTGATACTTCTTTAATTTTTGCTGACATGTAAAATTGTTCAGCATTTCGATTATGAATGTATCAAATTTTTGCAAATTTGGTAAATACCTTTTCCAGCCTTTTTCTGTTGACAAATAATTTGAACAAATTCCCCTAATTGCCAAAATCTCAATTTTCTGTTTTGCTGGCCTAATTGTGGACTTCAGTATAAATATCTAATTCTTATTGAAGGATATGGTCAATTTGAACCAAGATTTTTTCAGATCGTTGAAGTCAAATCTTATTGTTTTTCTCGCGGACCTGTTCAATGTCATAGAAATCCATCCAGCCAATTGCATTAAAGAAAAGATTTGTGGTGGTAAGTAACAATTATTTTCAGTGATTTTTATTTTTTATATCTAAATATCAGTCTGTAAAGGTGGTGGTTTATGGTGATGGTTATCTGAATTACTCTCAACAGAAAATACACTTTAAACATATCCACGCAATAGTTCTCTTCTTGAATAATAGTTCTTAGAGTGCTGTAAGGGTGCAGGGTGCAAAGGGCGTCCTGTTTGATAACGGCATAGACGACGTTTTATGTTGTTTTTATATAGGGCAAAAATTAACTAAGCAAAGTGAATTATAAATTTGTTTGGTAATCCGTTATTAGTGGAAAAATGGGAACCGAAATTTACAATTTTAAATCTTGTATGCGTCCATATTGTTTCACTAATTATAATTTGCAAGGTAAAAATCAATTTCAATTTAAGTACTCTGTCATTCCTGGATGTTTATAGTACTTAGATTCAGATTTACACTTAAAATTTTTTAACCACAAAAACTCCACTGTTAACAAGATTTTGACCTTTATTTGACACAATCTGCTTAAATATAAAGGCTGCCCATAAAAATGTTAAATCCACCATGATCATATTCTGTGACCTTTGCGATAATATTATATTTTGATCGAAATTTTGTGCCATTGATGCATAGAAGACTTTCCTGCTCGCAATGCTCACGGCGTTGTGCATAAACGTAATCTACTGCAGCCGGTTGTGAACCCCATACCGGATCTGCGCAGCGGAATAGATAATCCTACATCTTCTGCCACTTTTCAAGGTAATTTTTTATAATTCGCACCACAATCCCTTTGTTCATGTGGTAGACAGTTGCTTAGAGAGGGTCAATTTTTTCCTCATTAATAGTGGGTCTCAGTCCACTGTCACTCGATTAAAAATCATTTTGAGATTCACGTTTGGATAGTGACCATTTTTCAAGCTCTACGAGTTGTAAACGGCTTAAATCAATTTTACAAAATTCCTGCGGAAATATGTTAGCCGGCATAATTATATACCTTGGGTTCTTACTGTTCTGATATTGAAATTTGAATGAATGAATCCTGAGAGGAGCGTGAATTTTTTGAGCGGTAGTCTAATAGTAGATTAGTAGCTTATTAGATTTCAGTATCGTTATTGGTTCTGCGTAGTTAATAATACCATCCTCAGTTGTTAACAGTAGACAGACTGCGGGTTCATTGTTGTTAGTTTTGGTTACGTACTAATTTAGTGAAGATTATAAATGAAAAATTTTAATTGCTATTTGTTATTATTAACAGTCATACATATAATCATGGTGTGGTTCACATTTTAGGTAGATGCAATTTTATTTTTGTTAAATTTGCATGAGTAGAAACAAACAGCCTAGATTGCACTGCATGTTGTTAATATTGCTATTGTATTAAAGGACACTAGATTTGTTCAAACTCAAAAGAAGAATGTCAACGGTCAACAAATGTTTTAATTTTTGCGTATCCAGAACAATTTTTAATTTTATTTAAAATTTTTATGTTAAGTTAACAAATCTGGATCTGGCAACCCACAACTTCGGAAGGTCAATTCCCTGCAACAAAGTCAGCAGTCGCTTTCAGAATTTAGTGAAGATAGCATAAGACCTAGCACAGATGAGTCGTTTGTCGTTTATAAAGGGCGTAATATTCCTACATTGAGATCGGTACTTAGTGAAGATCACAGCAAACTTAGGGTAAATAATATTTAAGTTATTTAGCTGATTAAGTATGCCACATTCTTTAGGGGACCAAGGAGAGACAGGATGAAAGGGCTGAAGTGGCTGCTGGCAAACCGAGTAATTGGGATGAGAACAAAAAGACTGGCTTTGCGGGTAGAAGGAGCAGAAGAAATTCTATGACTGACGAATCTCAATTAACTATCGAAAACTTCGGCGGTAGTCAGGATAATCTTAGTTTTATTGGCCGTAATCCAGACAAAGAGGTTAGTTTCATTATAAAGTGGAAGTTTTCATTTTAGCAAAGCATTGCAAGCAAATTGACTTAATTATTTAATTCAAATCACCCATTCTTTTTTTTTATTTTAAAATTCTACATTTTTCAAAATATGTACCCATCCACCGATAGGTAGCTGTTCATGTGGGAAGGAAAATTTCCGCGCCATCTTTCCCTGTCGCGGTGGAAAATCCAAGGGTTAGATCGTCGGTACAAGACGCTAGGGGCTCTCTCCAATTAGGTTACGATAATGGCTGTGAAAAAGAAGATAGCGTCCCGGAAGACAGATTGAAAAGACAAATGAGTAGTGATGACATTACGTTAATGAATTTTAATTTAAGCAAGGAGAAATCAGTTAAAGATTTGGTGGATGATGAAGCGAACAACCGTATGAGCTTTGCTGATTTGGGGAAACAAAAGAATATAGGTAAACTATCACAGCTAATTTTCGTTTTCTACTCCCTGCTGCAAAATATTCTATTATGAACGGAACTGTTTCTTTAAAACGTTAGGTTCGTTACCCACGGCCGCGAGTCACTTTGGAGTTAGAACTTTGTGTTCTCGGAGATTTAAGCCACAATAGTATTTTGACGTCTGTCAATTCTAAGGGCCCCATTACACCTCATTTAACGAATGTATTCGTACTGTTTTGCTAAAATGTACCCAATTGTCGTATGCAACAGGTTAATGAACTTCTTCAGTCACTCATACCAAGTCACACTCGGGACTAAAGTTCCGCAGCATAATATACTATTATCATGATTCTCTGTTGGATTATCTTTTGATATATAAAATATTTATGGTGTTGATCATTTTCCTTCGTGGTAAGTTATCCATTTTCTTTAAGATAGTATGTCAAAAATTAGCATTGGCATAGCCATTGGCATTTGGCAAAGAGTTGTGATTTCGAAACGTTATTCTGTGATATTAGTCTATATATATTTTTGAAATATTTAAGGTGAATATAGGGGCATAAATTTTATGAACGTTCAAGAGAAGGAAGACTATCGTCCAAAGTCGAGTTTCCTAAACAAATCGACAAATGGTAATGCTGAGAAAAAGACATCTTTTGATACATTGCCCAACACAACCACGTGGCAGCAGCAAAGCTTGAACACGCAGAGCCATGAAACCAGTAATGGAAATGATAATTTGGCGGGGAACAATATAATGGCAACACAGCTTAATGATATTAGGTTTGTGCTAACAAAAATTTCGATAGTACTTAATTAAGCCAAAGTCAATAAAAACCTGCAGAAAATTGCCTAATGGTTTTTACCTATAGATTGAAACTTGAAGAAAAACGCCGGCATATCGAAAGTGAAAAGAGAAGAATGGAAATGGCCATGAACAAACAGAGGCAGAAAGTTGGTAAGGCAGCATTCCTTCAAGCTGTTACAAAGGTAAGTTATAATTTAAACATTTTTGTGGTGGTATTGGTGTAAATAGAATCAATGTTCGGGATGAGCTTTGTCGCACATTCTATGGGATCTGCATTGCACAACTATTTTTTATTTGTTTAAAGCGGATAATATTAAGTCACCACATGACTTAAGTGCGTTTCGTAATTGTTAAAAAAAAACATAAAAACTGTTACCACCTCCAGTAAAATATAAGTCTTCTGTGATGGTGCATTCAGCTCGTTTACAAATTTAGTTAATTTATGATGCTGATATTGTATTGGTTTGATATAATTGCAAGACTCGCTTGAGCCATGCTGCTATTTTTAAATATTTTTGCAAGGTCTGCAAAAGAACACTTTCTACATAGTTTTTTACAAAATGGCATTAGAATGGTTTAAAAAGTGGTTAAACAGGTTGTTATGGTATCTGTGCATTTGGTGGTAATGTAGGTATACTAACTTTTAGGGGAGAGGTAATTTACTAAAATCACCAAGTAATTCTAATGACCAAAGCCCAAATGAAAAATCCCCCAGCCCACTTCCTGAAGTGACAGCAACATCAAAACCTCAGAGGCCGTTTTCATTACAGGTACTTATCTAAGTACTGCTATATATATTTTTTTCAACCATCATAATCCCTAGCAGCTTCCTTAGGAATGTTTTATTAATTAATCAAACTGTCATGTTACTAACAAATTTTTGCTGTGCGAAGTAAAATATGGCCACTAGATTTGTTAAAGAGTTAAATTAATAAAAATTAGTTTTGCGGTTTCAAATTTAACAAATAAATAATGTTTACTTAATCCTTAGGAAATATCCAGTGATGTATCAAATGTAGAAAGAAAGTGGTTTGATAATAATCAACCATATCTAGAGACAAGACGGACTCCCGACTTGGATAACATGGATTTAGAACAATATCAAAAATCCATAGCTCAGTAAGTCAACCCCTAAAAAATTTAGCGACACCCTTTGTAACCACCCTCTTTCTTTGTAATCTAGAATGAATTCTAGTCTCACCGATATTCAGTCGGACATACAGCAATTGGCGGCACAGCAAAGTCAGTTGCAATTGCAACACGATCAAAAACTCATCGCCGATCAGCAACGCCAGATTTTGCATATGCAACAGCAACAGTATCAGACGATGCAAAGACAACAGCAACAACAATATGCTCAACCCTACTCTCACCAGCCCCAGATTTATCAGCAGCAAGGTGTGTTGTTTTTTTGTAATTTCCTATCGAATCTAATTGAAATCCTTTTAAATCCAAACATCCAAAATAAGTAGTAATAATAAATAAAAATGAAATATGAATTTATATCGTGTGATTTCCATTTTGGTCATGTAAACAGGTTGTTTGTGAAAATGATATATTGTGTATATAACTGCAACAGGAAACAAGGAATTACAAGAGCATTTTTTTCATTCCCGAAGAAACAAGACTAAGTAGGATAATTTAGTATACTTGAATAATCGTTTGAATGATATTGATAACATAAGATTCTAGGATTTAAAGGTACAAATTGGACCCTGACACAACGTTGTATTCAAATTAGAATTCGCGATTTATATTTTTGTTGAAAAACTTTGTTGCAACATCATATCGCCCTAGGATGTTTTTTGCAAATTTAATTAAAACCCTGCCGAAATCAGATTGGGAGAAAATCTAAAACATTCATGTAGAGATAGGAGTTATACGTAATAATAATATTGAATAATTTGTATCTTTGTATTTTGAAGCGTGAATATATTTTATTATAAAATAGGTAATTGTGATATAAAATAAAAATAAAAAATTGTAAAACTTTAAATCTAACGGGTATGTTGTTTTTCTGTTTTTGTTTTTATTTTATATATTTTATAGTATATTAACAAATTGTTGTGTTATTCAGAAAGTAGTATCCTCTATTATAGTGTCTTGCCTTAACATAAGAAATATTTGGTTGTTAGTAAGACATAGTAATTGTTTCTATACATAGATAGCAATTCGATGGCACGACTTTAACACCTTTACAACTTTGTTTTTTAATTATTTGCTGCTGCATTAAGGTGATTCCTCGTCTTCGGTACTTTGTTAGGCTCTTTTTTATTTTGTGTAGGTGTTCCTGTCCAAATGCAACCTGCGTCAGCTGCACAACCTATTCCCGTGTCTTTGTTTGGCCCCACGAAGGCGGTGGAAGAACCCCAGTTTTTTCTCCATGATCATGCCGCACCCGTCGCCCCACCCAGAAGAACGTGGGCGCAGCAGTCGCAATTATCTCACGACAGGGGCGAACTGAAAACGTGGGGCAAACCGCAACCCGTCGAAGTAGCTTACAACGAAAGTTTCGTGCTGCACGATACAGCTAGAAGATTACAGGAACATGCCAGATATCAGGACCTGGCTAAATCGTCGGAAAACAGATATCATAACGGCGATCATTCGAACAGTTTCACTCTTAGTCAGCAGTATCATAAACAGGTGAAAGTTACTTTTCTCGTAGTACTTATACATTTATATTAATTATTGATTGTATTATTTATAACTATATTAATTTTTCTCTGCATAGTTTGCGACTGCACACAGTACACCTTCAGCTTCGCCGCAACATCACAATGTTCACCGGCAAATATCTCAGTTGCTAGACAATGCTGCCACAAATAAGAGGGTGTCCCTCGTCAGCCTTCAGCAAATGGATTGCGGTGTGGGTGGCGGACGGGAACGTAAAACCAGCGTCACCCATGCACCGGTAGCGGCCCCGCCTGCTGACGACATGGAACCTCAAAATATTTCCTTTATTGGTAATAGCGTAGACACGGCGCTAAGTGAAGGTATGTAAGTCATGTTGATTAGTATTGATTGTTCAATATGATTATTCATTGGGTTTTGACATCCACCTGCAAAATTTTAAATAGAAAAATTTTTGAGTTTTTTAAATAAAATCGGAAACAAAATAGCTGTCAAGACTTTGTACAAATAAGTGCAGTTCTTTAAGTGTCACCCTTTTAAACCGCCTTCTAAGCTGAAAGCTGGAATGTGTTTAATTTTCCCAATTATTCATATCAATTTTTTTATGTTTTTGATACTATAAAAAAATAGAAAATATCGAAGAGCCATCAGAAATATTTATTTCTCAGGATGTACGAGGCGCCACATTTTTGAATATCTACCGTACACTATTTAGTCGCCCTTAACTTTTTTGTGGAATATTGAGTCATGAATAATATTCACCTTACGGTTTAGATCCTATCATGCTTACTTTCTCTTTTTCTTGTTCTGGAAACTGTATAGTTGCTGGAGGGTCTTTTGCTCGTCGATTAAAAATCTTTTACTCTAAATATTGTGCTTTTGTTAATTTAGTGTATTGAATTTCAGTGAATTATTTTTAAAATCTTGAAGCATAAATGAAAAAAAAACTGTATCTTTTCTTTATTTTTAATTGAGGAATATTCCTTTTTTTTGCACAGGTCTCAGTCGCATCAACATAGTCTCAGGAACTCGCACATATAGAATTCCATCACCCACACGTCCACATATTTCTCGAAATTCATTTCAACCATCATCTTCGCCACCTGTCGCTTCTGAACTTCTAGACGAACCGACGGATGTAGATGATACTAGTCAGAAGAAAGGTTTCTATATTAGTTTTGATAATGATCAGCCGAAAAGAACAAAACCACCTCTTAGAACAAAAAGAATGTCTCCCAAAAAGGAAAGGAGCTTCATTGTTGACGCGAGTGATGAAATCGATGATGTTCCAAGGCCACCCGAAAGGTAAGTTTTTTTCTGTAATTACTATTCATTCGCGCAACTTAAAGAAATATTGAACCAATGTTATAAGGTGTAAAATAATCTAACCAAATTTACAGCGAAAATCAAAAGAAAGAAAAGGATTAGACGATTTAGATTTTTTTTTTCAAAGAAATTTATTCAGAGCTTTTACAGTCGTCCTTACATATTACACATAGCTATAATTTCAAATCAGTATAGTACTACATACATGTATATACATATAGATATTTTAAATATATTAGAACTACACAATTCGTTAATTTTTGTTGTCTGAACACACATTTTAGTGTCCTATATTAGTAGTGTATTCATAATATTCATTAATAGTATTCGAATCGTATTGTATAGTTGCCTGTGGTGGGCTTAACAAAGCTATAATGTACGGCCTTTCTATTGTCCAAAAATATATAATTTAAGTTTTGATGTTTAAAGATAAAGGTTTTTCAACTCAGCTACTTTTTGAAGAAAGTAACCTATTGATAGTAGAACAGTGATATAATAGCATACATCTGGGTTTGTAATCACTGCTCTTATTGTACAGTTTTTTATACTCATGTAATAAACAAAACCAAGGGAATTAGAAGCACACACAGATTTATAAATCCAGCCTGTTTGTCAAATGCTGGTTTTGTGGGTAAATATCTGGATTTTTAAAATAGCAGTATCATATGATTTTTGAAAGTAATATCTATTTGTAACTTCACTATGCTAATAAATGAAATAATCTAAAATATATTAGTGCACATGCTCAAAGTTTGTTGTCATCCTCCTAATTTTGATCATTTAATCTGTTTTATTAACACAAATTCTTAAGAAAATTAGGTGAGCATGTAATTAGTCTTAAATATATTAGTTTTATTAAGTTGGTTGTGTTACGGTTTTCAGAATATGTCCGTTTGGTACTGGTCAGGCTGTATTTTTTTGTTTTAATTTTGCCTAATATTTAGCATTAACCTCAAGTTTCCAATATTTCTGACCATTCAATAAGATCAAAAATACCAACTCAAAAATTATGACCAGCATTTCACTAATTACAAAATTATAGTTATTTTAATTATTTTAATTTTAGACAAGAGAAATCAGAAAATCGAATAAACGAGGGGAGATTTAGTAATCAAAGTCAAAAAATGGATTATTTAATTGGTCAGGAGCGGGAAAAGTTAAGAGCAAAACGAGAGGCTAGTCAAGAAAAGCAGAAAGTGGCAGCTGCCAGTGCGATAGTTATAGGAAATGAGCTCACAAATCCCAATCCGGTATGAAGAAGTTATGCTTGAAATATATGGTTGAATTTGTTGATTTGTTGTTATTAGGAGGTGGTTGATGAATTGGAAAGAAAGAAGGAGCGGTTATTAATGTTATCATTGCAACGGAGACAGCAACAAGAAGAGGCAAAAGCTAAGAAAGAAGCGGAAACACAGAGACGGAGGGAATTTGAAAAGGCGAAAGAAGAAGAGAAAGCTAGAAAGAAAGAGGAGCAGGCGGCGAGGCGAGCTGCCATCTTGGAGCAGTACAAGTTGAAAAAAGCGATTGAAGAAGCTGAAAGAGAAGTATGATTTTATCGATTATGATATTTCAGACCAAGCATTGTTTATTTTTAGGGAAAGATTCTAGATAAACAAGAACTGTTAAGTCTCAAACCAACACCAAAAATGCGTTCCAAAGGCACCACTCGCCCCAGGCCAAAAACGATTCACATAGACAGTGGTTCAGTGCAGCTCGCTGAAGGCCTGTCAAGTAGGGATAGAAAGGGCTCTACGTCAAATCTGACTGGTAAGTTACAAAACTGTTATTAAAAATTCTAATCATCTAAGTAACATCTAGTAAGGTTTGCTGGATGCTATGCAATGATGCTGGTTGGTTAGTTTTGTTTCGAAGAAATAATTTATTTGGAGCCATTTTCCCAAAAGCTTACGTTTTGTTTTTCCTTTTTTTTTTGTTATTTTTTGTTTTTTTTTTTTTCACCAGCTTATTCACCGGCAACTATGAAGCGCGATTATTACCGAGGGTCTCAAGATAGTTTAAACGACAGAAGCATGAGCAGCAATATGCTTTATAGAGGTGTGTGCGAAAAATTTGTGAAAATATAGGCGATATTTTCTGGTGCTGTGGACAATTTTTGTAATCCTTCGCTAATTGCAGATTCACCAGATGACAGCCACGGTATGTCACCTTGCCACAGTGCAAATCAGACTTTAGGAAGACGGAGTTCATACAAAACCAGTAGAGGTAAGGAGTTATGCGGTATGCTTTCTATTATGTTGTGCATAGGTAGCATCAACTCTGCACGCTATACTGTTGAATTGCGACACTGATTTTTCGTATTTGAAGGATTCTGTTTTCCTTGCATTACTTTAGACCTTTAGGTTAATATTTGTATTGTTGAGAGTTGCTGGTAGGTCCTTTGTAAGGCTATTGTGGTGCGCCGTGGTTTCTAAAAAAATATGTTAGTAATTGAACAGGAGTATGTTCTTCCATGAAATATTTCATGCGATCATTATCTGACTCTTGAGCTAAATATTGCATTGGTATCTGTCAATTAGTTTTTGACATTCAGTTTCTGATGTGCCTCATCTAGTGATAGTCATGGTAACCATATTACACATTGATCGAGGAAAATGTGTACATGACGGGTTGTGGACACGCGTATGCAACCAAATATGCAATGAAACAGTTCTCCGTTTTGTGACAATAGTTAGTACACTTCTACTTATCAGCAGAATTTTTCGTCGTTTTTTAACGACTACATAGCGGAGAGAATCATTTCGGTGGTTGGTTAGATAGCTTTGTCCAAAGCGTTTTTTTTTGTTTCATTCAATTCAAATTTTCATCACAATGTGCCTTGGAAAATAAAGGTTCGCTATATAATGTAGAGATCTGTTGTATTATCAAAGTTTCCTAGCTGCACCTCCAATACTAGCAGCTAAGTATTTATTGCAGCTTAAATTTGCCTCTAATACATTTTATATGATACTTTAGTTGTCATAAGTAATGTAGCAATATTCAACCAAACAGGCCAGAACAGGAGTGCATTTTTTTTGGTTTTTGTGTCGATTGTCGCGTTTGAGACATCTCTATGAAGGGATAACATTTTTCGTCATCTGTATGGTTGCCACAGAATGTATAGGGAATAGCAAATCTGTAATTTTGTCTATTGTGATTTGTTTTATAACAACATGTAAGAAAGTTTTATTCTGATTTGTAATGAAAGGAAAGCGTAAAAAACATATTATCAATTATTATTGTATTGTATTCGAATTTTTGCTGTTCTGGTATTATGATAATCACATAGAACAATGACTGAGTACACTGTACACAGTTTCTCACTTTTTAAAGGTCATTTGGGTCTAAGTCTTAAAGGTCTTTGTACATGTTAGAGATTTGTTTGCTCGGAAAAAGTTACGCGTGAATTAGATGGTAGTGTATGTATGCAAAAAATGTTTTTCAGACCCCTCCCCCGCCCAGGTCCGTGGCAGACCTAAGATTTCAACTTATCAAAACTTTAAAGGGCGCAAGTCTAGCTCTATGATGAATTTGTATGGTAAGATCACAGTTACAATCATTTCTGGCCTGGTTCGAGGTGTTCATGTACTCACCTAATATGTTGTATTCGTTCGGTGTCTTGGTTGGTCGTGGGCATGATATATATTTTTTATTTTTTAGATGATTATTTTAAAAGGCGGTTTTAGCATTTTGAGGGTTTGATTTGAATATTTTAGGTTGATGAACAGTTGCAAAACCTAAGTACTGATAGATTTAGCACTCAAAATGTTTAAAGCTGTTTCACCCTGTTCTGTTTTGCATATTGTTTAGATTTTTGGAACTTCCTTATTTTAACCCCTTATATATTTCAATAATTTCATTTGGTGATGGTTTTTAATTCAGTCTTTTTATCACAATTTAAGCCTACTTAATCTCATATTATTTAATTCTATAATAATACTTGGTCATCGTGTAACAACAAGTAGCGAAGTGTAAACTATTTTGGGTAGAAATTGCGGTTCTACTTATAATTCTACATTGGAATGAACCTATATCCAAAAATATTTGTCGATTCCCTTTCATTGTAATATTTATTACTCTTTCGGCTATTTACCAATTTATAGAAGCTGCTTGGTTTTCTGTTTCAAAGTATCAATAAAATCTACAACTAAATTTCTGCAAGGGTCCTAAAGGGCGCTTGAAACTTAAGTTTTGGCATAAACAAACTTTTAGAAAATGAATTTGTATTTATCTTTTTGTTTTTTAGTTGTTTATAAAAGGCATATTTTACCGCTTAATTTGTTTACATAGATGAATAGCATGATACTTATATCTTTATCCTTTATCTTGTCTTATTCAAAAGTCTTACAATTCAGATTTTTACTTATTTTTTTGATTGTAGCTTGTTTACAAATTGGATGGATCTTTTTGTTAATTCATATTTATTTATAAGTATAGTAGGACCTTTTATGTTGGTTTTCACATTTTTACCTTTGAATCAGTTTTTGTAGAGTTAGTTGAAATAGAACATTGAAATTAATAAGCATTTGCAATTTTCTGAATTTAATATAAAATTTAACTAATCTTCAGGTGGCATTTATTGTCAAGGCTGCATATTCTTTTTCTATATTTATTTTAAAACTTTTGCTTAACTCGATAGCAACTGCTATGGAAAACCAAGTAGGTCCTAATTCAGAAGTATTTTATTTTGTTTTACATGCACAGGCTGGAATAATAATACAGAAAAGTAGAATTTATGATTGTTTTTCTTTTGACAACATTTTGATAGTAATTTGGGGGGACGGCAGTTGTTTTGAACCAAAACTTCTGAAGTACCTAAAAAACAATTGGGAATTCCTGTATATTGAACTATATATTTATATAATTATATCTGGCGACCAGATCAACAAATTTACTTTATACAGAGTGATGTAACAGGAAGTGGTCTATCGCTCTTAAAACATTTTCAAGTATGCAGTTTTGTTGCTACTATGTAAATGTGGCAAAATCTTGTTTAGTTTAAATGGCACCCCCTGTAGATTCAACTCAAAAAATGAAGTAGATTTTCTTCAGGTTTCGCTATACCTATGTCTTACCGTTCTCGAACAAAAAAATCGTACAAATTTTATTTTTAAACCGCCCTGTATATTCCACCTAAAATGGTATCGCAGGATAAAATACCCAAACCTTTCCAAAAACAGTCTGCAAAAGCTCGCCTTTCTGTTTAATTAAAACACGGGACTAATAAAACTTGAAGAGTTCAAATTGCTTAAAAATGTAAGAAAGTATTTTTTATTTCTATAACTATAAGATATAGGGAAACCTGAACAAAATTTATTTTGTTTCTTAAGTAGAGTCTAAAAATTAAATTATATGCAGGGTGTTCCATTCAAACTAAACAAGATGTTGCTACGTTTATATATAAGCGGCATACTTGAAAATATTTTAGAGCGATAGAACATCGACCTGAATAATTTAAAGTAAATCCATTGATGTGTTCGCCAGATACTTCTAATAGGCCAGCCACTGTGCGCCACCCGCAATGGTGTGTTACATTTATACAATGGTTTCCAATTGACAACAGTTGGAGATACATCTTAAATCGTTGCCCAACGTGAAAAACAAAAAACAAAATAAGGACTTCAAATCCTTAGTAAACTTGGGCCAAGTAGTGAAGTAGTGAAATTAATTTAAAACCAAATTTGCAAAGCGTAAAGTAAAAAATAGTATGTGTAATGCCCTATTATGCAAAGCCGTATTTACTTTCATTTGCATTTGCATAAATATATTTTTTCTACTCCCTATTTGAGGTACTTGAGGTCACGGGTTTGGCAGCTAAGTATGTTTTCGGTAGATTATAGCTGCGGATCATATTGTGATATTTATCAGTTGCGTTGGTCACGTTAAACATCACTCTGTGAAAAAGTAACGGTTGTAGAAAACGTATAGCATGCAACATGTTCATACAGTTACTCCGTTACTCGTTTATCAAACTTGTCACCAAAGTGGCCTTTACCAAACCGTTTGCGTCATATATCATTCTAATATAAATACTATAGTATTTCACCGAATTTGTATCTTGGAGTTCCTAATTTCGGCATTGGAACATACTGTATATATGGAATAACGAACTGGCTCAACAAATATTCCAGCATCTTGTATAATAATACAAATGTGACCTGAAAATAACTGAAATTTTAGTGGGAATTACTCTACATGTTTCTGCTATTTTTTTATGCAGTATATTAATAGCACTAAAACGGAATTTGCTGGATACTTAAAACAGGCATCCAAAAATTCAGCTGTTTTTAAAAGAAAAATATTTCTGCAGGAATACTTTTTTCCCCTATTTCAGTTGCACGGCTAATTTTAAAAAACGAGCTATTTTTGATATTAACTTTTCCCAAAATCTGACATGGTCCTTTAACTTTTTATAATTTGATTTTTTTAAATCTTTCTCTCGATAAAACCATGAATGATGAATCAAAGAATCAACATATTAGCTTATATTTATAAAAAACATACTCATATTTTGCGTTTTGATTTTAGAATATTATTTTTTTGAATTATTTATCAAACAATAAAACAATAAAAACAATAAAATCAGATTAAACCCTGTTTTACATAAATGTATATTTTTACAGCCTGCATTTAATTTTAAGCATAAAGAATTGAACGCAGTTCATCAGAATAGATTTAATTAAAAGAAAAAAGATTAAGTACAATATAGATTTGGAAGAGGTTTAAGTTTAGGCAGATTAAGTACAATATAGATTTGGAAGAGGTTTAAGTTTGGGCCGGGTGCCCTCTTAGGGTTAGTCGCGGAGATAGTGGCTTGGTTGAAATTTTCAGAAAAACGCAGTGGCTGGTGTTTAAATCTATAAGTTACAATCAGCTACAGTCACAATCCCTATCCAAACATTTTTTTTTAGTTTTGCAGGTGAATCACTTCAGGGTCCACAACTTTTACACACACGTTTACCATGTTAACTTAACAACTTAATTGATTGAGGTGCAGCATATATTTAGGAATTGTATAGCGTTTGTTATGAAACCTTTTATTTATAAACAAAATTCATTAGGGTATATATAACATAGAGCGGATGTGTAAATATTAACGTGGGATTCATAATAAATCAACGTATTTTTAAGCACAAAATTCAATGCGTTCTATTTTTGCTTGATAGGCTCAAGTACTGATCAAGACAGCTTAGCTTATAGATTTGGTGATACAGATTCAGGTTTGGGCAGAGCTACACCGCCACGAAGAGCCCCCTCTCCAGGGATGTCTCTGCGACACCTTCCCTCTCCTTCTGGACCGGGTAGCCTCCCCGGTTTAATGTCGAAGGGTCGAAGAGCATTTGATGACGGATCCAGCGATATTAGTTCGACGCCTAGTAGTATGATGGATTATTCAGGTTATTATATAAAAAAAGAAACAGTTGGACATTATTTTTCTAATGTTTACAGGTCCAAAGTTGTATAAGCAGCCCGCTACCAAATCTAATCGTAGCATTATGCTAAATGCCGTCGAATATTGCGTATTTCCAGGCGTAGTCAATCGAGAAGCAAAAAGGAGAGTTCTAGAAGAAATAAACAGATCAGAAAGCAAACATTTTCTCATTTTATTTCGGGACGCCGGCTGTCAGTTTCGAGCTCTCTATTCATACTGTCCCGATACAGAAGCAGTTAACAAATTATACGGCACTGGCCCAAAACAAGTGAATGATAAGATGTTCGACAGATTTTTTAAGTAAATTTTGAAATCATTTTTAAAATGTACCTCTTAATGTGTTATTTCTTTTAGGTATAACTCAGGTGGCAAATGCTTTTCACAGGTGCACACTAAACATTTGACTGTTACAATAGACGCATTTACAATTCATAATTCGTTATGGCAGGGTAAAAAAGTTAATTTGCCTAATAAGAAAGATATGGCTCTTGTTGTGTAGTGACATTTGAGCACGTTTTTTTTTCTCGCTTTATTATTAGATATTTTCTATTGTTATCGCGACTTACAATAATTTTTTTTACTCCCTTTTTTCTAATTGCCTGCTGCAGTTTATTTATGAAGCCTATTATTAGAAACTTTATACATTAGCAATTGGTTACCTACTAGATTTTAAACAGCGAAAATGTGATTTAAAAATGTTTGTCTTCGTGCAGTCATTGTTAAAAAGTCAAAAATCCATTTTCGGATCTAATCGAAATATCTTTAAGGTAACCCCTTGCTGTTTTACTAGGAATTAATTTTTGTACCCAATTCATTATTTTTAATGCTACTTATAAATATTTTTTGTACCATGTGCCTTTTGTATTTGTATATTTGAAGTATTTCTTTGCTTTTCGTTATTGAACAAAGCTTTTTATTTATGCCAATTTAGTCAAAATTAATCAAGCTTAAATTATTTAAAAAAAAGAATCATTCCATTACAATTGATTAGAATTTGGCTCTCATTTGACATCAGTGTTGTATATTTTTATTTGGTTCAACCCCTCCTACTTATGATTTTCTGTTTATTCTTCCATTGTACTTTAAGAAACCCTTACAGTCTTATGTAACTGATATGAGTGTATTTACATTAATAGTTTTTTTGTCTGTAAATATGATTTTATAATATATAGATATTTATTAATACACAAAATGAGTCAAAAATACTTTAATAAAATTGCAATAACCCAACTGCGTCGTTTTATTGAGTTTGACTGCTTACACCGATGAAAACTGAAACGATTAACAAAAAGTAATTATTTTATTTAAACTCAGATAACTTAACTTAAAAGACTTTTGAACATACATAAATATACTACCTATACAAAAATTCAGGTACAAAATTTATGTTTAGCACTCAGGACATCTATACTCACAACATTTTAAAGTAAACTAATCAACTAGGAAATAAAAGGTGAAAACGTACAAAATTTATTGTTTGTACTTATTCTACTAATACAAAATATACATATTACAATTCTCATATGCATACATAAGAATGAATCTCCATACATTAATAATTATTATAAAGGTCTGGAAAATAGCACGCAACATTTGAAGTAGTAGTCTTCCAGATTATTAATATTAGCAGGAACATAATAGTCATGGTATTTGAGATTTGAATCTCCGGGAACCCCTTGAATAGAAATGATCAATATCGAAAAGAAATATATGCACATACATGCTACAAGATATGAATAAAAAACGATTAATATGCCTGTCGGAAAAATTTTGCATTATAAAGCAAAACTAAAAACATTTTGAAGTTCATGTGAATTTATCATCCTTCAACTAATTTGACCTTATGGTCAACATTCCACCTACGACTTCTAATAATTATTAGTTGGTCAAGTAAGGTTATTTACCTTATGTTATTTGTATTATTATTGCATTATTTCAAATTCTCTTTGAAGCTATTAAGGTAAATGCCCTGTGGCAGCTGTCTTAAAACGAAAATTTCTAATCAACAAAAACGACTGGTTGGTGAAATGATTTATAAAACTTTTAAATCGGCTTAGGGCAGACCTGCGCTAATGTTGCAAACACACAAAGAAACTAACGTAAAAAATCGTTTCTTATTTATGCAATTATTTCCTAGTGTAATTGTACCCTCCCCATAAATCAACCACTTTCCTCAAACGCTATTATTAAACCAGAATAATGCAGCAGTTTTGAAAGTTAACTCCATCTTTCAAGAAACTATGAGCACAACAGTCAGCTAACATTTCATTGTTTACTTATTTAATATAGCTGCAATTGTACTAAATGAAGTTTCTAAAAATTTACTTTACCATTGCTCTGTCAATGAGTTAATAGTGTGACAAATATTTACAATTATGTACTTGACCATATTGTGTATAGGTCGGGAAGTCCATAACATAATTATTAAAGAATTAGGTAAACTTAAATCGGATCTCTTTAATCCTAAATATCTCATGAATCATTAATGAATATCTAAAAATAAAAAAAGAGAAATGGGAGGTGAGGTTTCTTTACATCTGTATCACATATAAAACATACATCTATATCAATACAATTTCATCCAGCTGGTCAACTTCTAACCTTCACTGCAAAAGCGTTTATACCATTTCAAATTGCTAAATTAAGTTTCTTGCACGGTAATTCTTTAAAAAGTTTATACTGTCGCAATTTGTGAGGCTACTTTTTTGGAAATAAACAATAACCGAACGTTGAAGTGAAAAAATATTTTAACCTTTGACCGCAAGCAACTATTTTTACTGAAATTGTTACAAAATGATGGATTGCATGGAATGCTCCTGGCATAACCCAACCGAGGTGGAGACCCAATATTTGGCAAGTAACAACTTCAAAAATTATATCTCTTACTGCATACAGCACGTAAATTTTTGTAAGATCTATATCAGGGGTTACACAAATACGAGATAAGAAGTTAGTTAGATAGCGGGAAAGCTTCTGCATTATGATACGCAATCAACAGCTGTTTGGAAAATAAGAAAATTCCGACTGGTTTCGGATATATGGAGAAAATGAAAATCGTAAAAATATTTTTCAATTTTTTTCTGACCCTATTATAAAAGAAATTACACCTTAATTGCATTGCATTACACGTTATCCACAATTTGAAAATCAGTGACCAGAAAACACAAGAGACATACACCACTACAATTGGGAACATTCCTCCATTTATATATAAAACAGATATATTCATAACAAGTCTTCAGTCAAGGTTATTACCCACTTAAAGATATAGGACATTTCCCAAGTAAGTACAAAAAAAAAAAGGTCGTTGTGTAAAAGACGCATTTCTCTAGCGATTGCCTTTTTAAATTAGTAGTACTCACTTAGCAAACACTCTGTACAGCAGTGATGTATTTGTTATGATTAAAACCACTTTATTGAGTTTATTATGAAGTTACACTACACGTGATTGACTAGATTTTTAAAACTAATTATTTACAAAGTGATGCCACTATATCAAAAATTAAGTAGTTGTGATATTATTCGACTTGCAAGATTACATTGGGCTAATAGTAATGAAACATACAGATTATCAAAAATAGATATCTATATCTATTCAAATAGACTAACAACATTTTGTTACTTTTCAACAGCACATTTTGCTAACAATTTCGTTTTATACATAGTTAAAGTTTACTACTTATGTAGCCGTTAAGAGGACTGTTTGCGCTAAACTCCTCGTCTTCATCTTGACGATCCGAGTCCCTCCTACAGCTTTGCATTTGGAATTTTCCAAAACTAATTAAACTACTAGTCGACTTCCCAGTGCCTAATAGAGGCATCTTAGGGCAGTAATTCTCTAAAGGTATACTTACGGATAAGTCTTCTTCGTGACAAATTGGCGGCAATTTATCATTATAGATATTGTTTTGACTGTGCGTTATTTGAGCTTTGGGTGAATTGAAATTTGGAGAGACCGACCGTTGTCGGATCTCCATCGGTATGTTGTTCTCCTGGTGTATCATCTCTTCTAATTCTAAGGACATCAGGGGAATATCCATACATGGAGAAAGCAGTCTTGGGTTATTTGCTAAGAATTCAACAACCTGCGAGGCAGTGGTGCGTTGTTTTGGGTCTTGCTTCCAACAATTTTTCATCAGGGCTTCGCTACGAGAAAAGAAGAATACGTTAAAAGACCATAATTAAGCAAAACAAAAATATCCTTAATTACACACTCTCAACTGAGTATAAAAATATACCTAAATTTCGAAATTATACAAAGTAAAATAGAAGTTTAGGTTGACAGCTATTAGATAAAAAGTGGATAAAGGAGGATAAAAATTGATGCGCCTCAGACCAGAGGACAATATTTTCCTAGAACACTAAAACACTTAACTCGTTTTCTCAGAACATTTAACCAGATCTGGGCATATTTTGGGAACTTACTACGGTAAAAATAATAAACTGAATTGACGAACTGTCGGTTGTTTAATGTCACTAGAACTTTTTGATTGATTTGTATACATTGGTGCAAAACTAGACTTCGCTTCAAAAATGTAAACAAAAATATATTTACCAAATGATGATGACTAATCTCTTTTGATCAAGCCTGCAATTAGTTTCTCTTTTTATAAATGTATACAGGGTGGTTCATTTAAGATGCTCCTAACCTTATCTCAATAAGTATGACAATGAGGAAAAAAAGTAAATACAAAAAGTGTTAGTTCCTAAATATATATTTTATTTATAGTATTTTTATGTATATATTGTGCCCGGGCAGTAACCAACTTTATTTTTTTAAACGGAATGCGATGAATATTTGAAAATATTATTCGTTTGATTTTGAGTATTTTTCGTCATTACATCGCATACGAAATTTTGAGAAGTATTTGAGAAAAATGAACTTTTCCATTTTTTGACGGAAAAACAGGTATTTTGAAAAATGCGTTTTTTTACACTTTTATTACAACTAAAATTGGTAATTTTCATTATGGGTCTAATGCTTTCTAATATCTTTGGCTAAATTATTGACTATCGAAAAAACGTTTTTCCTACTTTTATTGGGTCTGGGATTTAATTCTGTATCATTTCATATTTATATAGCTTTTATTATAAAAGTTGATAGTTTAGAAATTATGTCCAACTTTCTGCAACAACTCGTGTATTTTATTTTAAATCTATAAACTAAACCTATATAATATCCTGTTCCAACTAAGTTTTTTTTCAACATTAATTACTTAAATTCAATATAAAAATTGAAAAAAAAAAGAACTAATAAAATTGTGGCCTGGACAGAAATACACAATTTTTATTTGACATTTAGTTATCACAAACTTTTTTTAAAAGAAAAAATGACTCCTTACAGTGCTTATATTTTTATGAATGTTACATAAGAAATAATAAGACAGTCACGTAAATAAACGAATATACACCATTGAGTTTCATAATTATTGTCAATCATAGCTTTTTGCTATTTTCTTCAACAATTAAATATTCGATGCAAGGATTTTGTACCTTGATAATTCTGATATTTTCAGCTCTAACGCGAAGATAAGAGCTACCATATATTACTTTTAAGAGAATTAAATTTTACAAGAAAAGGCAGAAGACCAACTGGTTTTTAGTGATGAGGCATGGACGTTTGAAAATTGAATGACAGGTCATTCTTAATAATAGAGATAGTAATATAATTAATTAAGCTTTAGTGAAACAAGAACTAGAAGATTTTCACAACCAATTTTTCAGTTGTTGTGCAACAGATGTTGTTTTGTATGAAGCATATCTATTTTTTGTGCCAAAAATTTAGATTGTGTAAGAACACCCTTAATTGTCCCTTATTTAATAGGTAAATATAGGATTTCATTAATTAGGAAAAGACGTCAACTTACAGCATTGGCTTCACTCCCTTGGGGATCTCTAAAATGTGTCCCGCCTTGATAAAATGGATCACTTCGACGTTGGTCTTATCATAAAACGGCGTGCAGCCGAATGTGACGATTTCGTAGAGGGTTACGCCGTAGCTCCAAACATCGGACGCAGGCGAATATATTCCGTTCACGATACTTTCCGGTGGCATCCAACGTACGGGCAAAACCCTCCTTCTACCGTTATCCTTGAAACCATAACAGTCGTAGTCATTTATTGGCCGCGTCATTCCGAAATCGCCAATCTTTACTACTTTTTGTGCATTTATGAGACAATTCCGACACGCGATATCTCTATGTACGAATTTTTGGTCAGCAAGGAAACTAAGACCTCTAGCTATGTCCAAGGCCATACAAGTCAGTCTTTTGGGTGAGACGTCTTCGTCGTCGGCGATACTTTGGCTAACTAAATGTCTACGAGCAAGTAAAAACGTTTTCAGATCGCCATACAACATACACTCCATTAACGTGTAGATAGGGCGCTCTTTCGTCACCACGCCCAACAGTCTTACAATGTTCGGATGCTCGAATCGTTTCATGTTGTCAGCTTCGGATAAGAAATCAATTTGATCCTCAGTGCAGGCGCTTAATTTTAGAGTTTTAACCGCGACGGGTACTAGCCCGCCACCTACCCGTAATTCACCGCCATACACTTTGCCAAAGAATCCTTCACCTGAAAATTAAGTAAATTACTCTATGTGCTCACATAAAGTGCAGTCAAAATTTCTCTGTCAACTTTTCTAGCGCTCTAAATTTTGGAGAGAAGTGGAGCCCCAGTCATAAATATACAAAATTTGTCAAAAACCCACATTCGTAACATTTTTAAATAAATTTCATGATAATGAAACATTGGAGTCGTTAATATTTATAAAATGAATGAATATGCTTTGTTTCATTTTTTTCCGATAAAATACTCTTTTATTGTACATTGTACTAATTCAGCTAAGTTGCAGATATAATGAACTAAAAATGTAAGATCAATTTGTTTTTGGTGAATTACCACCCCTGAATGAATAGTGATATTATCAGTAAACCTTCAATTATTTCTATAAAAAAATAAATAAATAAGGACCTCAAAAACAGACAATGTTTAAAATAAAAAAATATATACTCCTTTGGTCGGTTTTACAATTTCGCCCGGATGCAGCGCAATAGAAACGGTATATACACGATCTAAGTAGTCCAAATTAAAATTTTCAGAAGGTCGCTACGATCATAGTAAACTGAATTTTCTTGTAGAGGGGCGAGATCCAGTCTCTGTATATTTTACAAGATATATTCTACTTTCAGCTCGTCGATTTCCAGGCGTCTTTTGCGCCTTCGTTACGTGGCAACACTGTCACTATTAATTTTTCCAGACTGGCGCGAAATTGTGGGGTAACGGCTCTGCATCACCTAGTTGTTTTGTTTTCCATATTGAATGAAATCGATTGGCGCTCCATAGTTCGCTTGTAGAGACGGCGAAAATAGAGAATTTTATTTCTTTTACCACAAATTAAGAAATAGGCTAAGTTGGAATTAACGTAAACGTAACACAAATACACAAGACTTTTTTTTATTAAAAAATTAAATAATTAATAAAAGTTTATTTTCGAAATGTGTGGTAAAGAATTCAAAATCTACAAAAATCATATTTACATCCTGTTGCCAATGCCGTACTCTTTGTATGATGTCAGATGTTAATTATATTAGAATTTAAAACAATATTGTGTGACACACGTCGGGAAACTCTTTTGTTTCGCTTGCTCTCTTCGTTCTGAGAAAATCCGCTCATTGCATAAAGTTATTCTTTTTTCAACTACCTGTCCGCTCGTTGCAATTTTTTTTTTTCATTAATTCAATGAACTCGCGTCTGTCTTTACCTAGACGGCTGATCAGATTGAAGTCAGTCGTTAAAATCGGACAACAAACGCAATAACAACTCCCAAGGCTCCAGGTGAGAACCAACAACTTGCTGCAAGTCGAGTTGGCAGGTATAAAGACTTACCAACCGTTTCTCGTAAACATTATTTAGAGCGGTGTTCGAAGTATTAAAAATATCGAATATAAATATTTATATTTTAGAAATATTCAATATAAGACCAAAACGTCAACCAATAAATTTGTCAATTCAAAATAAAGCCTAATAATATGACAAATTAGAAATAAATTATAAACAAATAAAACACCAGTTATTTCTTACCCAGTTTCCGATTAATCGTGACATGTTCTCTCGGAACCTCAAAATCGTCCAAATTCGCAGGAACTTTTTTGCCGTATATTCCCAAACTTTCCATGTATTCCTTTTGTTTCTTAACCTTTTGGTCATACTTCAGCTTAAGATAAACACAAACGCTACAAACAACTAGAATCAAAAATGCCGCTACTATAACGTTCAATATAATAACAGCAGTTTGACATTCAACGTTAAACGCTTTAGCGAAACTTTCGATTGCACAGATCGGGGGCGGCAGCGTACCGTCGTCTGGCGGTTGACCTAAAATTTAAAAAATGCAAGGTATGATGTTATTTTAACAATAACGGAAAAAGTAAGAAAAGATTTACAATAATTTTACATAGAGAAATTGTAGTGAGCCCTAATTTGTGACAAAATTTGTGTAATTATTATTTTGTTTAGGAAATGATTAGTTTTGAATGGTTTGGTGAACAGAATAACAGAAAGATACAGATTTTTATAGCGAAGAATGTGCCCTCATAGAAAGTTCGAGTAGTTGTATGATAGAATATGTGCCACTTGTCAGTGTGAGTAGCCTTGTTTGTTTTCTGTTATGCACTATGCTAAACACATGAATAGAAGTGGTAGGGAGTAGGGGAGGGTAAAAGCAGTATATAAAGGTGGATAACGTGAATTACCATGGGTCAGACAAAATAATTTATTTCCGATAGTATAGCGTAAGCGTGTGTTGCCGCAGAACCACTTGCAACAAGTTTGGTGCATTGTTTGGATATGAGGATACTATAGTTCAACATTGTGATGGAGTTATTTTGGCATTCGGCGGAATAAATTTCGAGCTTTTATATGAAACTAATAGATTAAATATTAGCCTAATTACCATAAATATGAAACTATCAATAAAGAATGGATATCAGTATAGTATTTCATTTATAATTTGTATTTTAAAGGAAGCTTACAAACAATAAAATTATTTTATAGAAAAGAAAGAAAAAGAGGTAAGCAAATGACATAATTAATAAATAATATATAAAAAAGGTTATAAAGTTTATTAATGAATATTCTAGCGCTTTATGTAATCTGCTGACTGTTCTTTACATTTTTCCAGAATTATCTGATATGCATGATTTTAAGTAAAATGTTTTAGGTAAACCACTACCAGATTCAGACGATATTCAAAAGATGCTAGATCTATTGGTCGCAAGTCTAAGGAAAGACCACACAAGTCAGCGAGGCAAAAATTAAACTTGTCAAGTCAAATTTAAAACATGAAAGCTCAATGCATTAAAAGTTTAGTTGGGGATTCTTATAAGTTAAAATAAAAAAAAATAAAAGTATTTTTACCATTTTCCGTGAACCATTTTACAGCTGAGTTATTTAAAATAAGTTCACCGCCTGAAATTTCCGATTTGTCATTGGTTAGATTAGGGTAAAATTCCCCTATGAGATTGATAGTGTTATTATACCACTCCAAAATGTTGATAACCGAAAATCTTGAAGGACCACCTCTAAATTTTATTCTCCCTGATACTCCATAAAAGTCTGTACCTTCAACCAACTTCACCAGCTTACTGAAAAAAAAAAACAACATATTTTCATGACATTGATTGCATGGTAACTTCTTATGCTTACTCTGTAGTGCTTTCCGAATGCATATCAGACAAAGCTTCCGGATCTGTTTTTGCTAATTTGTCCAACGCTAAAGCGTATACCCATACTGCGTCATAAGCAAATCCTCCATAGTCAGATGTTTGATTCTGAGCATATTTTTGATATTCTGCCTTCCACTCTCCAACAGATTTTCCTTCTTGCATGGTTGCATTATCTGGTGCATAATATGCGTGAGTCATGGAAAAGTATCCATTAATGGCCTACGAATTGAAACTGATCAAACGCAAGCCATCAAAACTAACCAAACTGATACCTTAATCATTTCCTCGGTGGTGCACTTAACACCTTCGTTGAGTACCGCATTAAAGTAATCCGTATTATACCAGGTGCGATTTAGCCACATTGGTAGAAACCAAACATAGCCATCTGATGCTGTCATTTTAAGTTTATAAGCTTCGCACATAACTTCACGCGCATCATCGTCAACAACGTCAGCTATGATAATACGAGCTCGTTTGTTTTTCAAATCTTCCAAATACTAACAATATAACACATTAATTACATTGATATCAAAAGCGAAAATATTATCTACTCATAGGCAAAATATCGATTGTAACAAAGAGATAGCAACACTCTTTGCAATTAAAGAGAAAGGTTATGTATCGTCCAATCCTGTTATATTGTCGAACCACCTAGACCATCTTAACTGCAACTGCAAGACATTTGATAATAGCGTAGAACTTTCCACACTGCATCCATTTTTATAAATTTCGGTGTATCTTTGTCGCACTTGTTAGACTCTTATAGAGGGATAATACTTTTCGTCTATTGTATTTATTTACTTATTTATTTAAGGCTCCACAACACTCAAGGAATAGGATAATATAAACCTACGTTCAAACATCCACAATATGCAAAAAAAAAGAGAAAACATAAAACATTTTTAAATTTTTAAATAGAGATTTGTCTTAAGTAATAGAAAAAAATTTGAATAATCATGATAGAAATGGAAAACCTGTTGCAATAGCTGGTCATTTACCTTTTATAATACAGTTATTCATGAGTATTAGCAGAGAAATTCTTTTGTTTAGGCTGCTAAAAATGTTTTGTTCAAAATAAACTAACCAAAAATGATCTGTTCAAAGTAAAAAAGGAAAAATCTATATGGAATTCAGATCTTATTCATATTTTACTTATATTATTTATTTGCGGGCTTATTTATTGAATAAATTAGATTTGGAACCAGGGTACTGGTGTAACTTGAAAACAATGGATACCACTTTTCTTCTGGACACCTGTAATATCACCGTTAGTTTCCTTTTTTATGATCTAAATGAATAAGATTTGATTTTCATAAATGTCGAAAAGTACATATGCACGTTAAATATGGTTTTAAGAATAGTAATGAGTAACAGTTCTGTAAATGAATACTCTGTGTAATGACCCGAAATCCAAACATTTATCTAATAAAACGGAGAAACAAATTGAATATTATACCTAGCAATAGGGCCTTTGTATGTATAATTGTTTGTTTCAAAAGTATCTAGGGTACCAGAAAACCACTTACCCGTGTCATAGGCTCTGACTCGGCTCTTTCCCTAGGAAACTTCTTGTTGGCTATAAATGCTATGTGATCCTGTTCAAGTTCATCTTGCAACAAGGAGATGTACTCCGTATATTTTTGGCCATCTTCTGTAAGGGCCGCGATTCGTTTCCATCTCCATTTTTTAAAAAGCGCGAGGTAAACGTGGTTGTAATGTTGATTTTCTCCTAAACAATTCTAGTTAATAAACAAGAAACGCAATAATAGACAAACACAAAGGTTACAAAAAATTAAGCAGTATTCTGTTAATTGCTTTGATTAGTCGGTAATACAATAAAATAGCGTTTTTTATGTTAAGCCGCGGAAGCGCTGCAGTCCATGTCCTGCGCATACGCACAAAAATTCAATTTAAATTAAAAATAAGGAATCTAATAATCGCTTGAGAGAAAAAATAAGCATCAAAACATGCCGCTGACTCTGAAATAGGTTTTTTTGCCTATTTACTGCCAAAGGCGCGACAGCGATTAAAATTTACTTTATTTAAAATTTAATTTATGATCAGTTTTGAGAACATATTTTATCCAGCATATGAGCAAAGTGGTGTGGAGTTTGCAACTGCTTTTTATCGTTTTTTTCATTTTTCATATTTCGTTTTTGGTTTTGCAAGAGTCTCTTTTTGTTAGTAAATTACACAATAAATTGTACATAAAATTTGAAACTGAAAATATAAAAAAACATTCTTATATAAACTTTGAGGTTAAATGTAAGGTAAGTTTGAATATAACAAGCAAATACTAGTTGTACTATAGTAATATACTAATATAGTATTGCGACATTTAACTTTTAATGTAACTTATATTTAACGCAAGATTTAAGAAATTTAAACCAAACAGACAAATATCATTAGATGTTTATACATGTCATTTAAGTATTTGACGTAACTTAACGCTTAAGAAAAGAGAACCACTTTCACAAACTTTGAACTTCATCAGTGCTAGCAATATCAGCTGTTTTATGGTATTAATTTATATTGAACTTTCAATTTTTCTTTTGCAGTTGTATGTGCTTGATAAATTTGTTTGATGAACGAGAATTTAAAATTTCTGTCCGTCGGTTCCAATTGAAATTTTTATTATAGCATACTGTAACTGTCTACTTAAATTGCATTAAAGTGGTTTATAAATTTAAGTCAAAACGCTCAATTAATACAGCTTCATGTAAGGATGACGTTAAAGGCCCATTTGATGAAGTGATTTTAAAATTACCAAAATAAACAGACATCCCCTCCCTTAAATGCAGTTTGGTAAATACCAGCGTCGGTTGCCCTTAATGGTCATTCGATGTTAACACCTTTCGACGAATAACAATATTCAATTATAGGTTAGAAAAATCTGTGGTTAAATATTGTTGATCATAAATGTTTTACGTCGAATAATGCGACAACATTGAAAGTATACTCTCATACCGATCTTAACAGTTAAGCGAGCAAATATAAAATAAGTGTTTTTTAATGCGGAACTCCATAAAAATTGATGTCAGAAATCCATTATCAAGTGCAAACAAGTATTCTTTGAATACTTACCTATTGTTCGAAAAAAATATGGATACTTCCCCCTATCTGAAAAGCTGGAACCCTCGGCACTGTACGAAATCACCATTATGTGATAATGCCTGGACACACCAGCCAGCGGTTCAACGGTATCAGAACATGCGGGACCGAGAACACCCACCAAGTTGTTGTAATAATTTTGATCAACGATAAAATCGATGAAATTTTTCATAACATTGTCGGCGCGGCACATGCCGTCCGTCACTAGAATCGTTAATTTGTAGTCGGAAAGGAGCGTTTTGTTCATATTTATTGCGTTCATGGCCATTAACGCCGCTTTAACGATTCCGGTACCGGTGTAGGACGAACTTGATAATGGAAATATGCCGCCTATATAAATAAGACTTTCCGTGCTTTGTTTCCATTTCGTCCAAGTGCCGTTCCGTTTATCCATCCATTCGCAGGCGATGTCCTTTAGAGATATAGTTTTATTTTCCACCGCCAATTGATTTTTCTTGTACAAGTCCAAGAGAAAATCATAGTCGTTCTCTTGAAATTTGAAACTACGTAAAGCGTCGTATAATGGTTTGGCAAATTGCTCAACTTTGCTCCAGGCCACTTTGACCAAACGGTGCATCTCATATCTGTAGCCAACGGATTCGTTATGCGTAAAATTCATTCTCTCGCAATTTTCGAATGACACACTAATGTAATCTTTTTCGTGTAGGATCACATCGCTCGGAGTCCAACCGAGAACAACCTGAAAATTAATATTAGGAGCATTATGAAACATCAGAAATACAATTATCAAAAAAAGAAAAAACAACATTAACGTGTGATTTAGCGTACCTAACACAGTATCAGACCCAACGCCGAAGACGATGAAGGACCCCTCCATCACCCATCCACCTCACACACAAAATAATGTACTTTATGTGAGGATAGGATTTGATGGAGGAGCGATAAATTCAACTGGACCAAATAGAAAATACAAATTTCATTTCCACAATTATAGAAGTTTATTATTTATGCCCAGAAGTATATATTGAAAATAATGAAAAAGTAGTAATACTATCAATAATAAGTGTATTGATATTTAGACATTCTTTCTTATACGTATATTGTCTTGGTACAGATTTTAGTATGTATTGTCTAAAAGTATGACTTATTAAAACATATTTTCGTAATTTTTGTAAAACCTGTATAACTTAAAGACAATAGGGAACTTAAACATTTTTTTAAAATCCTTTAATACATTTGTTTATGAAATATCAAAACTCAAAACATCAAACGCGCGGGAATGATCGTGACGCCATACCGCTGCTTTTCCCTCGATACGGCGAGATGTTATAGTGTTATTCTCAGGTTATAGGCGGAGACTCATATTACTTACATTTATTTTTGGTTCATGTAAAGGTGTGTTTGTATTTACTCTACGCTAATTTGAATATGTGCTTAGTGTGCTTTACATGATAATAATGGAAGTAACACAAAAACAATATTGCAAATAGCCCATCGTGTTTGAGTATAACCCGTAAAACGCCAGATCAACTTTTTATTCGTCTACCAGAAAATAAAAGCCGTCTTTTTTTTGTTAACATTATGTTCAAGTGTCATATTAGTCTTAACCGTGCAAACTATTCTATTGCATTCTATTACAGTCTCCATAGGAATGGCTTCCTGATCTTTATATAATAAAGAACACTTTGTCAATGTTAATATACTTTAAAATCAGTATTATAGGTTTCCACTAGTTTCAAAAAAATATTTTTGTTTTTTTTTTGTTGAATACTTTACACTTTATTTGATATACCATTTAAGTTTTAGCTTTAACACCGCGAACTTCAGCAAAACACAAATTTTCGGGTGGGTTTGTGTATATAAGATGTCACCATAAACTTATCCACCAAAAGGTAAATTATCAGATCAACCTTTTAAAAAATAAGTTTCGGTCATTTTCAAATTTTCTTTTTGATGCTAAACACAAGATAACAAAAGCAAGCGACAAGATCAAGACTAAAATTAAAATCAAAACCACCAAGACGCACATGCTGCCGTTGTCTAATGTCTTCCAGTCACAGCCAATGAAAGCGCGCACTTCAAAGAGGATTTAAATTTTACAATTTTGAATAGTTTATATTTGTCACATAGAACTACGAAATTCCTTCTTTTAATAGTATTAACTTACTTTTATAATCAATATTTTCCAAGATAAAATTGTGAAAAAAAGTAAAGCTTTCAGGCTCAAGGAAGACCATCACATGTCATGATTCATAACACCCCAACCAGCAAAGCCTATGAATTCTTTAAATTAGAAATGTTTTAGGGTAATACTTACCAGACTTTTATCTCTCCTATTTTTAATCATTTGCTTCACGCTTCTCACAACTACATTGAGGTTTTCACCCAAAAACAGCACTTTAACATATAATTTATCCTCTATGATATGTTTAATAACAAAACTTGTTGCATTATAATACGAAGTTAACAATACTGCACACCGAGTTTTACTCTTCATACAGAATGACGGAGTGTACATGCTCCTACTGCAGAAGTTATAGCTGCACACATACCTAAAACGTGCAACATTGGAAACACTAAGAAAAATTTACTACAATATTACTAACTGTCCATCTTTCTTTGAAAGATTATGGTCGTCTATATTATCCAAAATATCCTGGTCAATGTTAAAAATTTGTGCGAAAGTCTTATCTCGAAAATATCTCCAGTGTACAGATTTTACATCTACCTCCCCCGTCGGATTATAGTAAGTTTTAATTGGTTGCGTGTGCTCGATAGGAATGAACCAACCAAAACGACCTGGAGGGGAAACGCTACCACATTCTTTAACAAATTCCGTAGCATAGGTGTCATAATCGGGCGGAATCCATACTTCCAGATTTATTGTTGTACTAGCAACTCTGCGATATAAATATACTTTTACTAATTTCATTCTGAGACTAAGAAATTACTTACGGATTTGTTTGATCCATTAGCCTTTCCATTACACTTTCTATATCGAAATTGTCCCATCTGGAGCTTATGTGTACTTTGGAGTATCCTATAACTTCCTTAATAAAAATGTAGAAAATCCAAGTGCTCAACTGATGGGTAATCCTTTCATTGGACATTTCTATCACAATGTCCAAAGACCTTCCATCCAGGTGAAAGTATTTTTTCGGATTTACTTCTGCAAGGAAAAGTTATTTTTACGTGTGGGCCCTACCAAACCAGATAGGGGAGGATTATGTCTGAATACAGTATTATTAACAACTTCCATTCTATGTGCCCTACATAAAAAAAAACTAGTTTCTTTATATAATATGTCCAAGTTAATCTCAAAATTTTCTATTTCTATTTTAAATAACATCTTCAAAAACGGTAGGTAATGACATAGAAAATTGTCTCAATTTGTACTTTTCCCATTTTATAAATTTACTTTTCAAATTTTTATCCGGTTGAAATTTATATAAAATGCAATGTCTAGTTAAAAATTATACAACGCAACTCAAAATTATTTTCAAGCAGTTTTAAAACGTTTAAACGTAATATTAACAATAAAAAGAGCGATAAATGCGTACAACTCTGAAATCAAAGTTTTATTCCTTTATTTTTTTTTAAATAAAATAATAAAATATCGCACAATTTTACCTGGAAGATGTTTCAAGCATTTTTCCTCGCCGGCAACAAATGATAGGAAAATTAAGCTTTCGACAATCAGGAACCAGAAAATATTCATGCTATCTTAATTTCCTGGAAAAGACAGAAATGTATATGTATGTATAGTAACGGAAATACGTGTATAATATTACCATTTAACAAACAAATTTATCTTAATACTTTCCTTGCTGCGACATTCACAATTCAACGTCAGTCCAAGTTTTCGTGAAAGACCAAAACTTAATAAGGTCCAACGTACCATATACAGGCAACAAACCGATATTTAACATCCTTAACAAGGAACCAATGACCAAGAAGATGCGTATAATTAAACCACACATTGTTACTAAATTAAGTTGTCTAGACAAACAACGAGAACATAGACAAGGTATGAGCACATTAGATATAAATTGACTGAAAAACAGAATGATAAAATTATTATTGACGTGGGGTTATAGTTCAAAATTTTGAAGGATGGCACTGAAATACGTGGAAATTAAAACCACAGTGCCAACTGGCGCCGTCAGGATAACTGGATATGGATACCTAATTGTTCCTTTATCTGACTTTAGACCAGGCAGAGAATTAATTTAAAAAATACAGACAAGTGGCAAAAACGCTAACAAAGGAAACCGAAACTTCTAAAGAAAAACTTAGCTCGATAATTACAATGATATGTGTCTGGTGAAAAGTGGGCCATACGTTAATAGCATATTTTTTGGGTTAAAATAATTCGTTTGTTTAGTTTACTCCAAAAGTTGATATTGAGAAGGATTGAATATAATGCCTGAATCTTTTTTGATTTCGGGGTTGATTAAGACGAGAACCAATAATCATAGTACCCTTTGTTTCAGCAGAGGGCACAGTGCGTGGTCTCTCAGATATCCCAAGAATAAAAACCCTGGAAAGTTTTTTTCAAAATATGTAAGAACTCTTCAATTGGGATATGGTTTTCTTTCGGATGTTTTTTTTTAATATACCCATCCTCGATATCATGTATAAATTCTAGAAGCAAATACTCATCACAAATAGAGCAGTACATCCCAGCCAGATAATTGATGTGAGAATACTTATGCCGGCAAACACGGGAGCACAGCACGGGCTGCTATTATGGAAGCCAAGGCAAAAGTATACAATCAAAAAGAAAAAGACATCAAATTACATAACGAAATTCCTTATCGAATATCTTGAGAACGACAGCACGAGAACACTCTATCAGAACCTATTAGCAGAAAAACTCGGAATAAGCCCTATTATACAAACAGAGAGTGTAGAAGAAGCCTGGGAAAAATTGAAAGTGAACATAACAAAGCGGAATAGAAGGGCTAGTTATAAAACAATCGGCACTAATGAAAGAAAAAACAATAAACCCTGCTTTACAAATGAAATAAAGGATCTGAAAAAAGAAAAGAAAACCGCTTGTATAAGATATATTAATAACCGAAATACAGCTGAATATGAGAATTACAAGAAGACTAGAAATAGAACAACCAATGCAATCAAACTGAAGCAGGAATATTGGGAAATAATTTCTAAACATATGGAAAACGACCTATATGGCGGACAAAAGAAGGTATGGGATCTGCTGGACAGTTAGATGAAGTAGTACTAATAAATAACGTCAAAATGGAGGAATAATATCAATACAGCACAGATCTCTTCTAAGTGGAAAACAAACATAACCATTCCCGTATTCAAGAAAGGGTCAAGAAAGGATCCTAAAAACTATAGAAGAATAACCCTATTGTGTTCTCCATTGAAGGTATTTACATCTTGACGCAAAAGATTACGGGGACTCTATAGTCCCTATAGATTTCTGAGGAGCAACAAGGTCTTAGAATAAACTGAGCCACAGTGGACGCCATATTTATTCTTAGGCAACTAATTGAGAAGTCAATAAATCCATGTTCGTCTGCTTTGTAGATTTGACGAAGGCATGCCATAGAATAAATCTCAAAGACGTGAACAACATTCTAGTTAAAAATAATATTGAATCCAAAATGTTAACAATGTTAACAAATGTTAACAAGAGCGGTATTAGACAAGGTAACAGCTTAAGCCTTTGTGATGGATATGATATCCAATAGTGTGAAACTAATGAATGGCAGTTATCGAATGGGAAATAGCTCTCTGAAGATTCTCTGCTATAGGAACGACGCAATTCTTGTAGCAGAGAATGAAGATGACCTGCAAACCTGCAATGACTATTAGATAAACTCGAGGAAACATCAAAGAGATATAACATGATCATCTCCATTGAAAAGACACAAGCTTTGTTAAATAGCAAAGAACCGATCTAGTGCAAGTTAATTGTAAATGGGATCATTGAACAGGTCATGACATTCAATTACACAAGTTGCGACACGCATGGGAGGATATCTGAAACACGTGATCTGGAAGAACAAATATAGCTGAAAGTAAAGTCAGAATATACAAAACAGAGACAAGTGCTCACAAGCCAACAACAACAAGAGTGCTGCGAACCAGAGAAATGAGGAATATATGAGGAGTCAATCTAAGTAGCGAATCTATTAGAACAGAGCTCTATATAGAAGATATCAAAGATGGATTGGAGAGACCATGTGGACAGGATAAGGCCAGTAAGATTAGCAAAATAAGCGAGGACACAAAACCCCGGCCCAAGACGACCACCAGGCAGATCTTTACAACGATAGCGAGAACTGGACGTCTCTCTCACAAGAGGCACTATTAGCTAGATTAAATAGGGCACAGCCCTAGTCAAAGAAAAAGAAGAGGAGAAATAAATAAAATGGTTAGTCTATAAATGTAAGAGTATGCGCGAAACATCATTCCCATCTGTACGAAAATATTATAGTCGCCTAAGGGGTTAGCAATGTTAGCATCTTTTGCAGTTTTACCCCATGGCGGGATTTATCGCTAAATAGCTAGAAGGTCGCCCGCTGGACTTGCAGTTATATTATAAATATTATATATTATACAATTATATTATAAAATAAAAATTATACTAAACAATACTTTTGTTAATGCTATTGATTGCACTTTGAAAAAAAAATTATATTTGTGAAATAATTTTTTTTTTCGAAGTCAACAAATGGCTGTGCATATAAATGTATTTTTCTCGGAAACCTGTCACTTTACAGAAAAGTGAATAAACAATTCTTGTGTAGAAATGTGTGGATACTATTATTTTTTGTGTAAAAGTTATAGAAAGTAATTGTTAATGTTAACTACATGAACAAGGCAGCATAGTTAAACACTACGTTACCCCTTCCACCTCGTAAAAAAAACGCGTCATTCATATCATCATGACTCACTCCATTCAGTGAACAGGCAGAAAAACAACATACTCCGACGTTTGCAATTGGCAACATCTTTATCACTGGCGCCATGTTTAAAGAGAGAGATGATAAGTAATAATTGGATATAAAATATTACAATGCAAAATCATGAGTTACCCTTTTTACGGTCGGAATGCTGTTATTTTCCCTCTGGAGAAGTACGATTACGGTGGGGATTTTGTTATTCAAAAAAAAAAAAGGAAAATAAGGCTGTTTCTGTAGAAATTCGTAATTAGAAAATACGCAATAAGCGTATGTAAAGACATCGACTGAAATAGGGCGAAAAAAAACAAGAAATGTATCAACATCGAAATGTCAACGGATACCCCACACCTCACAACTAATAAACACGATGCAAAAACAACCCATAAATAAACTGGTAAAAATATGGTCGTCCAAATCGCGTTAGAAAAGGTTTGCTGAGCAGATAAACCACTGACAGTGTCCTAATATTGCACTATTTACCTGCTCATGCCTCCAATGAATAATAACAATTCCTCGATCTTGGATTTATGTGAACGCAGTTCTAATTATGTCCCAACTATTATAAAATGTCTCACGCCGTTTCCTAATTTTTACACCAATAACGTCCATGTTTATCGTAACTGAACAATAATATCGCCACTATTCACTACCGAAATATTACACCTTGCAGCCAGGACAACGTAAAACTAATTTACTCCTTATTTTCATTGCGTGTATCGTACACTAGCGAGTTGCTTATCAATAATTGTAAAAAAACAATCAGGGTGAAACTGTTACTTGCGCATGTTAAAACGGTATAAAATAAGACAACCGGACAACAAACAGAATCGCGTAGTTTTTCGCAAACTGCACACGTACTTTTCAGTTTCGGTGATTGGTCATTTCTCTTAATTGGCCAGTGTTGTGTTTACCCATTTGATTTGGCTTCTGCCATACAGATGATTGTACTTGTTCAATTATAAAAATAATAGCCTCAGACTGAATCACAACATCACAACGCATATGACATATTCCGATAGCCGTTTAACTGATCTTGAATAAGGAGATCGTTAAACATCTCTTACTTGTATTGCGCGAAAGACAAAGACAGAAGTCATAGTTGCGTGCCATAAAGGTTAGAAAAAGATCAAATTTAAGCGCGCATTTCGAATGTGTGTTTTTATTGGGAATCTTTATAGTCAATAGTTTGACATATGAATAATAATAATATTAACAATAAGGAAAATCCATAATCCCAATATACTTTCGTGCAAACTGGGCTTCATTATTTTGGAGGAATTTTGTTTTTAAAGGTTGTTTTTTAAATTTCGATACAATAAACGACACTTTTTAGATTTTGTTCGTGTTAAATGGCTTAACTAAATGCAAAAAATGTTTTTACTACGGATATAATACCTTGTGGGTATATAAGGAAAATCCATAATATCACTATACTAGAAACAAGAGAAATGAAGATGTTTGTTTGAAGTACTGAATAAAATCCAATATACGTTGTAATTATATTAACTTACTAATTTCTGTGCTTACATTTAGGGTTAATTTAGGTTATTTATTGGAATACAGTTATTTTAAAACAAATTGTTTATTTTCAATGTTTTATAATAGTTTTTAATTTTATTTTTTATATTTTGCAATACCTACAGTTTTTTAAACAAATTGTGCATTGGCAGTTTTTACAATTATAGATTTGGAAGGCGAAACTTTCATCTGCAATTACTAGGCTTGCGATGAAGGAGCGTTCTGTCTATGTGAGGCTCTGCAGCTGTTTCTTGGACATTTTTTCCACTTACGTTTTTATTATTTCTTTATTTAGACTTTTCAGTCATCTTTCTTGATTTCAACTTTATTTGCATATTTCATAGAGGTTAAATCTATAAGTTTATTAAAATAAACGGTTTGCGCCGATTTACACTCACAAATTCGGGAAAAAATAACTGAGCCAACTTATTCGACAACACTGTTTTAAAAAAAGAATTTTTATTAAATAATGGACATAGTTTGTGCTCTATGGCCGACAAATATCTTACTAACTACAATGAGTACACAAGATTAAAAGTGGTGCTTCGTGACAGCATCAGCTTTTACCGCGTCAGTATTACTAGATTTAGGTGATGACATAACTCTTCCACCCTTACAGACAACTATACCGTTAGGATAGTTGTACAGAAGCATGCTCGCGCTCATGGCTCTAGTCGCTAGTATCCGTTGTTGTTAACATTGGGCGGTGTTTCCTAGTTAATGTTGGTTTTAATCCATTCCATGTACTTAAATTGAATAGTTACAATTTTTGCATTTCCCGTGAATTTTCCTAATAAACTATGTAACTGAAAAATATTTGGAAAATTATTCCGATTACTAGAGTTACAGAAGTTTGTAACTTAAGTTTCACGGATTGACAAATTCAGAAACCCACTTTAAGTTCTCCGGCTTAAAAACTAGTACTTTCAGAAGTTTTATTTCCACTGATAATACTCGAAATTTGTTGGGATATTTTATTAATATAGTCTTGAGTTTGTCTTAAAACAATTTCGGAACTATGAAGAAGAGTTTCCGAAAAAATATCTTCAGAGTCAATTGAAGGCGAATTTATGGATGAATTATTTAAAGTGTTTTAAGTCGGACATAAAAAAAATGTTTAACTTACATTACACCATAACGATGTTGTCGATATATTTCTATAAGGTTTCGTTTCTCGAATGGAGATTTTGTCGTTTCCAAAGCAGCTAGTCCTCACGAAATTGCCCGATGTAGTGACAATACCCCAAAGCACCACGGACATTCAGTTATTCGGAATAAACACTCACAGATACTAAGTTTTTTAAATTCCAGCACGAGGAAACGATATTCACTCGACTACTCCATTGTTGGAACTTTCGGATAGCGAATTGAGTCTATCAGCGATTGATCCACTATTTTGACGATACTGCCGACTGCGCCAGTTAACTTATTCGATAAGACAACACCGTTTTTAAAAAATAATTAACATAGTTCGTGCGCTATGGCCGACAAAGTAGGGAAATAGGATTTGCGATCGCTTCAGTGGCAGCAGGGAAAATTGAAATTTACATTTAAATCTGCTTTTTTGTGCAAAGAATTGGGTAAAAATGCAAATCAACAACCACCATTTTGAATTCCTATGAATTTATCAACTACAGCAAGAAAAGAGCTTCTCGACCATACCGCTTCCTTAAAGAAAATGTCTTTATATATTCACTTGCAAAATATTTTTATAAATTTTGATCGCAAATAGTAGTTGTTCTTATTTTATTTTCGCAAATTTAGTAGTATTTAAAATTTTAAGAAGGCATGTCCACAACATACCGATGGTAGGTGGGACGTTTATGGAGAACCGAACATAGATTTTTTTAAATTAGATTTTCGAGTCTTCTACACCTATAATTCTTACACTCTTACGTCTATCTAGAGCAAATATTAATTATTTTTCTTTTTTTCCCCACAATATGACACTACTAAAACTTGGCGTTCCATGGCCAATTAATACTAATAATATTTCTCAAAGAAACTTCCACAGGCTACTGTAATGCTTTCTACAAAACTTCTGGATTCCTCCTGCGTCGGTTTTTGCTTGGTCGAAATTGCTGACGTTTCAACAATCATCCTGTTGGCTGTTTCAGTCAAGCTCTGAAGAAACCAACAGGATTATTAGAGAAACGTCAGCAATTTCGACTAAGCAAAAACCGACGCAGGAGGAATCCAGAAGTTTAGTAAAAAGCAATAATATTTCATTCAATATTTGACTTTCTCTGAGTTCAAAAAGCAGCTAAATTAAGGTTTTAGTGTTGTCATTGGAGAAAAAGAAAAATAATAAATATTTCACCAACCGCGCTGCAAAATTAATCAAAAGGAGTGAATCTAAAAATGTAACCTGTAGAGTATACTTTTTACAAAACTTCTGGATGCCTCCTGCGTCGTTTTTTGTTGAGTCGAACTTGCTGACGTTTCGCCAATCATCCTGTTGGTTTCTTCAGAGCTTGACAGGATGATTGGCGAAACGTCAGCAAGTTCGACTCAGCAAAAACCGACGCAGGAGGAATCCAGAAGTTTTGTAAAAAGTATTACAGTAGCCTGTGGAAGTTTGAAAAATTGTAGAGTATCCTATTTAGGATATATTATATATTTTTAAGATAACGATGTTTCCTTATATTAATATTAGAATCGACAATGTTGCATTGTTCGAAGTATTTTAGATAGACCTAAAAACCTCGAAATCCAATCCAAATTTCTAAATAATTCATTTTTCGTTCTCCGCAAACAGCTAACGGACCATCATTGATAAATTCATAAGTTCCTGTATTATCGGCATAGGCAGGGCGTCTATATCTTTAGAAGCTATATGGTCACAATATATAGACCCCGTACTAGTTACTAGAACTTTATGCTGATAATGTAAAAGCTGTTGAACACAACCTCAAAAAATTTGGACTAGGGACGTTCAATATCTGCATGTCATTTGAAAACTCTGTGTTAACCAATAAAACTTTGCGGCGTTCAACGGCAACGTGGTGACGGTTCCTCCGTTTAATAGTTTACAATATTTTGTCATAATATGTCGAGATCTCTTTAAATTTTCAGAGAAAAAACGAATTAGGTAATTGTGAGGAGATTGCAGTATAGAAATAAAATGGCGCAAAGTCCAGCTTATTAGGCGGACCTGTATAAGAGGGAACGGTTAGGATTTTAAGACATTTCTTATTTCAAAAATTTATTATCATACCTTACATCGGCTTTTTTAAATAATAAGAATATCGGTAGTAAATTAATATCCATGATTGGTGTACATTTGTTTTGGATAAAAAAATAAACTCAAAGTTTTAATGTTATTGTCGCATGATTTTCAGTGAGCCAGGAATTTAATTCAATTAAACCTGATGGTTACAGTTAACAAAAAAAAAGATACCGGTACTTACGCATTTTGCGCATGCCGGAAATGTCGCCAGACAACAGTCAGTTCGGACGTTTGTGGTAATTTCGTCATAGGTTTGGGAGCGATCGGAAGTTTTTTGTAGATTTTAGTATTTTGACGTTTATCAGTTTTGATGACCATTTTCACATGCCACTCAATGAATGTATTCCTGTTGTTTTGCAAAACTGTACCAAAAAACTAATGGTCGTAGAAAAACTCGTGAATAAAAAACTTGATTAGTTGAAGTATGTCATTTAAGCTAATACGTCATTTTTGGGCTAAAATTTTACAGGTTTTCCTAGAAATCGAAACTTGGTCCTGTAAGTTTTTGGTTAGCGTGAGCGAAGCTACAAATTTAACTTTATTGGCGAATATTTCTCCTAATTTAAATATTAATTAAATGTAAATAGAAAGTTTGTTAAAATTTTATATTGTAATAGAAGTTTTACAAAAAAAAAACTTTTGTCTGAACTTAAATCTTTTAATGATGTCTGGAAAACGACGACTTTTAAACATCAATTTATGATCTTTAGGCGTTTCAATACGAAAGCGCTAATCACCAAGCATAAAAGTTAGCCCTTATATTTTAGATTAGAAGTAAAATGCAACAAATTATTTCTTTTTTGAAGAATTTGTTGAAAATAAGTCAGAATTTCTGACTAATGTAAAAAATTCTTATTTATTTTTCTGAAATTCTGATTTAAATCAGAAAATGTGAGTTTTTCCGAAATTCTGACTTACATCTGACGTAAGTCAGAAAATCTGACCTAGTTTCCAGAAATTTTTATTTGCTTTTGAGTTCTGCTTTAAGGCAGATGTTACTTTCTATAAATTCTGAGTTGTTTTCCCAAAAAAGCAAAATCTATTTTTTATTTTTATTGACTTTTCGGTGCTTTCGTGCATCTCAAAATTAATGAAAAAAATTTCCGCAAGAAATCCTGTGGTATTGTCGTTTGCGAACTAATCGTTTGTTTAGAATTGAAGTAAAACACCTTTTTGACAAAACAAATGTAGGTAAGAAACCTGTTGCTTAGGTTAAATTCGTTCCTGTAGACTTGCGACGTTAACTTATTTGTTATGGGCGGGGAGGGAGATTTCTTAAACAATCCGCAAGACCTGTTTTTGTACCTGCCGATGTCGAGAATACCTTGACGAAAGCGAAGTGCTCCACAGTTTCGATGTCGACCATAGTGCTGCGAGCGCGATCGCCACGACGAAGCGGTAATTAAAATAAACGTGGGCGTCGTCGCTTGCAACCGGCTCGACTGCTGGACGCGAGTCTTTACGTCTTTAGTGTAAAAATGAATTGGGGATTAACGTTGGTGATGTGGTTGGCGCTTTTGCCGTTTAGTCGTGTGTGTTGCACGCCGAAAGCGGCGATTTACGTCGACAACGGTATGGGACAAACAGCCATCGACCGTCTGATGACCAACGTCGAAAAACTCGAAATGGAATCGGAGATATTGAATTTGTTGGGGTTGCCGAATCGCCCGCGTAAAATCAACAAGAGTACCGTGAAAAAGTCGGCACCCAAGTTTCTACTCGACATTTATAAGTCACTAATAGAAGAACAAAACGAGGAAGAGGGTTACAGGCGGCCCAAGAGGAGTTCCGATTTGAATTTAAGCGGAAACGAGCAGCAACAAATTTACGAGAGCGATATTATTATGACGTTCGAGAGTGTCGGTATGCATTGTTTACATGTCCCGCATATATACAACGCTTGCGTTCCTCGGATGTTAATTTAAGGTCGAAAGATATTCAGCTCGCGAATCGCGAACCCGCGGGAATTCACGTTACATGACGTTGCGGTCCTTCTAGCCGAAATTTTGCGACTAAGACGTTACTAGATTATGATCTTTAAATGTTTAGGTAGGCGCCAAAATTTAAGTTATCTGAAACCTTTCCTGTTACAAGTTCTATTAGCACGTAGAACTGTTAACCGATAATAACTTATATACTAATAACTTAGGTACTAATAACATTTTTATTTAAAAAAATCCTTGTTACAAAATGTAAATCATTTATATATAGATAAAATATTGGAATTCTTTACTTAGAACAGAGAACATAAATTAAAAATAATACCTCAAACAAATGCGGGGTGGTACGAGATTGTACATCCCTTCTTCTCATACACACCTAAAAGGTATTTAGTCTGTATGTATGTATCCTATGTAGGTATTTAGTTCCTTTTCAATAATTCGTTTCTTCCAAATATCATCACAGCTTTTCATCACAGTCCGAAATTTAGTACGGCATTTCTATTAAATTGAGTAGAATTTGCCAAAATTTGTCTTCTAAAAATCCGAAACATTAGACAGAATAAAGATTTATTTAATTTTAATTTTGCGTTTTTTAATGTCCACTTCATCATTAAAAACGTCATCATATTCAAGAAATGGAAAAATGTTGTTCCTATGCATTTGACTATTTAGTAAGTTTAAACGAAAATCGCCTTCCCAAGGTGGTATAAACTCCGAAAAATGACTAACAGTACATTAAAATGCCTTATTGTAGCTAAATAAAAAGCAACACTGGCACTTTCATGTAATCTATCAACAAGAAAAAAATCAAAAAGTAAGAGGTGCTCACAGCTTTGATGTTAATATTTAAACATGAGTGAAGGAAAGACATTTTAAAATATATATTTTTCATATCTGATTGGAGTGGTTCAAATTTGTCAGGCATATTCCAAAACAAATATGTTCTAAAAGAGCTGAGAAATGTCGAAATCCAAAATCAATTAAAATTTTATATAGAGTATGTATAATCATACTGACTAAATTAGTAGGAATTGTGGAAATGATGATGGAGCCATGATGAGAAATGTTAATTATCTCATTATTGTAGCGCATGTTAATTTATTATTAAAAGAAAATTCATTTTAATATAAAGAAATAAATAAATATTGTCTACTTATTCTAAATTTTGAAAGTTACTAAAAGTCCAAATAATGTTTTTAGAAAATCACGTGGATAGCGTGCGCCACGAAAGAGGAAAGAGGCTTTGGTTCAATGTTCTGGAACTTCCAGTAGCAGAAGACATCGTTGGTGCCGAGTTGAGAATCTTTCAAAATAAATCGGCTTCCATAAAACGCCCCGAGTCGATTTACACTGTCACAGCGTATCAGTTGATAAAAACATACGAAGGGTGAGTAAATTTTGTCACGATTCCGCCAAAAAAATTGCTATATGCTCCCAAATATATATAATAGAAGATCTTATGGCATTATCCATTTTTCCTCAGAGAGAGAGGTCTAGAATACATATCCTCAATAAATACGACAGCAGAATTCACCGGATGGCTAAGTTTAAACATAACACAGTGTCTGGCGGCGTGGGTGGCCCTCCCGAAATCAAATAACGGACTTTATCTGTCCGTCCATCCTGCTGGTAAACCAGGTAAAAAATAGAAAAACTTAATTTTAATGAAGCTAAATTTTCTCAAAACAAATGTTGCTATATCTAGATGTTATTAGATCTCCCCTATGCTATAAATATTAAATTCTATTAGATATATTATATTAATATACTACAGAAAAAAATAAGTGATTTTACCTATATTCTTTTTACGGCTTTGAAGAGAAAATCTCATTTTTTTTAATATTATATATAGTTAGTTAGATTTTTTAAAAAGTACTGGATTTTTGCTTGCAATTTGCCGTCTTGTTAATTGACTAGGTAGGTCATGGAAGGTTTTGTTTTAGCCTAAGTCTAGGCAGTCATTTGTTAAGCAGATTCTTTTTATTAAGGGTGGCCTTTATAAACAAAATACGGGTTGGGTAACAAAACAAAACTTTGAGCAATTGTGGGAAAAATAAACATTTTTGGGACATTCTGTATGCTGTTTCGCCATTCGGCAGCGAGTTCATAGATGTTACCAAAGGCTCTCACATAGTGTTATAAACGTAAAACATTCCAAATTAAGTTCATAAGTATTGTCACATATTTTTAGGGAAAAAAATACAATGGTTACCCATTAAATTTTTCCACCAAAAAGTCGTTTCTAAAAACTGTCTCATTAAAATACAGTTTAAAGAACAATAAAGAAATGCAAGCCAATGCGGATTTTTTAAATTACCGATACGCAAGGGTGGAATTGGGAACAACACGTACAATAAAAAATTTCTGGCTCCAAATGGCTATAGACGGTTAATAATATGTATCCGATAGGCAACGAAATCTGTCACACATTTTAACCCTAGTGTAATGAATTAATCAAATAAAAATTATAAATTACCATGCAGAGTGGATATTCTGAGAAACACACCTGCGTTTATTCAAAATCACGTATTCTCAGGCTGAATAAACATATTAATTATTGTATAGTTTATTGGATTTAAAAAAATATTTGATTAGAAGAAGCAGAAACATTTGTGCGTGAAATAAAATTGGATTTCTAAATGGAACAAGAACTGAAATATTAAAAGTGTATTTAGGCTTCTTTCGATTATTTTGTTTTGTTTGTATTCTATAGTTTAGTTTAGCTTTGGGCTATTATTTATGGTAAAATTGTGGAGCTTCCGCTACGACCACTAGTATCGAGTTTGCGACGCATTCGCGATTTGTTAACCCTTAAGGCCAGTGTCTACTTCAGGCAAAGTGCATCGAGGAGCATCAATCCACTGAGTAGTGGTCGAACTACATCAAAGGCATTTTTGAAGTGAAAAATAATACGACCAAAATTGAAAAACTTTTTTTCGTTTGCAACACCCCTGCGCAAGTGTATGAAAACAATATAGAGTTTTCAGAATTATAATAGTGCAATATGCAAAAAGTTTGATAAACGCTCTGATTTTCGATTTGACAGGAAGGGAGTGAGTGCTTACTAAACGAATGACGTGAAAAAGTTTATCAACGTGTTGCCTGTTGTACTTTTCACGTGTTTCATGTCACACTTTACTCAGTGAATGGTGTCGTGCTGATTTTCAAAAATGTACCCAAAAACTAATGGCCGCGGTTTATCAAACTTGTTGCGTAATGTAAAATGTATTAGCTATTATTCTGGCGTTTAATTGACTATTTTATTATTATTATTTGCATTAGGTCATGAAATTCGCCCAGAAGATATCGGTTTAGTAATGGTCAAAGGAGACGAAGAAACTCAGCCTTTCATGGTGGCGTTTTTAAAAGCTTCCAATTATGCCCGAAGCAGAACAAGGAGAGAACTAAAATCGAGAGCAAAAAAATCCGATTTTTCAGCAATTCTAAAAAACGGAAGAAGTAATTACTTCATCATTTTCAACGCTTCCCTTGTAACCGTGTTATTCTTTTTTTAAGGCATAGAGTCCGAAACCTGGCAGAGCTGCCAAATTAATACTCTCTACATTAGCTTCAAGGATCTACAATGGCAAGTAAGTCGCCTATATTACGCTCTATTTGCTATTATATTTATTATTTAAATATAATGCTAGTTACAGAGATTTTTTTCGAATCAAAAGAATAAATCTTCAAAACTTACTAAAGCTTCCAGCACTTTTAATTTTAAAGGGTGGTCATAAAAGTTATTTTTTGTTTGAACGCTGTAAAAAATGCCTTTCACACTGGAATTTTTCAAGTATGGCGCGCACCCTGTATAATAGCCATATAGAGCACCATAATACAAGAATTATAACTCTCGGTACAATTTTCTAAATTGAAGAAAACTTACTGAAACACCCAGGACATTCTGAAAAAAAAACATACAAAACAGTTCATCTTTAACAATTAAGTTAAGTGTAGGAATTCAAAATAATGCATAACTAAAGACATACTGCAAAAGTTAGCGATTATTTGAAGTCATACATATCTTTGAATGGATTTAAATGCATATCCCCCTCCCCATCATAAATTTCTTTTTGCTTGGATTACTAAAGTAATAATTTTTCTTTTGGTGAGTACATATTTTTCGTAAAGCACTTTTTACCGCCGGACAGCCTACTGATTGTCAAGAATGCTGAATTTAGAGTTTAGTAAACGAATTGTTTTCTATATTACTTTTCGGGTAAATTACACGCCACTTCAACGGTACTAATTTAAATTAAACTACTATCTTGAAAACTGTAAAAAAATGGCATTATGTCGGTAATTTAAATTGATGTTGCTGACGTCATTCCAAAATGATCACGAAAATACCACTACGTTGATACGTTTAAATTTAAACTACTAATAAAAATTAAGTCATTTATAATAGATCTTTGGTATTGACAAAGTGTCACCAACCGTTGTTATGATTTTAGGACTGGATCATAGCTCCCGAGGGCTACGCCGCCTACTATTGCCGAGGGGAGTGTAATTTTCCATTGAACGCCCACATGAACGCGTCTAACCACGCCATTGTCCAAACTTTGGTCCATTTGATCCATCCAACTCGATATCCGAAATCGAGCTGTGCGCCCACCAAATTATCGCCGATATCTGTATTGTATTTCTTGGACGACCACAATGTTGTTTTGAAAAAGTACAAGCAAATGGTTGTCAGAACGTGCGGATGCCGTTAGTGATTATTGTTATTCATGTTATTTGTTGATAATTGAACGGCATGAATAACTTTGTCGTCTCTTGCGTATGCTACCTACTTAAGTTGTAGGTAGGTATTTTGCAATATCTGATTGTACGAAGTAAGTGAAAAAACTTAGTAATTCATTCAATGTATCAGGCACGACTACGGACTATTGTAGAGATCAATTGAGAAAAACCCAGTTTTTTACAAAATGGTTAGAGTCGAGAAAGTGTCATATTTAATTAATAAGAAGATACCATTTGATCGGGGCATCTAAGTTTAGTAATAAAATTGCGATAAACCATTGGCGTGTCACGTTTTTTATTATTAAAATTAATTAACACGTTCTCACGAACGCCACAAGTTTATCTATGCTACAAATTTGTTTTTAAATGGTAAAAATACCTACCTAGTGAAAGTAAAAATAGGATTTTTTCCCAAATATTTCAACATTAAAAATGAAGCATTTTAAGACATAAGTTTATCTGTTGAATGCGCTGTTAAATGTAGAAACTATTATAACTCGAATCACTCAAAAGTTAGTCAAAAAACATTGAAATTTTTTTGATAAGTATTAAATTGTAAATAGTTTGTAGAAAATAAGAGATAGGATATACGTCGTATCTGTAAATTGTACCCATTAATGTACCCAACGAAAAAAATAAAATAAAAATTGAAAAGGACATGATAATATAATTATTTATATGCCGAAGCATAACACATACGCCAAACACAATTATTCATTGCATTTTCCTTTCATTTCTGTTCGAAATATGCTTGGCGTTCCAATAAGGGCAACGATATTACGAAAAGCTTTGGCCCCAGAAATTTGAAAAAAAAAAAAGTAAATCGGCCCGGTAAACTCGTTTCTGCAAAATTTTCTTAGATTAACGAACATTTTTGTTTAATGCTCTTGGATCTGTGAAAGGCAAATGGTGTTCAACTATTTTCGGAAATAAAATTATATAAATCAAAAAAAGCATTTTAATAAATTTGTCTCCAAAGAGGAATTTTCCTAGGCCATTAGTGACGCGTTGCCATTGCGTAGCTTGCCGCCGATGGCGTTACCTGATATAATCTAACAGATAAGATACTTTATAATTTCAGATTTAAGACTTAAGATTTCAGTATGGTTTGCACATTAGAAAAAACTGTAATTACTGTCAAGCAGGGAAGAGTGGGTTCAGAACAAGACTGGTCTAGTGGGGAAAGAACAGCGTCGGCTCACATGCGGTTCATGTGTAGAACATCCAGAGGAGATAAAAATTGGCCTTGGTACATATAGTAGCACATTCTAAGCGGAAGTAAATACCAACGAGCTCTGTGCAAATGCCCGGCGGGGGGAAAGATCAGATACCCAAAACTGGACTTTTGAGGTTCTGAAGGACAAATTAACTGACTTCATAGGTGGGTGAACTATTAAATTGGAAGAGTGCCACAGTAGATTGATTTGTGGTAGCGAAGGCAGACGAACGACCAAAGCAAATGTGCTAAAAACATCCGCTTTTTACTGAAACATGCATACATATTTTATTTTAAGAAGCCACTCTAATTTTTTAAGTTTTGTTTCCTATATACAGCCAACTAGGCCACAACAAACATCAAATTCAAATAATGTATAGAATTATTCCCTTCAAAAGAAATTAGGTCCACTATAAGATTATAATGGGATCAGCTCTGTAGAGGTGCTTTGAGAAATTCTAATTTCACTGCAAACTGAATCTATCGACATTTCTCAATATGGTCCTTATCCCAATAGGATATATCAACCCTGCTAAGACTTTTTTGCCAATGGAGATCCGATTATATTTTTTTATTTTCATTTTTTCACAACTTTCAGAATTGTTGCAATATTGTACTAATAGGTCTCTGGTAAATGATTTTTAGCCTCCTACTTTTAACAGGCGTGTGAATGTTAGTTACTGTAGTAAAAGAATCCAACATAAGGGGATGCTAATATTACTTGGAAATCATAATAGATAAGATTAGTAAAAGTTGCGTAATGGTCAAAAATCCTTGTTTAACATAAAAAAAAATTTAACACAATTCTACACTGTGCTTCTTTCTCCCCTCCTACAAATGAAAAGTACTTCTGTAGTTGCAAAATAAGTATTATATTCAGAAAAAGTATTAAATAAAATAACGCATTCAGAACAGACTATATTTCCCAGTAAGTGTTCTACAAAAATTGATTTCAAAAATTACAAATATAAAAATTGACTAGGAATCTGCAATAGCAATGATTTCACAAAAAAAGATACAATCGATAATTACCAATAGAACTTCCTGACAAACACCATGCGAGAAATAATCTGCTCGGTTTGAAAATTTTCCATTTTTTTTATATTGTTTTTTAACTTTTTACTCTCTCCTGTTGTTTGAGGAATGAAAAGTTAGATGTTGCAATAAATTTGATTTTTTAATGACACCCGCCCTTTGGAGAGTGTCAAGCCTTCTTAATAGATAATGTTATTAAAGAAAAACCGTCGCAGCAAGACATAAGGTCTAAAGACGTTTCATTGAATCGACAAAGTGTCCGTCGCCGCTTTCAGTTGGTGACAATTATCAAAACTATTCGTTATGAAAATCTTACCAATTATAAAAAGTATCAAAAAACGTTTTTGTTAACCACCTGAAAGCCCAAGCGAGCGCTCAATTAACGTTGACAGCAAAATGTTAAATTCCATTTACAAAAATAATTATTTGGTACAATGAAACGCCCTTTGTCTGCTATTTATAAAACACGCCCTAATTGTTGTTGTAATAAGTGATGTCGGTTAGTCACAGCCGCAATTAAGCTGTGCTCTCCGTAGTTGTATTCTGTACAGGCTGACTCTCCTAAAAAAAAAAAAACAAAAAAAAACTCATAGGACAATCTAGGTGTGTTACAGGTAACAACGCATATTCCCAATGAAGGGACCTATTATATAAAAATAGAATTTATTAAAAATATTTTTGAATTTAGTAGACTGTACTAAGCACAGATTGAAGAATCAAGTTTATATCAATTGTCTATTGAAGCCTGGCGGAGAAGATTTATGGTTACCATTACCTCCAAGCACCTTAATTACAGCTTTAAATTATTTATTTTGCACCAAACTATTTTGGATTTTTGAAAGTTTCTCACTAACCTGTGCACCATTGTTCGCACCCTCAGACGTAGAGTTGCTGGAACGAACCTTCTGGGGTCCGCGTTTGCGGTAGCGGGCTCGTTGACCTCCCTGGGACTGATCATTTCCGCCTTGGCTATCCTCGGATCTGGCACGAGGTCCTCTACCACCTCGACCGCCGCCTCCGCGGTTACCGCGACGGTAAAAACCGCGACGTGGTCCGCGACCTCGCGGAATCATGTCCCCCCCGTTATCGTCCAAATCGCCCTGATACTCGGAATTGTAATGATATTCCCTCGGTGGTCCCATGTAAGGTCCGCCCCGCATGTAACCACGGTAACCGCCGCGTCCGCGTCTAGGTCTGTAACGGCCTCCTCCCTCACCGCCGGATACAGTCCCGTCCTTATCGCCTTCGCTCTGTTGACTTTCGCGTGGCCGGCGTGGGCCGCCCCCTCGGCCACCTCGGTTGCGCGGATAAAACCTATTACGTTGATGAATCAGTTCTCTATCGTGTTGTTACACGCGATCAATTGCAATAGGTTCGTGAATTAACTTTCTTTTTAAAAACACATAGCAAATAAAATCGATCTTTTTATTGAAAAAAGAACTTGTTTACTAACGAAGCTAACCTTATTTTTTAATATTCTATTTTCCCTAGAAATTAGCGCAATGTTTTTTGAAACACAAAAATAAAATTGAATCTTTTTTTAGTGAGGATCGCTTCAAGGTTTATTATCATGTATGAGTAGTATGGTTTACTGGTTACTTATTAAAATCATTACTAACTAAACTAATTCATACACCTCATGACCTATTATTCATAAATAAAACCTTTTTTTCTCATCATGAGCCTATTGCAATTTCTCTCACTCGGTGGAATGTAATTGAAAAGTAAGCGCTCGGCAAAATAAAAAAGAAAAATTACCAATACCGAAAACGGCGCCGATCCGCAGCGTACGGAGAACCTCGGACCGGTTCGCCATCAGGTCCGGTTACATTAGCAGCTTCGTTACCCTTTTCGCCTACCACCACACTAAATTCCACAGTTTCCCCATCTCCCACTGAGCGAACAGCCTTTTTCGGATTGTTTTTACTAATGGCTGACTAAAAAGAAACCAAATGGAATACATATGTGCATTACTTTGCAATATAGATTGTAATTTATGAGTCAAATAGCTACCCAAAATAACCAATTCACAGAAAAGGTACATACAAAAAAATATCAGATTTTTCAATCACCGCATTTAATTGCAAAACTTTTTTTTTGGTTCTCCACATTTCTCGTTTTTGCTTCTAAGTAGACCTGCATCCAAGTCATCAATATTTATTTCTTGTAATGTGCAATATAAAACCTCTTTTCAACTCTAATAACATACCTATTAAAATAAAACAAAATTTATTATTTATATTTATTATATTCTATATCATATTGTTAGTTCTCAAGGCTTAGTTAACCCATTCAATTGTTTTATGACAAAACTTTTCATAAGGATAAATACGTGAAAAATATAACTACATTTAATTAATAGTTGCCACTAATATGAGTGAAGAAAAATGAAAAGGGCTAATTTTTTCTAGGGTGTAACACCCTTCTCTCATAAAGAAATCAAAAAAGTGACTGGAATATGCATTTCGGATTTGTTTATAAAATAATCTACTTTTTTAAATTAACCTGTAATTGCCACCCCATTTTCAACAAAGAGGAACTAATAAGAAAGTGATGAATCTATCTTTTTGTTTAGTGTACCATCCAATTAAAAAAAAAAAACAAATTTACAAAAATAATTGTTCCCCACCAAATGCTTGAAAGTAAATATTAATGTATATTAACGAAATTAGCTTTGGTGGAGGTGTTCTTATGTAGCACACTAATGACTCAAGCATCTCTTATGTCGTCCGAGATGGATCTAAGCAGCGTGCAATGGACTTGTGGCCGACAAATAGTTACTTACTTGGTGAACAAAAACGTCTTCTTTTGTGTCATTACGGTTGATGAACCCATAGCCACTTTTCACGTTAAACCATTTCACGGTACCAGTTACTTTGGTTGCTGGAATGTTAAATACCAAAACGTCTTATCAGTGAAAAAATATAATTTTGAAATTCAGTTATAATTACAGTAACAGGTATTAATTTAAATATTTTATTTATTAAGGTGGGTACAATATAGGGAAATAAAATAAAAACTAAGTTTTATGGTCAACTCTAATTTAACTAGGAATGAAAAATATGTAGGGTAGCCGGTTCATACGGGATTTTTTAATCTTTAAGGGGTAAATGCCACAGAGAAAACTGTACAATTTCTTTAACACTTACAATTCCTTTTAATTTTTCTATAATAAGTTGGAATTCTTTGATACCATCCACAATAATTCTCTAAGCGGTTACCCCTCAATAAGTTTTGTTAATACAATTATAGTATGAAATTTAACAAAAACTTTTTAAACCGTTAGTTGTGGATACAAATATAACTGGAATCCAATCAGATACGAATATTAAAATAATTACAAATACCTCTTAGCATGCCCGGGAAATATAAAGGAAATGCAGTCAATAAATTTTGGTTTCCATAGTTATTAACAGAAATTGTCTATGACAAAAAGGCACAACTCTTTCGAAAATATAAAATTAGGTGTTTCACAATTCTTATTAGACGCTACCGAAATAGCTAAAATCTTGCTGGTATTCGAAATGGCGGCATCACTCACAAAAAAAATGAAGCTTCAGTTTATTCACTTCGCCGTAAATTGCAATTAAAATAATCTCGTTTTGAGGCAGTTTGACTATGAAATTCTATAAATTGTCATGAAAATGACGATTTTCACAAAAATCAAAAAGTTCGACCATGTGCTCATCGCGGAAAACATGGACGATAGACGCGCGCGTCGTCGGAAGTCATCACGTAATTGTTAAAAATAAGTTTTCTTACCGATAACTTCTTTTACTTTCGCCGGAGCCTTTGGTTGCTCGGGTGCCTGCTGTTGTTCTTGCTCCGCTTCAGCCATGGTGGTCTTCGGGCCGGTGGAAGATGTTAAAACCACTCCTCACCTTGATGTTATTTCCTTCCTATCCAACTCGGTTGTTGAAAGATCTTGCCGATTCTCAACTTTTTCAGTAATAAATAAACTTTTTGTGACGCAAGCTGCGACGTCGCACATATTGACGTCCTCGTCGTTGGCAAAGGCTTCAGGCACATGTCTCAGATAGAGCACGCGATTTCTATCAGAAAACCGCGCATGCTTTTTAGTCATATAGCAAAATTTAGAAATGGTCACGAAATGATCTAAATTTCACAGATAACAGAATCCAATATCAAAAAAATCCATTACATAGACTTGATTAATTTATTTGTTAACTGCCTAGAAAATAATTTTGTTTCATTTCTCAAAGCACCTTGAAAATTATGGGATAAATGTTTTCCATCACCGTTTAAAACTTTTCTACACCAAACGCACACTTGAAACTGCATTTGAAAGATAAGAAAGATAATTGACACTTGATCCTAATTATGCAAATTTAAATCATCTCTACCGACCACCTTACATATAAGAACTGTTGGTGGTGTGGGTATTCATCCCTTTGACAATTCGTGCTTGGTGTTGCTTAAAAAATATATAATTTATATGTTGAAAAATGTGATTTTTCTAATATTAAAGTAGTATTGTATATAATTAAAACATTGCCCCTGTTTTCTAAGCCCTTGCTACTAGAAGAAGACGATACCGCTAATTCAAATGACACGCACACGTCGTTGTCGTTCGTTCATTCGCTCAATTCATTGACGTTGTGTTGATGACGTATGACACGTTGTTTTGTTGTGTGGAGGGACCCTTAAGGTCCAAATTATATTTTTGATAAAATGGGGCAAAAATTTCAATACGATGAAAGTGGCGGAACCTTCTTTTATTTTTTACTTTCGTTTTTAGCCCTAATTTTAATACCTGTAACTATTTTCTATTGGCCTAGAAAGAAGAAACCTGGTAATTAATTCAACAAACCAAATGTAAGGTTAATCTAGTCCATTTATCTATTTTAGATCCCGATCAGGAAAAAAAGGAATGTAAATGTCCCGGGTGTCTGCTGAAACGCGAATATCTGCAAAAGGCAGAACCCTGGAGGGAGACAAAGAATTTATTAATAAAATTTGTTATAATTTTGGGTTGGTTAGCATTAATATTTCTAGTTTATAAAGTTTCACAATTTGATTATGAAATGGCCAATTTTGATCCATATGAAATATTAAGAATATCGCCTGGCTCTAGTCAAGCTGAGATAAAAAAGGCTTATCGAGAGTTGGCCAAAATTTTACATCCTGACAAGGATACTGGAGATGAAAAAGAATTTATGAAGTTGTCCAAGGCTCATCAGGTGGGTATTTATAATATACTATCATAATTGAACATTAATTCAAAAATTAATATAAATAATTATGTAGGCATTAACGGATGAAGAATCAAGAAGGAACTGGGAAAAATATGGCAATCCTGATGGGCCAGGGGCAATGAGCTTTGGAATAGCACTTCCTTCTTGGATAGTGGAGAAAGAAAATAGTGTATGGGTGCTTGGATTATATGCTTTGGTATTTATGGTTGCTCTTCCTATTGTTGTAAGTGAACACTTTTCTACTTGATCCATTTTATTGCTTTTCATTAATATATTTTTTAGGTGGGAACTTGGTGGTACAGGAGTATTAAATTTACTGGTGATCAAGTTCTGTTAGATACAACACAAATGTATTATTACTTTTTTCATAAAACTCCACATATGGCTTTAAAAAGAGTCATTATGATTTTAGCAGCCAGTTTGGAATTTGATAAAAAGCATAATTATGAAATAATTGAACGCCAATCTGATAATGAGGAAGTCCCTCAAGTAAGTTAGTTTATAGCCAAAATGTCTGTGTTTCATTTTTTTTCATATCTAGATGTTAATTACAACAGAGCCACTGTAAATATATTCCTCATTGAGTTTAATGATCCAGAAAAATGTGTTACTAATTTTTAACAAGTTATAAAAATTACTTTCTTGAATATAATTAAATGTCAATTTAAAAAAATTCATAGATTACAGTAGTATGCACATAAAATAAATCTATAAAATATAAAACAAATATGAATAATTAGCCCTAGTTAAGGAATTGACAATAATACCATTGCAATGCCTGATATTATTTTTTAAGCATCTCCTAAAAAGTTTTATGACTATTTTTAAATTTTTACTCAAACTAGTTAATAATGGGTAATATATTTTGCCGCCCTGGTGCAACGAATGTAGCTTTGCTTGTTTTTTTTTTTTTTAATGTGCTATATGTTAATGGGGCGCTAGGTGCTCATTTGCTGGGTATCAAACAAATAAGAGTAGAAATTTTGTTTCAGTTAATCAAGAAACTACCAAATCTAAATGAAAAAAATAAGGAAAGACCATTATGCTACCTCTATAGTATTAAGGCTCGTGCTATTATACATGCACATCTAGGTAGAGTACCTTTAAATCCGAATACCTTGGAACAGGACAGAAGATATTTAATAGCGAAATGTCCATACCTAATACAGGAACAAGTAAACTGTGTAAATCAGTTAATTCTCCTTGCCTATGCCCAGAAAAGTAATAATTTGCAAGCAATATTGGGATATTTTACTGCTTCATATTGTGTTTTTAGTTGAACATCTACTTAAAATAGGTACCCTTGAAAACTGTATGAAACTGTGTCCAATGATAGTTCAGGCATTGTGGGACTACAAATCTCCCTTATTGCAGTTGCCTTATATCAATGATGATAATTTGAAATATTTTTTATCTAAAAAGCGGCAGATTAAGTCCCTACAGCAGTTTGCCCAGTTAAAAAGTGATGAACGAAGGCATCTGCTTAGGAGTTTTAGTGATGATGAGTATGAAAATGTCATGAAAGTGTTGGGTAGGATGCCCTTTATTGATTTTCAGATCACTGTTGAAGGTATGTATTTAACATTGTTAAGTAATAAGGTGAGAAATAACTTTAATAAATCCACTATGCATTGTTTTTGTTGAGGAAACTTATAAGAGTTGTTAATTTTCTAGATACTAATGATACTATTCTACTAAATCACATACATTTTTGTGCTGTCAAATAAAAAGACGACCTGGACTAAAATCTGACAATGTACTTTTGTAGTTTTTTATTTTAATTGTAGTTACGATATTACTTTGCCAGAGCAAGTTTTCCTTTTTTTAGTTATGGACGATGATAATCCAACTGAAGTAACTGCTGGTGCTATTGTAACTGTAACAGTACATTTGACAAGAAATGATATGTCCACTTTATTCGGCGATGAAACTGTCATAGAAAATACTGAAATAACTGAAAATGGAGTAGAAGAAGTTAAAGAAGGCGGGGATGCTGAAAGTGATGCTATCGCTGTTAGGAGACCTGCCTGGTTAAAACAGAAACGAGGTAATGGTGGAAAGAGTTTAAATCCGGAATGAATAATCACAATTGTTATTTCATTTCTTTGATTTAATATTGGATTTTTCAAGATTTTCAAAAAAAGTTAAAAAATTAATATCCCAATCAATCACCATAGTCAAAAACATCTCATAAGCTTTAATATTTAGATACAATCTTTCGATCATATTCTATATTCCTATGCCATATCTAAAATATACATTTTTACACTTTTATCCCTAACCACCCAATCCCTAATACACAATTTTTAAGCGTGCCATTGAGAATAAGAAATCGAATCTACGTGTATTTACATTACCCTAAGCCAATAACAGTGAGAGTAATGTCTTTAATATAAAGTACATAAACACATATTACCATGTTAATTAGACCTTATGTAAATTATGTAAAATGTGTTTATTTACAAAGGTGGTGGAAAAAAAACAAAGAAAAGCACAAAACCGAGCAGGTCAGCGGGTAATGTAAAGTCAAAAGCAGAAGATTCTCCAAGTACTGAAAAAAAAACAAAGGAAGTTAAAATTAAACATGAGGAAGAATCAGATGACTCTGGGGAGGAAAGTGATGCTGATACGAATGAGAAAGATGATAAATCTTCAGGTGATGAAAGTGTGCAAAAATCTAATAATGAAGATGGTGATCAGGTAAATAATATAATTTATGTAAGCTTCAGGTTTTGCAATTATTATTTTAAAAAGCCTGAGTATAGATTTCTGAAATTAATTTTTAGGAGTGGGAGAAATTTCGTAAATTGCATGAGCAAGAAAAATCTCTCGAGGGCAAATCAAAATCTTCTCACCCAGTTCACTGTCCATATTTTCCTCAAGACAAACAAGAATACTGGTGGACCTATATATGCGATAGAAAATCAAAAACACTTCTCACCGCTCCTTATCATGTAACAAGTTTAGTAGAGAAAGAAACAATCCATCTGAAGGTAAAAGTTTCTTATAATGGATCAAAATGATGAATATCCCATGCAAATATCAATAATTCAATAATAAAAAATTAAATGTGGTTGCGGAATGACAATTATTACTAGAAAATGGGAAAAATTAACCATTCTAGACTAACAATATTTTTTTTATAATAATTATATTATATCTTAACAGAGGATTCCAAATAACATAAAAAAGGTCAAATCTTTTGCCTAGCATAATGAACTATAAGTGATTTTCACAGAATAAAAACTTGAAATCCTAAACTTCAAACAGTGGAAAAAAAGTTGTACGAAGTGGGTTTCCAGATAAATTTTACTGATAAGGTGGTCGTCAAAAATAAAAGAAATAATAATGAAAACATTAAAAAAAAACTAATGCTCCAACTGTTTTTCCATAGCTTGCTGTGATATTTCATTTCTGGGGCATTCATGGCTGATTATTTCCTATACGCTGCAGTGGTTTAATGAGGATATTTATAGTTTTTGTTAAATATTTCTAAAATCATTGAGAATTTCAATACTTTTGTGATAGCAAAATATGCTCGTAATTAAGTTTTGCATGAAAGTTGCCATTTTTGTAACCAAATTTTAATTTCAATTTGCCATTAAAAAAAAAGCACAGAGCACATTAAACACATTATCACTAACCATACAGTGTGTGCGGGTGAAAGTGTCTATTATATAAAAGTAAAGTGAATTTCAACTTGCATTTAAATTGTGTTTTAGAGATTTTTCTAGTCGTTAAGTGAATTTTTAATGAATTGAAATCAAAATGAGGTCTTCCGGTGTATTAATGAAAATTTGTAGGAGTTTTTGCATTTTTTTTTAATTTTCAGTTTACCGCGCCCCTTTGGCCATGCGTGTGCACATTTACAGTGTGTCTTAGGTCAGACTCCTATATTGGTTTTGACCAACAAAAAGATTTTACGCTAGACGTGAAGCAAGCCCCAGCAGCAATCACGGCTCATCCGCAGTGGGAGTTTGAAGATTCAGAAGAGGAAAATCCACTTGAAAAGGCTGATCCGGAATCGGAGTATACGACGGACGAAGATTTACCTGACGATGAATAAATAATTTCTTGAAATAATTTGCATTTTGTTAGATTTATTAAAGGATTTCTTAATATTTGAACGGGGATTGAGTTATTTACAATTATTGTATGATATTTATTTATATTTGTATAAAATTTTGTAACTAGCCAAAGCTGTGTAATAAAGTATCTTATTATAAAAGAAAATAAATTGAAAATATTTTTGGCGACATTTATTTCTAAAACAATTAACATATGGAGTGCTTGTTTATATTTGTGTTAATATTGTATGCTTCGTTTTGTCTGTATGTCGTCCAGAACGGCTTGCAACTCGTCATCTTCAAATCTACCTTCAAGTGATGGTATTAAGGATTTCGCTTCTTCTGCTGTTTCTGGACACAAATTTGCAATGGTAGCTAATTCAAATTTATGTATCTTCTTTTGATTTAACAAGCTAAAAGATGCGGAAAAAAATTGCATGCTGCACAAATATATGCAGTTATAAGATTTAAAACTTAAAGAATCTTGCATCAACGCGTCCTCTATAAATAGAAACTGCCAAAAAATAACCCAAAGTTAAAAACAAATTTTTGTGGAGACAATTTGGTCTTTTTTTTTCAGTGATAGGCATACACTTATTGCTTATATACATGCTGATTTAAAGTTCTCCGAACGATATACCGTTTTTATGACATAATCCGGTATTTAACTTTCGTAAATTTTTATGAAGGTCTAACCCTAGGCTTGGGTTTCTGTATGTAATCCTCAATAAATAAATTCGCAATTCCACAATGACGTCCCAGAACCGTACTTCGGTACTTTGTGTAGAGTTTCGCTGGTAAGATTCCTCGATTATTATTAGTCCGTACAGTGAAAAATCCACTCTTACTTTAAAATGTTTATTAAAAATATAAACGAAGGAGAAAATTTAACTATAAAAAATTGTTAGAATATTAATAATTAATTCTGGTAGTCCACTGTAAATATTTTCTGTAAACATTTTTTTCTTCGATAACATGTTCTGGGTTTCAAAGTCTCTTGGCAACACTCAAAACACTACGCAACTCTTTATGTAAAGTTTTAATTGTTAAAACAATATTCTGCTGATACGCATCATATATCAATCGTCTCACTATTCAGATATGGTGAATGTCAAGTACACTTTTTGGGGCCCACAATCTATTCGCGTTTTTCTTTTTTGGACGCCATTCACAACTATGTCACGTAGTGCTGTATAGTGTTTTCATGACATCACCAACCCCCACAAATCAACCATTAGCAAACTGGGAAAACATCCATTATAAATCAGTTATCTGCATAAGAGTTTATATTGCTTTTCTAGGAAAACATTTTAGTGTTATTATGTTAAACCCTTAAATTGGAAATTAGTTTAAGCTTTCTAATGTCTTTTTAATATACGAGAGCAACCTAAGTATCGGCAAATTCAACTTGCAATTGAGCTCCCTCAAGTAGGGACTGTTTTAGAAAGATTTATGAAAATCACACAAAGACAATTTCCCTACTTTTAAAATACAACAGTCCGCACGGCACATTTTTTGTCAGTTACCATCTAAAATACTACCCTGGCTTGTGGTGCACCTGCTGAAAAGGATGTTTTTCCGCTTTACAAAATTCGGGTCTTAAACTCATTCCAAAGTCAAAACCGTAAAAGGTTGTAAAAGCGGTATATCGTTTGGTGAACTTTTAACTGTATTTACTTTTTGTAAATGAGGTGTTAATTGGCTTATATAAAATTCTGCTGTTCCTCTAATGGCTTGAAACTCTATATACTTTATATATTATATCACCAGTATCATCACTATAGAAAATACAATATGTCTAAACAAAAAGGTTAGCCCACTAGAAATACAACTACATACTAGATTTTTCATCGCAAAAGTTGTTGGTATGTGCGCTGTATAATAGTAACCCAAAATGCGTCAAAAATGAGTTACTGTAGTCTTCGTCGTATGAGTCAATGTGAAAATCTTACTTACTTTCTAACTGCTGATATAGTCTCTTTATTTTTAAACTTGCGAAATCTGTCTGTATATGTCAATGTTTTCATGAAAACTTCAGAAAATTCCTGCTCGTCTTCCGCCGATTCGTTCTGCGCTTTCCTATGTTCCAATAACATGTGCACCTCGGAAATCAAAAGAGTCTCTGCATTTTCAAATTCTACAATTTAATTTATTTACCATATAATTGCCAGCAATGAAACAATACACTCCCGCCACTGATATTCAATATTAAAACATTACTTACTTGAATATACAACAGGTTTATATTAAACTAAGATTCAAAATAAAAAACAATTTTATTCGAGATTTAAACTGGTGCATACAGTTTTCTTCATTATACAAGCAAAATTAGGAATTTGGTTTGCCCACATATCCTTGCTTGACTAAAAAATCATAAAGTTTTCTAGTCTTATTGACATCAATTTTTAACATTCTGCGAGCGGTCTGTAGTTTGACGTGTCCCATTCTATTATTTTCAGCAACTAGGACCTCCTTTAACTCTAAATAAGATACTGGTACTAATCTTATGTTGGCGCACAGTTCTCTCTCATCTTCTGTTAACTTTTCATAGCCAGGCATGCCCACTATCTCCAATGGAATTGCAGTAGAACGTCTTTTGTTAACAAATTTATTTCTCAATGGTAATGAGGGTACTTGAGTAGCCCTCCAATTAAAATTTGCATCAGAACGAAACAATTTTAACTTTTTCTTATTTTCATAGTGTATTTGTTGCAATTTCAAATATAACCTTCCCTCTGCCAAAGTTGTCATGCCCTTTTTTCTAAGTTGGATTAATCTGGAAGTTACAAAAAAAAACGGTTACTAGAAATACTTTGTTGTTGTGTTGGTGTTTTTCATAATTCTTTGATCTTCCCGGGGCAACAATAGAACATTTTTGGAAAGTGGAAGACCAATATGGAATATGACTGCACAGGTAATTAAAGATATTAATGTAATCTTCCTTCTAATTTTCATTAACTTTTTGTTGTACATTTCTGAATATTTCTGTCAGATTTTTGTGACATCAAGTTCATTTGATATATCATTTGGAAAAATTAATATATACAAGGTGATCAGAAATTTAGAGATATTTGTCCTCCACAGTAACTGTTGGCTAAAATAAGTCTTTATTTTAGAAACCTAAATTTCCTTGCTATATCATAAACAACTCAGTATTTACCTATCACTCATTTTTCATGTGCAAGCGAAAGGAATTAAATAATAATTGTGCATACCTATGAATTTGGAGTTTTAACTCTCCTACCCGATGAAGTCCCTCAAGAAGCATTTCAAATTTTGTTGGTTCATAAAATCTCATGAATCTGATCAATTTTTCATAAACTGGCTTGGTTATAGACAAATCATATCTATGTAACCAAGAAGAAGTTTTCCTCAACACCAACAGACCATGATCCTGAATTATTTTTTTCCATCTATGTCTTTCTTTTAAGCGTCGATTGTAGCTCTGAACTATAGAACATTGCATGTCTGTTAAAATTTTGTAATAAGGATCGTCAACACTAATTGATTCTATATTTGATAACAAATCTTCAGCATTTTTGTCATATTCATATTCAAAATCACCTCTTGCTGGGTTGTATCCAGCCAGTGATTGATATCCAACAGTATTTGATGCATATCGAGGAGGGTCATCTGAGTCTGTTAATCGAAATCTATATGGTACAGTAACTTCTGGCAACCTATTATCAATCTCTTTTTCAAATTTTGGCATGTCTTTGTGGCTATTTCTATCCAAGTAAAAGTAATTGTAATGCTCTTTAATATCACTTATTGTTCTGTTGGGTAACTCAAGTGCTACTAAGCCCCAATTACCATAATTGATAAGCGAATCCAACAACTTTAATTCTTCTTCTGCTGTCCAGTCAGAATTTTCAAATAGAATTATATTAGTAGTAAAAAGTCGATAACTGTGATTATTCCTATGACAACCAAATTCTGCCCCTTTTGAAAAACATTGTAGGCATATATTTAATTTACAGATTTCGCACAGAACGTATCTAGAAATTAATTCTTTAAAACAATTTGAACAAAAACGTATGATAACGTCATTTTTGAGAATTTCTGTGGCGAGAGTTTTTTCGGAAGAGGACTGCTCCCCTGAAATTATTTTATGGTTTTATTTAAAAACTACATGAAAATGGTTCCTACCTTTGGGAAATTGCAGATCTGCCGCATCCTCTTCTGTCAAATCAGTATTTGTGTTAGCCATTATAGTATTTAATTCGAAGGGAAAACTTAATCAATTATTACTTTAAAACAACTCAGTTTCCAAAACACTAAATCTTTTTGGTTTCTTGCTTCTTCTTCTTCTTTTTGCTTCTATTAGCCAACATGGCAAGAATCAAAATTTATTTATTTATCGGCTTGTTTTCGACCAAATTTCCATTGTATCGTCTTATCTTTTCGATTTACGTCGATTTATACTACGCCATTTTACCTTTAAAGGAACTTCACTAAAAAAATTTAATGAAGGCTTTTTAGGAAAACTAGAATGCTCCATCTTTCAACATACAATTACAGCAAGAACGTAAACAAAAGAGGATAGTTGCCTTCCATATAAATTGGACTTTAATGTGAAATGTATTCCATTAAACGTCAAAAACTGCATGCAAAGTTCTGCGATATAAATGGCGCATTAAATTTTTTCGAGGGGGTACTTGACGTCTCTGCTGGTACTAGACAGTTGCTATTTATGGAAAAAACGTGTGAGTAAGCTAAGCCTATTGGTTTTTGCCCTTTAAGTTGCAGTCATAAAGAAGAAGCATACGAAATTATGAAATTTAAAAGTTGGTAGTACTTTTGTTCTGTGAAATGACATCTACGTTGATATCTCTTTTTTGTAGTGGATGTTGTATCCGCTCCATGCGTTTGTTGAGTAATAAGTAACATTCTTTGAATTATGGTAAGCAATAATGACAAAAAATTAAATTTTCTTGCTTGTTATATTTGGCCCTAAGTTAACCTGCTCGTTTATATCTGTACATTCACAAGATGGTTTGGATAGGAAGCACGTGTTTTTAACCTTTATTTGTACATTGTGTTGGCTGGTGGTATAATCAGAAAGTTGAAACGTGCGACGTTTCTCATTTCTAGGCGTTGTCTGCGGCTCGTCCGTTAATTACTGTCTATAATGAAAAATCCGAAAAAGTGGATAATTCTAGTATTGCCTTACCGGCGGTATTTAAAGCTCCGATCAGGCCTGATGTTGTGAATTTTGTTCATCAGCAAATGTCGATGAATCACCGTCAACCTTATAGCGTAAGCGACAAAGCCGGTACGTTAATTGTTATTTTACATCTCATTTCTTTAAAATTAGTGAAAAATACAATTGTCGAACTTCTCACTGATTGCTAGGTTTGTATGATGATTTGCTTTTGGTCCGTGTTTATGATTTTTTGAATGATTTTTCTCAAAAGCACTGATAATGGATAGGTCTATACACTTGCATTTAAAAAAATCTACCAAAATTTAATGCTGATGGTTCGTAAATTTAAGGTCACCAAACCTCTGCCGAATCATGGGGAACTGGTCGTGCCGTCGCACGTATTCCAAGAGTTCGTGGTGGAGGTACCCATCGTTCTGGCCAGGGTGCTTTTGGCAATATGTGCCGAGGAGGTCGTATGTTTGCTCCCACTAAACCATGGCGTCGCTGGCACCGACGAATTAACGTCAACCAAAGACGTTATGCTCTTGCTTCAGCAGTGGCTGCTAGTGGAGTTCCTGCCCTAATCATGAGTAAAGGCCATGTGGTTGATCAAATACCAGAGCTTCCTCTTGTAGTCACGGACAAGATTCAAGAGTTGACAAAGACCAAACAAGCTGTCCAGTTTTTGCGCAGAATTAAAGCTTGGGCTGATATTCAAAAGGTAACACTATTTGGTCCAGTTGCTTTGCTAAGAATTGAAAGTTAAAATCATTACTTTTTGCTCTTGAGGGCATAACAATTGAAGCAAATTGTTGCTCCAGTGTATTACTTTGTAACTGTTTACATTTTCACAGCATACAGTACATAACAGTCTCAAACACCTGCAATAAATTTTAGCGTGTTATTAGGTTTGCTGGTTGCTTCGGTCTATTACTATTATTTCAATTTCAAGCACTTTTGATTTGTAATGCGGTAATACCTTTCTAAGCTTCACACATGTATGAGAGTGGTTTAATCTGCCTAAAATTTTAAGATTCACGGAACAACAGCTCTACTTATTTAATTTTGACAATATGCTAATTTTATACTATAGGGAAATAACTGTATGTAAACTGCGGTTGCCGTTCTTACACTCATAATATTCTTTGCTTTATTATAATTGAAAAATTTTTTCTTAACATTTTGTTTGTTTCTCTTTTGGCACCAAAAAACCTTTAGGTGTACAAGAGTCAAAGGTTCCGTGCTGGCAAGGGTAAAATGCGTAACAGGAGGAGAATTCAGCGCAGAGGACCATTGATTGTATATGATCAAGATCAAGGTATTTTTTTATCTCAGTTTTTAAATGCACCGGGATTACATATCTTCAAGCATAGATTGCTTGTGGGTACTCGCACTGGTGCAATAAAAAATTGCGCCACTGGGTACTTTTTCTTTACTTTCTTAATTGAAAAAGATTCAGGTGCCCAAGACAATTTAATTATCTAACTAAAAGTGGGGCTATTTTAACATGGTGTTGATAATTTAAAGGTTTGCGCAAGGCATTCCGCAACATTCCTGGCATTGATTTGGTCAGTGTTAGCAAATTGAACCTGTTGAAGTTGGCTCCCGGCGGTCATGTAGGTCGATTTGTTATTTGGACGGAATCCGCCTTCCAAGCTTTGGATAAATTGTTCGGTACTTGGAAAAAACCATCAGGCGAGAAGAAGGGTTACAATTTGCCCCAAACTAAAATGTCTAACACTGATTTGTCTAGATTGCTTAAAGCCGATGAAATCAAGGCCGTTTTGCGTCCTCCACAGTAAGTTAAGGATTACTTTTATTTAGTTGAAGTTTCAATTTTTTTTCCTGTCAATAGAAAGAAGGTTGTGCGTCGTGTGCGTCGCCTCAATCCTCTTACTAATACCAAGGCCTTGGTCCGTTTGAATCCATATGCAGCCGTTTTAAAACGTCAAGCAGTGTTGTCGGCCAAGAAAAGGGCCTTAGCTAGAGAAGAGCTGCTAGCCAAGAAACGAGGGGTTAGTTTTTATTTCAATGTTCAATTCAATTTCCATAATTTTTGCTATTTTCAGATTCAGTTACCTGAAACGAGTCCCGTCGTCAAATCAGCAAAGATTCAGGCTCGTAGGAGGGCAGCAATTTTGAAAGTTAAAAAAGCTAAGCCTTCAAAGCCCAAAGTGGCAAAGAAAGCTGCACCAACCAAAAAATGAAATGCTGTCTTGAAAGGTTTAACCACTGAATAAAATGGTAAATGTTCATCCTGAGTTTTATTTAAAACATCCCTTCCAAGACCCTAAGGTGATCAAATGGTATGCAAAAAATATGTAAACTGTATTATTGGAAGCAGCCAACGCTGTAGTGATCTTTTCAACAAGTAGTTATTTTGATCGAGTTGTGTTTTTTTATAGAATGTATTCTAAAATGTAGTTTCTTATTTTGTGCAAAACTTCTATTTAGGTATAGGAGCAGCGGGTTCAATTTAAAAATTTAAGCTATATTTTGAAAACCTATATGCGATTGAGAAATTTAAACTAATAAAATTGGTTTCAAAAGATGAGAAAATGGTAAATACAAAAGTTCTAAGGAGTGTTAGGATGCACAATTTCAAATTATTTTAAAGTATACAGGGCTCAAAGAAGCATGACGAATAAAACATCCATTCTTTTAAAGGGTACACCATATTTTTAAATGTTTTGAATTCGATTTAAAATTCATCTTTTTTTTATTAATAATAGTATATACATACCTACATACCTAATAGTTTTTCCAATATTTTTATTTTTCTAAAAAATACTAGTTTTCACGCTGGCCAAAAAAAATATGATAGCGCCATTGTTTTATTTGATATTAGCTTTATTCGAATGCAACGTAAAAAATATATGCAACGGAATTTCAATTAGATGCTGTGGATGTACAAAAGCGATTCGAATCTATCTGGATCATTTTAAATTGTCTTAAATTATCTTGATTTTCTTAAATGCGCACCATTTTATAACTATTTTTTTTCTGAAAGATTTTACAAATAACCTACAACTTTAATTTTGAATTCCTATATGATTGAGGAATTGTTTGCATTAAACTAATTAAATTGGTTTCAAAAGTTATGAGGAAATGATAAATACAAAAGTAAAAATTGTTAAGATGCACAAAAGCGCCACAATTAAAACACATTGTTTTAAAAGGTACTATTTTCGTTTTAAAAGTTTTCAACTAATCTTTACCTAATAGTTTTTTAATTTTTCTAAAAAAATACTAGTTTTCAGACTTGCTATAATTTTTTTTTAATTTTATTTATATTTAACGTAAAAATAGGCAACGGAAATAAACGAATATATTCGGATAATTTGAAATTGAAACATTTTGATTTTCTTAAATGCGGACCATATATATTAGTATTTTTTCTGAAAGATCTTATTTCAAAATTTTGGGATTATATTTTAACTTTTCCAATATTTACCCTTCTTTCTGTCTGAAACTATTGCTTGCTATAATATCATGACAAAACGATTGGCCAAATTTAGATTCAAAAATAAACAGGAGAAAGAACTTTCTTGGAGTAGTAGATGACGCAACAGACAGCAATTAGCAATTTTGGTGAAAATAACGGTCAAAAATGTTGGAAAAACTATTAGGTTTATTTATGTATTATTAATAAAAAAATTAAAGAATTTCATTTAGAAAAAATGTACCCTGTATGCTTTAAAATAAGTTAAAATCTCTTTCTCACCCTCTCTTTCTCTCTCTCTTTCTCTCTCTCTGTCTCTCCCCCCCCCCCCCTCCCTCTATCGTTAACTGACCTGTACCTGCGAAAGTTTTTGAGAAATTAATTCATAACTTGGACAGTTGAAGTATGTATTATCATAAGTGAAATAGATAAAAAGAATTTTGCATAAAATGCCAAACCAATTTATGCAATTTATGATGCAAGAACCAACTAATCAAATAAGCTTGGGTAGACCGCGTACTAAATCTTGGGTAGATTGCATATTAAACGAGCACAGTTAGTTTTAGTACGAATGAGAAAAGTATGTGTTTACTTTGGGACAAAATTTTATTTAAATAAACAGAAATAAAAAATATTACAGAGATGACCCGACAGCGAACTGCGGAACTCTACCTTACCCATATGTATAAAAAAAGGGGTTACTACTCTATCGGTTATCAAATAGCAAAGACACAGGACTATTTCTCTAATTCCATATCTTTCTATGTTTTGCAGGGCACAATTTATCGTGCCAAATTAATTAAAAAATCTTCGCCTTTAAAAAAGATACACCAAAAAGAGAAGGCATCTAAATTAAATTCTCGTAAATTAATATCCGCAGTTTATGTTAATATCGCATTTTAAGCCGAAATTTGCGTGGGTTTAGCGCTAGCCTTGATATTTTTATTTTTTCTTCGAATTGTTTTCTTGCACACGTTGTACTTAAGTTTCAGTGAAGTAATAGTTGTTGTATCTCATTGGATCATCGGTTTCATTATTTTTGTCTGATATTTACCATAAAAGAGCTATGTGTTGTCGCGGGTAATAATTTTATAAGCTCTTAAATTTTAAAATAGCTTTTCTTCCAGAATTAATCCGATATCAGACGAACTTTGAACGGCTTGAACCTCTATTATCTTACTAATTTCGCGAGAGCCTAGTGGGGGGTGTTTACATCCTTTGAATCTATCGTTTAATTATAACGGATTGTTTAGTGTCCTAACTATTATTAACATATTTTACTACCGATTTATTACGTGCGAGTTATCTTACAGTGTTGTAATGGCAAACAAGATATAAATGTCGCCATTAATAATCACTTATATTGTTATTCCGTGTCCTCGCGTAAAGCTTTAATGTCACTTATTGTCCCCGTGAATCATTCTTTTTGTTGTTATTTGTTTGTATTTAGATTTCTACTTAATTAACTACATAATTCAAGCGTTATTAATAGCTCGCTACTTGTGACACCCGGTGACTAACTTTCTTCATTCGGACCAACTTACCAAATATAGTGCAGGGAAGAAGGGGTGTGGTTTAAATAAAAAAAGTAGTAGGTATCTTGTAATCTGAAGTTCGTATTAACTTATCTGCCATTAAATCGGATAATTTCCATTATTTATAATGGACTTTCTGCGCAAGTTAATGGAACTGGTCTGCGAAGACCCACAAGATATGAGAGTCTGATTGCTGATTATTTTTCTGTTGCATAAACAACATTTCTATCTACATGATTTTTTTTGTTAACGTTTAATTTTTCAGGTTTTGTAATGTGCGTTGCTCATTTTTATTAAAACCTAAAATTTTTCATTAAATTACTTCATATCAAGGAAACAAATTATTTTTGTGCTAGTCACAAATATTCAATTATTAATGTTCAGCCGTGCTCAAACCGCGGTTGCGAAACGTTCCCAGACGTTTCCTGTACTTGAGTCACGCGTTTGGGAGCGATTGCTTGTTTTTGGAAGATATTTTGACTTTGGCTCCGCTTGTGCTCAATCAAACTCGTGCCTAAAGTATCGTTTTATAAATTGGTATGTTATATACTATTGCAGCAACAAGCTAACAAAATTATTAATAAATTTCAATCGTGCTTAAAACTGATTTATACAAATCGAAAATTTGAATATAATATATTATTGATATCTAGATAGGTGTTACACAATGTGTTGAAATCAGACGAACTTTTTGTTATTAATTTTATACTTATTATTAATAAATAGTTCTTCATGTTCTAAACTCGAAAATGAAGTCATCAGATCATTTTTTTCCAGTAGTATCCACGGTTTGCCATAAAATTTAAAATTGAGACTATCGAAAACTATTACATCCAATGTTAAAAAAAAAAATTCCAAGTAATTATACGCACATAAAAAAGAAGAACTTCGAACCGTTCATATTTTTAGCGAAAACCAACTATGAAGCGAATCAAGTGTCCGAAATTTGAAGCTACCGATTTCAAAAGTTTTTGATATGGTACAGGATGTGCCACTTATTCACAAAATCAACAAACCTTAATTTTGCCATAAAAACCCTGTAACTGGTACACAGTATATTGTCAGAAGGGCCCAGATAAAACCAAGAGGGTAATTTGTTTCTATGCTGACATTTTGACGTTTTACTAAGTCATCCTGAGGACGGCATAGAAACAAATTGGACTCTCGGTTTTGTTTGGTCCTTTCTAACAAGTACTCGCTAAGTACATATCTTTACCCCATACTCACCAAGAGTGAATACAATACCTTTTCAAATTCAAAGTAAATTCAATTCAAAAGTAAAAGAATTTCCAATGAATGAGAATAACCGATGAGTTAATTATTTCAATGTTGTTCTAGCGAATTTATTAAATAAAATATATTTAAATGTACAAAAAAATAAGACCTTGATTACCGGAGCTGTATTTTTTCATGAAATATGAATAATTCAAGTAAATTAGAACCCAAATTAAACGTAGGTAGGCCAGATAAATATTTTGACCGTCACAGATTTTGATTTTCGCCAGGAAACGTTTTTTTTTTATATTTTTAAAGTGGTAATTTTCTTTTGACCCTGTTTTGATCATATATATGTACGAAATAAATAAAATTCAGTTTTCCAAATTGAAAACTTATAATGTCACATGCCACACGTCAGTCAGTGAAAGTGTTCGTGTTGTTCTGCATAAATAGAAAAAATATAGAATGCAATACATTTGACAAAGTTTTTGTGTCAAAAGTTTATTTGGCTGGTTAATAAACAATTGCCAAAACAAAACTCGTAACTGCAATGCGGTTTGTTACGCTTGTTGTATAATTTACTCTTTTCTACTCCACGCAAAAATAACGCAAAAACTAATGGTCGTAGAAAAAGGATAGTGTGGAACACGTTTGCTAAACTTACAAATAAACTCCTGACTCAAATGCCGTTCACCATGAGCATACATTTAGCAACGACAATCATTGATTTGAAGAGACATGGAATATCTAGAGAGCCTACGTTCAACATTTGTATTATTTTGCCAGTACAGTTCTCCGAGGATTTACTTTTACGTCACTGTGTCGACACAACTTAAGCGACTAAACATTTTTTCGAAAAGATAGCTAACTAACCAAAACTAAGAATCCCAGCGGCGACCAATGAAATCAAAGCAATCAAGAGCTGTGTGTTTCTTAAAAACAATGCAAGCTTTTCAAACTTGCAGTTCTTAACCAAAAGCTCACAAAACTCGTCGAAATTATCGAAGAATTATTATTGTTCTCCAGTCATTTTTGGAAGTTAAATATAATTTTGGATTTCGTCAAATATAACTGTAATGGCACAGGCGTGACAGCGTGAGAAAAATTTTACAAGAGAAGTAATGATAATAATAAGACAATATTTTCAATATTTCAATTTTCAATATGTAAGTACAGGGTGGGCCAAATTGGACAATTTTGAAGGGAAACCCGACATTCTTTGGGAGATTATAAAATTAATGCCAAATTGGACCAAGGCTTTATAGCACAAGGGTATATAGTACCGTTTAGGTTATTTTCGCTGTAACTTTTTTTTTACGGAAAACATTTGTAAAGCAACTTTTAGGCATGTAATGTAATATTTGTAAAACTAATAGTTAATTATTTATCAACCGAAAAATTGATTTTTATATGGGACATCCTGTATATTTTCAAAATAATTAAAAAGTACTTCAATTTACCTTTATTAAAATATAGCATAGTTATTTTTTTTTGTTGATAGTTTTGAACAAGTATGCTTTGGACAAAGCAGCCATAATTGGTAGTTTTGGTTAGTTGTTGGGATATTATAGTTTCTTTCATGAAAGCCTAGAAGAATGCAGAAGGACAACCTAGCAAAACGATTTACCTTAAAAAAACCAAACAGGTAGACAAATTGACAAATAATAATAAATTTATTACTACGCTTCTGTCATTAGTAGTACCTTGCAGGACAAACAAAGTAATTTCCATTTTTTCCAGCTTCCCCCTAAATAAAATTAAAAAAAAGTTTATATACCATATTTCGAAAAGTTCACTGTGTTACTTCTCAGAGTTACTAGGACAGAAAGTGAATAATCCCGTATACTGAAATTACGTGGGATTTTTTTTTATTATAATTATAATCAGATTTATTGAAAGTCAAACAGGATATTAGATTTTGACCGGTTCATATGTGTTTACTTTATCCATTAATGTTCTTCATTTTTAAAAAGTTGTTAATTGAATATAATGAAAACACATGAAAACAAAATCACGGATTATTATTACACTTTGTGACCGTCGTGATTAAGACGGAATCCCCAGGACGTGCAAGTCCTGTGTTGAACTGGTCAGGCGGCATATTCATATAAGTATTCAAGTCTCTATAAATAGGTGAGACATTGAGATCCGCATTCAGTCAAGAATAATAACAATTTGGAGATAGACCGGACGGGACGTTAACGAGAATGTTAAGAAAATTTGCTATAACTGTGGCTGTGATAGTGAACCTGTGTAAGTGTAGTTTTCGATTTTTTTCTTCTTGCGGTTTGTATGAATACACCAATTAATGGCGTAAATAATATGTTTTTGTTAGTCCATTGTATTTCGAATTTATCTTCTCAGTTGAAGAAACAATTATATCATTATCCTTGTTTTGTGCTAATTCTAGTGCTTAGAGTAACGTAGTGTGAGGTTGATCTTCCTTTGGCAAATTCTAATTGTCGTTGCACCGTGCCGAATTTTTGCCGCTGAATATATACATGGCAACTCATTGAATTTTTGGTGTATAAGTTTATCAAGAAAATCTAGATTTTATGGTTTTATTTTTTATGCAATAACGTAATATAGGTACTATTCTTCGCTAATAATAATAATCGATTCTGTTTAAGGGCACCTCAAGATTAGACGATCCTATTTCCAAGAATTGTTAAATACGAATTTACCAATAAATCAAGAAACTTTTACCTCATGTCGTAGTAAATCGTTTGGTGGTTACAAGCATAATGATTTTCATTTTTTTTATGTAATATCAAGCATATAGGTATTAAGCATTTCTACTGTTCTTTACATATTTGTATGCAGTAAATTACTATAAAAGTAAATATCGGAGACAATCTAATTGTGCATGGAGTTTAATTTCTTAAGGTAATTAAGTATATATGTAAAACAATAACGATATGAAAAATATCATACCAAATGCTTTTGACATATTTCAATCTTGATAAATATTATATTTAATATTTGTAACAATATAATATTTTAAAATTATGAGTGAATCCAAACAACTTTTGTCTTTTTGTCTTTTTGATATATTTTGAATGTTCTAAGATAATGTTTATGCCACAAGAAACGGGCCACCCTATACATTCATTTTAGGATGTTATCTCCTTATGGACTTACGTTTTTTATAATTGCAACCACTTGTATTTGAATGTCTGCGTATTTTTTTATATTGGTATTGATTTTTTTCTATTACCAAAGAGGTTACCTGAAAATTGGTTATCAGATATTACGTTACACTTCTCATTTGTGCTTGTGCTTTAATTATTTTTTTCCTGATTCTTGCTATAAAATCTTTTCAATCCTTTTGTGCTGCTATTCTACTATAACTTACCGTTTTAAAAGTCTTATTATGTGCCATTTTAATATACTTAATTTTTTTTACGCAATTTTCTACTACTTGCATAGATGAAAGTAATAGCGAAATATAAACTCATAAGACAGAATTCTATTTTCTAGGTGCCCATAATACGAAAACGAGACAACGCAGACCTTATGCATGTTAACTGGGCACCTATCAACATTATTGATTACGTCAGCATATATTTAGAAAAACAAAATTTCAATTAAAAATCTCGCCTGAGCTGGTGAAGAAATGATATGAAACGCTAGTCAATGACGTTGTTAATGTTTTCTAAAAACGGGTATACCTATATATGTGCATATTATGCAGATAGTTGTATTTTCAAGCCATTGTCGTGTAAAAAAATATCTTTAGCAGCAGGCCTTGACTGGTTTGTGTAGTTCATTATTGTAGATGGTTTATAACTCCCGACACAAAATGGCTAAAGGGACACGACACTGATCCTTAAGTAAAACCTGTTTCAAAGCATTTAAAATGTTATTGCTTCTTAGTATCTTGGAATCCTTGTTTCATTAAAACCCTGACTTTTTGAACAAACCTCATCTTTAACGGACTTATTGAGATGTACCTATCAACAATCAATAATAAACAAATTTTGATGCGTCCTAACTAGATGCTTACTTTTTTAAATCTAACTTTAATAGGCAATTGCTCTTAGCACATTTAAACATTTTAATTGTCTTAGATAAATACCGATGATACACTGATTGGCAGTTTCAAATATTTTTTGGTTGAAATTAAAACTCTAAAAAGGAAGTATTAACCAACGAGAAAAGTAGACTTTACAAGATTGGTGTAATAATACTAATACTAAAGTATGGTGTGTCTCAAAGTGTAAAGACAAAGGTAAATATCGACTACGTGTATCTCAGTGGCAGTATCGAATAATATTTAATCTTTATATTTTTATAACACCTTAAAAGATATTCTGTGCTACAATACAAACAACTGGTTAGGTGTTTTTCTGCTGCTGGCTGGTTATTTCGATAATTGCCGTCACCTTAAAAATGCTAATTTCAATGATGTGCAATGTCAAATTTTTGCAATAAAAGATAGAAATACCAAAAAAGATTGCAGAAAATGTATACTTTTTGTCAAATTTTATTACTTTACTACAATAACCCAATATGCATTAGCAATATTGTGCGAAGTATGTCTGGATTAAGGATTGTAACCGAAAAATATGAAGAAAAAGGATCGACTTTACGAACATATTTAAGATGTTTACATTAATTTTTTTATTTGCCATGGGCGGGGCGAATGCTTTTATTATTTCTCACGCGGTACTTACCACAGGCGCCTTCTTTAAGTTCTCGAGGTCACCGCTCCGAAAAATATTTCTGGAGTTTGATAAGTCAAGGCCTCATTGTGAATTATTACTTGTTTAAACATTGACCAACGCTTCGCACGGAAAATTAATGCTCGGTCAAGAGAGTAACCTAAAGGATTATCTTGTTCATTAAAAATGCAGTGATTTGAAAGAAAAGGAGTATTTTTCGAGATATTTGTTTTTATTTAAATAATTGCAATATAAATATCTGCCGTTTCGGCCATAAATACATTGATGCAGATATTCGTGACAGGGCCGTGTTAAGGCAATAGGCAATAAAGCAATGCGGTAAAATATCATCCAAATTCTGTTTAAACTGGCACAATACACTAATAGTATATTATGCAAAAAGTGATTCATGAGTTTATTTGACATGAGCGGAGCAAGTGTTTAATAAACGAGTGAGTTAAAAAGTTTACCGAACGTGTTGCATACTATACTTTTTCTACTACCCTTAGTTGTTGGGTACATTTTCGCAAAACAACAAGAGTACATTCACTGAGATGACCGTCAGAATTGACAAACGTCAAAATTGAAAGCGTGGGCAATATCTCCGAAAATATCCGATTGCTCCAAACCAGTGGGAAACGAAACTGACGTGAAAAAGGGGCGCTTCCCGCACGCTAGATCGGTGTGTAATTAGGTACAGACGGGAGGAGAAAAAAGATATAGTAAGCCAAAATAATGTGATCTTGTTATGTATCATGGTACTAGATCCATCATGGTTACAAAAGAACCAAGCGAAATTGATGGGAGGAGAATACCAGCAAGAGTGGATAAACATGCTAGAACAAAGACAGACAAGTAATTTTGTGAAATGTAAAAATATATGTAGCCTACACCTACCTTGCTCAGATACTTTCGGCTACAGTAGAGTCCTGTCAACCTATCCTATCAAACCAAGTGGAAAACTCCTTGCCTACATCCGATTTTCACTGATAGTTCTGGTAACTGTAGGAGAAAAGCTCCGTTAAATAAATGGAAAAGAAATTACACGGGGGATTAGAAAACGGTGGTTTCCCGCAAAGAATGGAGAAACTTAGTGAGACGTGATCTGTTTTATTGTACTCAAATTCATTAAACTTTCATATTAACTTTAAAATTAGGGCTAGCAAAATTTATATCTAAAATTCAACATTATACATGGTAAAAGTAATGTTTAGCACAATAACAATCAATTGTTTTTATAAATAGGTTAAGAATAGTGTATTGATAGTTTTGGTTAGTTGCCTAAATTTTTGAGTATATTTGAAATTATTGTAATACTTATTAATGCCCAATTGCGTGTACATACCTATACAATGTAATTAAACCAATTATTGTGATAAGGATAGCTATAGAGAAACAGAAGTAATTATAGGAGAACTTGTAATAAATGTAAATGTAAATAAATAGGTATTTAAAACTTTGTATTGTTTTTATTGTTTGGGTTAATTTATTTGATCTACTAAATTCACACACATCATATGAGTATTAACACTATTTTATAAGGCATCAACTTGTTCTAAATTAAAAACAAAAAATTGCTGATTTTCTAATTCCACCCTCTGCCATTTGCTTCTTAATTAGATCTCGTTTATTTCTTTATTATTGAATTCGATTGCAACCATTAAATGGGAATAATAATTTTGATACATCCTATAAAAGCAAATCAATGAGCTTTAAGTCAAAAAATATAATCGTAATATTTACGCTTCTATGTGGGCAGATACCAGCATATGGTTAATGTAATAAATTTCTGCTTAGTAAGCATTAGATCACTGGTAATACTTATTTGTTGCAGCAAGTTAAGGTAAGGTATCGGATTTAGCTTTGTCAACAAGTCGCGTCGATACGAGCGCTGAATAAAACATAACCCAAATAAGTTTTGTCTCATAAACCGCTTCAATGAAAATGTGGTAGCCATGGAATTTTTTTTTAATGTCTATGTTATTTTAAACATTTAACATTAGACTTATATTTTTACAGCAAATGGATATAAGATCTCAGCACCTGGTGCCGTGAGTGGGAGCTTTAGTAAGTATAAAAAATATTTAGAATAAGATATTTAAGTGCGGGAAGGATATTTTGCAATTTTTTCATATTCGTATAAAAAAATGTAAAATTCCCAACTAAATTGAAGACATTGAAGCAATAATTGCTTGAACTAATGTTAAAACTGTTACCATAATTTATACGAGCTCACTGACTAAAATCTTAAAAAGCCAAAAATACTCATACAATTCTCCCTTTTTGTTATCGAAGCAACATTCGATTTCGGATTAAATTTGCAACGTCATAATACAAAACCCTCTGGTATTAGTTTCCTACACATATTTTACTCATTTCAGGTGGATCGTCAGCATCGTCATCGGCATCAGGTAACTTTCTACATTAATATAAGTTACATAGAGCCCAAATATCTTTTTTTTATGTTGGCATTTATTTTTCGATCAAAGCAGAAATCATTGATGATGTCCTCATGAAATGTGGTAATCGTGTAGTTATCAATCAATAACTAAGTTTTGAAGAAAGAAAGAGTTATTTATTTGGGCGGTTATCAAATTTAAATTGGGTTTTGGTTTCAATACTTCATGTGATGTGTTAGTTACCAAAAACATGTGCTATTTTTTAGCATACAGCAGTTCCAGTTCCAGTTCCTTTAGCGGATCCTTTAACGGGGACCTGAATGGAAATGAAGTGAACAATTTACTGGGTAATCTAAAGAGTGGCAATGCCGGATTTGTTTCAGCGGGTGCTTCCGCGCAAGCAGCTGCTAATTCAGCCGCCGAAGTAAGCACAGTATCTGATTCCGGGGTACATACAGGTAAACATATTATTACTTTTTTAAAACAATTAAAATTGCTCACTTCAGTCGATTATTAATGTGTACTCTCTGTGACCCTTTATCGGAGCAAGTGGTTTGATTTCAAAGTTGCGTGATTACTACAAGGATGCTAAAACACAAAAAATATATATATTTTTTGAAAATTGCCGCATTAACTTACAGTTTAAAAATGAGAAATTAAAACTTTCCGAGGAAGATACGTTCTTTTTAAAAAAGTGTAGAATTATAAAAATTGTTTTGTCGTTGGTCACTGGTTGAGTTTTATTTCTTTTCTATACTAGTTTTGCAGAGACTAAAAACAATTTTATTATGAGGAAACGTTTTGAGTTTGAGTGAAATAAAATAGGATTCAAATTTAATTGCAGTTGAAACTAGTAGCTTTTTCTTCTTCCAATGCCCATTTGTTCTGAATATCATCCTGGTTATAATGAATTTGTTTGTGGTTGTTCTGAAGAAATTCAATGGTGGGTTGGGAAGTTCTTAAATATATATACTATTTTTATTGTGCTTATTACTATTTAGCTAAAAAAATGAATCAATTAATTATATTTAACTATAAAAATGTGTTTATTCGATAACGAACTGGTTTGATTGATTTATGCAGGTTCATCTGGATGTTCTAATGGGAATAGCGGGTGTACTGGAAAATCGACTCTTAGTGGGGGAGGAACTCTTACCCATACAAACTATGTAATAGACGACCAAGTAAAAACCAATGGCGGTCTGGCCAGTGGCAACAGCAAAAACGCTGCGAGTTACTCAGCAGGCAGTTGTTTGGGATGCCGAGGACCATTTCCCGGTCCTAGTGGTAGCATTCACGACTATAAACTTGCCACTCCCTCACACAGCACGGCTACAGTGCAAGTACCGTCAGTTGTCCCAGCTGTGAACCCAATTTCAACCAGCAACATTTACTCGAGCAAGCCAGCTAATGCTGCTACTCCAATTCATTCGGTGACTTATGGAGAAGGACCCGGATACCATGGTTCTGTGGGCACCAATAAAGATTTCATTCAGACTTTGCCGGGATCTGCTGGAAGTATATATTCGAGCAAACCTGTCAGTCATATAGTGGAAAGTGGTTCGGCTTACAATACGGTACAAAATTATGCGCCGTCATATAGCGGCAACGTTGGTACACCTTCCATACCGATAGTTGGACCCGCGTGCAGTTATAGACCAGGATCGCCCCATAAAGAATGCGGTCCGTTGGGAAATATTGGTAGCTCTAACGTGGCAGTTTCCGGTGAGTTGATTCGACACTGGTGGAAGACAAATACACTAAGTTTAAAATCGCACTTAATTCAATGACCTGGAGTAATGTTTTGCTAAGCACCTATCAGGAAATGATATAAATTATTAATTAATTAATGTACCCAACCTAAGCATTTATAGTAAACTGCGGTAAAGCGACAATATACCACCATGTTCATAACGATTTGTTTGTTCTACACATCTACTTTACATTGCAATCATTACATTTAATGATTTGTATTCTGATTCTTGTTTCAAATGGGGGTCGTCATCTGTTCGTTATCCTCCGAAGGCGTAGATTGTTAAAGAAGGCCGTTTTTAAGTTTAGAAAATGTGGTTTTGGTCATGTAATTCGTGTAACCAAGATATCCCAACAATCCCTTCCACTCTTGCGTCCTTTATTATGACCTCTGCATCCAGTACCTGTCTACTAATTACCGATGGTTTTGGTTTTATATAGCAATGTTAATTTGTAGCCTATGCTGCTGTTCCATATCATTTCTATTATTTAACATGTATCATAAGTCTTCGAAATATTTTTTCGACCTAGATGTTAGAGAGCAATGGTGAGAGGATGCATCCTAGACGCACACCTTTTAATACAAATGACTCAGTTGTAGTCCGATCATTATTCGTTTTGGCTCATTGGTTAAAGTAAGGAAAGTAAAAAGAAATTAACTTTAACTGATCGAAAGTAGAACCCTTTTTTGCTTGATTGAATAGTTAAGTTTATGTTATCTTAGTTTATATTATCTATTAGTGGTGGTTGTAACTTTCGGGTATGTTCAGTCAATCATTCTATCATTTAGCATCAGTCCCAGGCACTTTTCCCGGCCCCACTGGAAGCATTCACGACAGTAAACCGGCACATTTGACACCGTTGCAACACGGCCACGTGACTGGAAATATCCACAATGTTCATGTCGATTCAGCAGCTGCCGCAGAGGCCGCATCTCAAACCGGTGGCGCAGGTGCCATTTTCTTCTCCATTTCGTCGTCACTTTTAAACTTACATTCCAGTTTTAGGGCATCATACCCCTGTGGTTGAATCTACTCCCGGAATATACTATATTATCAAAGAAAAAGCGCCAGTCATTTCTCATGATTTGCAAGCACCGTATGCCCATTCGCCAAGTATTTCCGCTCAAGTACCGTGTAGTACTATCGGGTGCCAGAACATTCAATTCAACTGCAATGGGGCCGAGTGCGGAAATACGGAAAACACTCCAGAGATACTTCTGGGACCTGGAACGGGACATTTACCTATAGAAAAACCAAGTACATCATTGGAAAGTCAGGGTTCCTATGGAAGCTCGACGACCGCATCTAAAGAGGGGCCGTTAACATCGGAAAAGTTTCCAGGACCGACTGGAAGCATCCATTCCAGCAAACCGATCCACAACGTAGTAGGTGGTGCGAGTAGCGTAGCACAAGCCGGAGCTCAAGCTGGAGCCGTAAGCTATTCGGAATCTGGTAAATTTCCTTTCACATTTTTTATTTCGAGACTACGTCGGCAGGTTTGGATCGTTTTTCAGGTAAATTCCCGGGACCTGTTGGAACAATTTACGATAGTAAACCGATTCCTAATGTAGTTGGAGAAGGAGGAGCTTTGGTAAGCGGTCATGTTGCTGCTCCAAGTCATACGGAAACAGGTGAATTTAATGTGTATGGTTATTTTGTTCAAAGCGGCATTATATGTATGTTTTTTAGGCAAATTTCCAGGCCCTATTGGAAGCATCCACGATAGTAAACCGATCCAGAATGTGGTCGAGGTGGGGGGAGGGGCAGGAGTTAATGCTGGTTCTGCTGCAATTTCAGGTAATTTAGTATGGCGCACAATTTTTATTTGATTACCTATTTACGGTTACAAAAAATAGTCACATAATAAATGGGCGAGATTCAGTACATTTTGATCTGAAAAACGAAAATTCTCTTCTTAAACCCCACCTCTACCAGCGGATAAACATTCTAAATTATCATATAGCCGGTATAAAGCTAGTAGGAATATCTGCAACAACTATCACATTAATTATGATCTAGTATGTGAGCCTTTTATGATAGATGGTCTGGAAATTACAAGAACCTACTCCGATGTCTTGACGATTTATAAAATTTTGAACGGTATATATAGCTGTCTGACTCAACTCTAGTTCCTTGGTTTTAACATCTATCAATGACGTCAGAACTCCCCAATGTTTTGTTTTCCATTTCATTAAGTCGACTAGGGCTATTTTTCGCCTTTAACTCGAGCCTTGAGGTTATTTAAGAACTGTTGTCTTGATTCTTTGCTAGCGGTCTTCGACCATTTAAGAGAAAGTTAAAAGGAGTGGTTGATTTTAAGTAGCTAGTGTCATACTGTTTTTTTTTAATTAAAAAAAGGTTTATACTTATTTTGGTGTTTTGCTATGTTGCTAATTTAATTTATATTTATATTGTTCTTTTTTGTAAATTGACTCAGCTGTTGAAATAAATAAATTAATAAATGTCCCAGATCGTGGGACAGTAAAGAGTTTACATAATTCTCATATATCACAGTAGAGTTTCCGAACCATATTTGATATTTGGTACATGAAATTTATTTAATTGCGCATAAGAGAAACAAAGTGAAAAAAATTGTCAGACAGAGAGAAAAACAAAAATGTATCTTAGAAACAGTCAAGGGTGACCCCAAATACTCGAAAACTTTTTGATTTAAAATAATTAAAAAAATATACCCCCTCACCCTCTAAAAAAAAGGCGAATATAAAATACCTCTAATAACTTAAAATATAAGTTTCCCAGTTCCCAAAAGTCAATTAAGGATGAAGCAAGTCGAAAGTGGGCGGCTAGTGATGCTAGTTTACATATAGGTGGTAGTTCAACAAAAATAAAAGGTTCTACAGTATGAAACATGCAGTGAGGACAAATTAGTATAATGGTGTGAATACAAAAATTGTCGTAGATATAGATTGGCAAGCACGTGAATTATTTTATTTAGGTCTTTATTAAGTATATTGTCCGCTTACTTCAGCTGTATATTCTATAATATAATATAGTATATTCTATAATAATGTATCCCAATGACAAGTCCATCAACAACTGGATTTTATAAGCAAAAGGCTTGACCGATGTCAAATATCATATTTATTATATTAATAATTATTGTCCCTTGTATTGAAAAAATGGAAATACAGAACGGAAGAGTTTAAGTCTAGTGCCAGTCCTGCCAAGGTATATGTTTTTTTTCTTAATTTATCATTTTTTAGTAATTTAATTTGACATTTATCGGCAAAATATGTTTCTCCAAAATAATTTGACCAACGTTACTAACCAAAATAACCAAAATTACCAAAAATGCGGTTACTCTAATAATATTTGTAGCTATAAAGTATGCCCTAAGTTACACATTATCAAGCAACAGGCACTACTATAAACCGAAATAAATGTAGCAAATGCTAGTCGTTAGAAAGATAGCATCGACACTGAAGCTTAACTCTCGAAAAATGTTGATAATTTTTGAAAGTCATAAATGAAACACGTCTACGTATACGTATACAATACAACCAAACTAACCAAAATTACCAAAAATGCGGTTATTCTAATAATATTTGTAGCCATAAAGTATGCCCTAAGTTACACATTATCAAGCAACAGGCACTACTATAAACCGAAATAAATGTAGCAAATGCTAGTCGTTAGAAAGACAGCATTGACACTGAAACTTAACTCGCAAAAAAATGTTGATAATTTTAAAAGTCGTAAATGAAACACGTATACATATACGTATACAATACAACCAAACTAACCGAAATTACCAAAAATGCGGTTATTCTAATAATATTTGTAGCTATAAAGTATGCCCTAAGTTACACATTATCAAGCAACAGGCACTACTATAAACCGAAATAAATGTAGCAAATGCTAGTCGTTAGAAAGACAGCATTGACACTGAAACTTAACTCTGGAAAAATGTTGATAATTTTAAAACTTATAAATGACACACATATACGCATACAATCAAAACAGTTTCATCAAACAAATTCATCAAGTATGAATGCGCTTTATAGACTGGTTTAGGGTTGACACTAATACAAAATTCAAATTTCTACATCGAACAACTTGATACATTAATTTTGAATTAAGGTTTCGATATTAATGTAAATTTTCAAAAGTTTAGTTTCATTTTCTGCATTGGGCATCACATTTATTAAACAGAACTTTCTTATTTTCATTTATAGAATACAAGGCGGGTAAGTTAAAGGACACCCTGTATACTTAAATTGAATTTATTTTCCTATACTCGAAGTTATTTAAATGAGATGAAAATATTTACTGTCATAATTGTTACATAATACCTAATCAAATTGATCCAGCTATTAGTTACACTTATACATATTTAGTTATAATATAAAATAATATGCACGTTCCGAATAGATTCAAGGGTAATATTTTGGCTAGCCTTCGTTCCTTGTTTTACCAATATTTCAAAGCAGTATTATAACGTCCACTTGCTATGCTCCGCCGGATCAAACTCGTGACTACAATGAATATTTTCGTGACCATAGCGTTTTAATTTTTACAAATTTGAATTGCCTTTCAGGAACCTATTCTACATTGACGCCGGTTAAGTACCCAACGTCTCACTTCCCAGGCGGAAGCGGAAGCATTCACGAGAGCAAACCAGCTTCGAATGCCGCCGAAGGTTCAGCTTATTCTGGAAGCGCTCTATCTACCCAAGGTAAATTTTTCTGAAATATTCGTTGATTTTTTTTTGTACAATAAAATTGACTTGATGCACTTGGCAGTAAAAATTTTTAAATATTGATATTTGATTTGGAATTATTTGTTGCACTTTAAAAAAATATATTTTTGAAATTATGAGATAAAGTAGTCCAGTAGTGAAAATGTGATGTTGAAAAAATAATTTATAACAAAAAGAATAATTGCAGAAAAAGCTAACTAGACTATGTACCGTGCATTCAATTTATCTTGATAATATTTTTTAATTGGCTGTAACTTTTTTGTTTTAAGAGATATTAAGATAAACAAAAAAACAAGATGCAGGGTTAGTAGCCCAGTTTTTTCCCCAAAGGACGTATAAAATAAAACACTATCAATTTTCTAACATATAAGCCTACATCATATATTTTTTAAATGGAACACCCTGTTGAAAATTGATAGTGTTTTGTTTTATACGTCACGCGGAAAAACTTGGCTACTAACCCCACATTTTGTTTTTTTCTTTACCTTGATATCTCTAAAAACAAAAAAGTTACAGTCAATTAAAATGTTATCAAGATAAATTGAACGCACGGTACAGTTTTTGTTTCACTTTGATTTAAGCAATGGTCGTGTTTAGAAAGATGCACTTTTTAAAAATCACAGTTATGAACAATTTTCCTATTTAGCAAGACTCCCAGCATTAACCCTCAGACATATTATTTGCCCGAAGAATTAAAAGTACTGGTATAATTAGTTAAAACAATTAAGAAAAATTAAATAGAATGGGCAATATGGGCTTGAATATTGATTAAAAGCATCAGTGTACATTAAATTATTCCGTAAAATGTTCACCAACTTTTGGAAGAGTTTTATGGCTAAAGTCATCAGTTAAATTTTATTGCACATAACCAAAACTAACGAAAATTTGAAAAATCACTTTATACAGGATGTGAACAAATAGTGTACCGAATTCAAATGATAATTTATATAATGTGCCAAAATCGCTACTAACTATTGCTCTCTATCGAGCCGTATTTCGCTTTCATAAATCGGAGATCCTTCTCCCGTTGAGTATTGAACTTTCAAATCACACGTGTACTTTTGTGTGTACTTTCCCACATTACGCTATTTTTTTAGCACCTGCTGCATCACCAAAATGTTTTTGTATATTATTGACAACTGAACAAATATTTACAGATAAAATAGTATTCGATTACCCACTAAGTGGTAGCGGTATCCCGTGCTTTTCGGGTTCGTGTGGTGGATCCGATTCCGGATATGCAACCGGCCAAGTTACTATACAGAAAAACGATGGATCCCTTGTGTCAGGAGAGGACGATTACAAGCTCGCTGGGTATATCGGTTGTACCGGAATTTCGTGCAACAATGCGGGACAAAAGTTAAGTCCGTTCGGTTTAAACAAAAATGGTGCTCCTTTGTTATCGGCTGACGTCGATTTAGGCGGCTATGTTGGCTGTACGGGAAGCTCTTGCAAAAATGCCGGACAAAAATCTGGCTGTTTGGGAGCTTGCACAATGGATGGCGGTGCATCCAGTAATAATGGTGCCTCCGAATCCGGTCCTGGTCTAGTATCGGGAAATAAATCCGACTGCTCAGGAGGATCTTGTTTTGGAGCAAACCAAGCATCTGGTCAAGATATTTTTGAGGTAGATTCGAAAAACAACCAACATTTATTATCTGATTCCATTGCTGGATCGTATTCGGGAACACAGTCCGGAACCGAGCAGGTAAAACATGGATTTGCTAGTAGCAATTCGTTCGCTTCGGCTGGAAGTGCGTCTGGATTCGGGGGAACCCCACATTTTGGTACAGGCAGTGCGGCCCATGCTGGTAGTGCGGCTCATTCTGGTAGCGCCGCCTATTCCAAAGCCGGTGCGTTTTCAGGCAGCTCAGCAGGTATTAAATGGGAAAGCATTTAGTTTTATTCAGGCCGTTTGAGTTTATCCTTTTTTATAGGGTCGTATTCAAGCGCCAGCGCCCACGCTAGTTCATTCGCCAGTGCTTATTAGTCTTTCCATGCTGCATCCCTGCATTTATTTTCGCATATGGAATTGCCAAAAATTGTGATTTTTTTATATAAATATAGACTAAGTTTCGAAAGTAGTGTTAGTTTCATTCAGAAAAAACCAGAATCTTAGTTGTTCACCTAGAAGTTGAGACCGTTAGTCAAATGCAGGATCTTTCAAACTCACCTCTCAAGGTTGGGCATTGAGTCGGGGACGAATATACAGGGTAGTTCTAATAAGTGCTACGATAAGTATACTATTTTAAAAAATTTGAAAAACCTTAGATAACTCCGGAAATATGGCGAAAAAAGTTAAATCTATGCTATTCAAAACTGTAGAAGCTCAGTACGAAGGTCTTCAACCTGAGAAATTACCTTATTTTTGACTTACACAAGACGTAAATTTCAAAAAATTCCATGCAGAAGGATTTGTACATTTTTTCTAGTTTTTAACAGTATATTATGCAAAAAGTTTCAGAAATAATACTTTATTCACGAGTTTGTTTTCACACGAACACACCGAGTGTTCAAGAACTTCATGCTGTCATTAGAACTGACATTTCGTGTTTAAAATCTGGTTAAAACATACCATCTTTTCCAACCCATGACTAAAGTACAGGAAACCCCATTTTTAATAAAGCTGACGTTTAAAAGTGACACCATGTTTATGCTTAATCAGGGTATAATCGGGTATTTTAAAGTAGGGTCCGGAGTATAAAATCAGAAACACTGGTAGATATAAAGAGATTTTATTAACAAAGTATTTTTAATTTATAGGTAAGCTTAACTTAAAGCGGAGCTCGTTTTGCTAATTCCATGTTCTTGCGTTTGAATTTGCTAAAGAAAAACCTAAAAATATCAAAAAAATGATGATCACAGTGCCAATAAATCGTAGTTTTAAATGGAAAACAATAGATGAAGATATTAAAATGTATAATAAACTTATTTCAACATACTTCCCGGTCCTTGAGCTGCAAATCCTGTACTATCAGTACGCCGTTGTACATCTGAAGCAGCCTTAGCCTCAGTTCCGGTAAATCCTAAATAACCAAAAGGACCAACGCCAGAAGTTGCCTTCGCTGCAGCGTTGGCTTGGGCACCTTGAAATCTCCAGCCTTCTAAGGAACGTGAGTTAGGTGCAGAATTAACCTGAGTTCCTGACGATCCTAAAATTCGTATAAGACTTATGTCTCCAGTACCAGTGCTAGCATCTCCACTACCAATAGCGTTAAATTGACCTCCTCCCTTTGAACCATGTAATGCATTCGAACCATCATTAGTATTTACACCAGTCGCCGCTAATCCTCCCATTAAATCCATACTAGAAGCTGCATTTGTACCAGCATTGGCTTGTGCACCACTGGCTGCAAATCCTCCCATAAAATCGACACCGGAAACTGTATTTGCAGCAGCATTTCCTTGGGAAACCCCGAGATCTAAATTTTCTAAAGTACCGGCATTAGCAGCTCCGTCAGCGATGGCATGATCTCCCCCATTATGTTCGTAGATATTATTTGCCCCAACTTTAGCTTGAGCGCCACTGGCTGTTAATTCTCTACTGAAATTGACTCCAGAAGCTGCATTTGCAGCAGTATTTGCTTGGGAATCTCCGAGTCCTAAACCTCCCAAAGTACCAGCAGTAGCAGCTGCATCAGACATGGCATGACCTCCCCCATTAAGTCCGTATACAGTAGTGGCACCAGCATTAGCTTGTGCGCCACTGACTGCAAATCCTCCCATGAAATCAACACCAGAACCTGCATTTGCAGCATTTCCTTGGGAAACCCCGATTTCTAAATTTCCCAAAGTACCACCATTAGCAGCTCCATCAGCGATGGTATGACCTCCCCCATTATGTCCGTATACATTATTTGTACCAGCAGCTTGTGCGCCACTGACTGCTAATCCTCGCATGAAATTGACATCAGAAGCTGTATTTGTGGCAGCATTTACTTGCATGCCGCTGGCTGCTAATCCTCCCATAAAATCAACACCAGAAGCTGCATTTGTAGCAGCATTTGCTTGGGAACCTTCGAGTTGTAACCCTCCCAAAGTACCAGCATTGGCAGCAGCTGCCTCAGCACTGGCATGACCTCTTCCACTATGTTCGTATACCGTATTTGCACCAGCATAGGCTTGGGAGCCGCTGACTGCTAATCCTCCCATAGAATCAACACCAGAAGCTGCATTTGCAGCAGCATTTGCTTGGGAACCTTCGAGTTCTAACCCTCCCAAAGTACCAGCATTAACAGCTGCCTCAGCACTGCCACGACCTCCCCCACTATGTTCGTATACCGTATTTGCACCAGCATTGGCTTGGGCGCCGCTGGCTGCTAATCCTCCCATAAAATCAACAGCAGAAGCTGCATTTGCAGCAGCATTTGCTTGGGAACCTTCGAGTTCTAACCCTCCCAAAGTACCAGCATTGGCAGCAGCTGCCTCAGCACTGGCATGACCTCTCCCACTATGTTCGTATACGGTATTTGCACCAGCATTGGCTTGGGAGCCGCTGACTGCTAATCCTCCCATAAAATCAACACCAGAAGCTGAATTTGCAGCAGCCTTTGCTTGGTAACTTTCGAGTGGTAATCCTACCAAAGTATCAGCATTAACAGCTGTCTCAGCAATGGCATGACCTCCCCCACTATGCCCATATACCGTATTTGCACCAGCATTGGCTTGGGCGCCGCTGGCTGCTAATCCTAGCATGAAATCGACTCCAGAAGCGGCATTTGCAGCAGCATTAGCTTGGGAGTGGTCGAGTTCTAACCCTCCCAAAGTACCAGTTGTAGCAGCTCCGTCGGAGATGGCATGACCTCCCCCATTATGTCCATATATATTATTTGTACCATTAGCTTGTGCGCCACTGACTGTTAATCCTCGCATGAAATTGACTCCAGAAGCTGCATTTGCAGCCGCATTCGCCTGGGAGTATCCGAATGGCGCATGCCCCAAAGTACCAGCATTAGCAACACCTTGAGAACTTCCAAAAAACGGATTTGCAAAAATCTGGGATCTCGCGTTGGCAGCTGCAGTTGCGATAGAATTGGAAGCGCCTCCAAATGCTTTTGCTTGAGCGTCAGTGATAGCCCCAAGTGTTTGGGAATATTCCTTGTTCAAATTTGCAGCAGCAGCTGAAACCAAATTTGTTTTAAATTAATTAGCTGTATGATAGAAATTTAAAAAATATACGGGGAAAATCATGTCATGGAACTGGCAATAATTGAAATGTATACGACACCACAGCTGCTTACCGCAAAAAATTATATAATTTATGACTAATAAAATTGAATAAATTATGCAGGAGAAATTAGACACGCAAAAAATGTAATCATACCTCCAACTCTATCGAAAAGCTTTCGTATATTCTGTGTACCCTTGTAATAATCCGATCCAGCACCGGCTGCAGCATTTGCTCCGGCAGCTCCAAAAAATGGATTTCCTAAATAATTAGAACCTACGTTACTCACTTGTTGCCAATGACTGTACTTGAGTTTCAATAATTGAGGAACGAATTGTTTTGGATAGCGCTTTATTATAATTTATAATCTTATCTAAAATAAGCAATTCTGTTAACGTTAGGTTTTTCATGTTTGTAGAAGTAATGGATTCTGTAAAACGTTTTGATTTGATTTGGTTATACGAAATAAAAAACATAATTAAATAGGAAATGCTTCTTTCAATTCTATTGCAAAAATATATATTAAATTAATTAGTTCTTGGTAAATTAATATTTGCTTTTCACCTATAGGTGCAGAATTAGCGGAACCAAAGGCGTCAGCACCAAAACCGACACTGCCTCCTCCACTTTTGGCACCAGCAGACGCTGAACTCAATGCACCATGTTGCGTGTTACCGTAACTTACGGCACTAGCCTCAGCGCTAGCTGATGAGATTGATCCAATGGCAGTTTCCGCAGCTAAAAAAGAACAAAATCCCTTAAAGATTTGTCAAAAATGTTAAAACGCCATTTCTATAATTATCACTTTTAAATCTAGTTTCTTAGTTGCCATGGAAGCAACTCGGAAATGTCAATTATTAATGACAATAAATTAACTTTTTCTACTCCCGTCTGTAAAATACCTAATTACGCACCGATCTAGCGTGCGGGAAGCGTCGCGTTAGTTTCATTTCCCACGAATCCGAGCCACTTCGGACATTTCCGGGATTTTACCCCACGGGTTTGGGAGCAATCGAATGTTTTCGGAGATTTCCCACGCTTTGAAGTTTGACGTTTGCCATTTCTGACAGTCATGTCATTGAATGTATTTGTGTTTTGCGAAAATGTACCCAAAAACTGACGGTCGTAGAAAAAGTATAGTATGCAACAAGTTAAGGTTTTCGAACGAAGGATCTCGTTTTTAAAAAACATTTTTTTGTTTTACAAACAGAACTACGAGGTTTTATTTAACCCGTTACAAGGAGAACTGAACGCAAAGTACAAAGTTGTTATATATATAAAGTTTTTATGCAAGCGTCGCGTCGCAGATACTGGGAATACTGAAGCTAGCATTTCATCAGCATATTCTATCACATAATTCCTCCCTCCGAAGTGGAAAACAACAGGGACGAAGGGTTGTTTTCGGAAGACTGGTCGTTCTTGGTTTTCTTGGAATCTTGCAGCAAATGGCTCTTGTAGATTTTCCATGCTATAACTATTAACAAGATTAAAATAAACATCATTCCTGTTGAAGTGGCGAGACTCCAAGTGACTGGATGAATTTCATAACCAATGTCGGGGATCGATGATTTCGCAGCTTCTCGTAGTTTTTTGATCGTATTGAGATCAATCGATTGTAGTTGGAGTGGCTGGTACTTTACATCGTGATGTTCCATATTTTCAATTTTAATGGGTGGCAGTGAGAATGGGTTTGCTTTAAAAATTTCTTCTTTATTCCAAAGCTCAGTATTTTGGGTACTTATACCACAATTATATGGAACATTGATTAGGCAGGCTTCTTCAATAAAAGCTATTTCTTTGTTTTGACAATTCATTTGTAATTTAAGTTTCTGTTCCGATGGTATTATCAAAACAAATCTACTAGTGATTGGTCGTATTATATGCGTTGAAACATTTACATTGACTACGTGGCAATTTTTGTTTTCGGCATATTTAATGAGGGTTGTCACACAATCACCGATGGGCTGGGTAAGTTGATTTTCGCAAACGTAGGTGTCTTCAATGATTGGGCAGATTGATTCTTGATATTGTTGCATGTCAGTGCCCAATATTAGGTATAATTAAGGAGTGATTCACAGGTACTGGGAACAGGTGGAATATTTCAAAAATATCTTTAAGAAAAATCGGAATATGGACGGCAAAAATTATTTTATCTTTTGTAAATTTAACTTGTAAGTTTGCTAACTGATTATAATTATTTTGATTTTCAAAAATTAGAATTTGATTATCACCATAAAGAACAGTCAATTTAAAAATTATTTGTTCTAATTCAGCCGCCGATATTACTACAGGATGTAATGTGTTTAATTTCGCAAATGTAATGGCATTTTCTAAATTATCCAAAAAAGTTATAAAACTTTGGCAATTTAGAATAATTTGCATTAGTGTATTTTGAGCCTTAATGAAAGTAGTTATGTCAGTAATAGTTTTATTTGAATTATATTCAAAAATGTCTATATGTTTTTTAATAGCTTCTTGATTTTTCTGTAGAAGTGTTATAGTATCATTATAGTTGTCAATCAGCTGTTGAATCAACGAGGTTTGCTTTTTTAGTTGGATGTCAGATGAATGTTTACTACGCACAAGTTCTGTGATAATTTTATCGTATTTTTGTCCATCCTCTGAATCGAGAGTGCCAAAAAGCCATTTCGATAATTTACCTACAACATTTATTAAACCTCTTTTTGTACGGTTATTAGGTTTTATGTTACCAAGTTTAAATTTTACTGAAGTAATTAAATATCGAACATTATTAAGTAAATTATTTCCATTAATATAGTGTACATTCTGATAATTATTTTTATTTGTATAGTTTAATGATTTTGAGATTACAGCGTAAGCGTATTCTAAATTACGTAATTGATTAAAAAGTTGAGATGTTTCTACAAAATGCAAAAATGTATGTTGATGTTGAATTATTCGAGCATTTCCTAAGCGGAAGGGGAGAAGTGGTGTTTTAATTGGGATAACTTCAATATCATTATTCGCTATCACTAATAACAGCGTAGCTGCAAGAAGGAACAGCGTTGTCCGGTTCATTAACCTGCGAAGAAGAAAAAGCTTTAGGTTTTTGGATCTGAGATTTATGAATTATTTTTTTATTTTTTGTAATAATTTTATTCCCAATATCTTGATCTATAATAACAGGTTTTCTTCGGGGTTTGTCCTTACTACGTTTTGCTGTTTTGTCAGTAACGTAAACCTTTGTATTTTGTTTCATTTCAGGTGGATTTTCTCGTTTTTCGTTTTGTTTTTCATTTAAACGTATTTTTGTTTCTAACGATGTTTCGTAAATTTGTTGATAGATAGTTTTTAGTCTTTCACGTCTATCTGCGATATAATTATTTACAATGATTTCATCCGTTAAATCAAAGGGATCTAAACCGTTTACTTTTCCATTAATAACGTCAAAAGGTTTTTGTTTTGTTACGCTATGCATTGATGAATTATAACCTATAATTGCGTATTTTATTAAATTTTTAGGGGCTTCTTTAGGTTCTTTTAATTTTAATACCCTATATAGTTCAACAAGAGTCGAGTGAAATATCTCTATTGCACTATTACTATTAGAATTGCCCGGAGTTGTAAAATGAATTGCAATTTTATGCAATTTACAGAAATCTAAAAGCAAAGACGTTTTAAATTCCGTACCATTATCACACGTTATTTGTTGAGGTAGGCCGTGATGACTTATAAAGGTCGCTAAACCGTCTAAGATAGCAATTGCTGTGCAAACGGGTTCTAACGGATAAGCTTGGGCGTACCGTGAAAATACGTCTATAATTGTAAGAAATTTTACGTTACATATTTGAAAAGTATCCATATGGATGGATTCTAATGGTTCAGAAGGGGTCGGTGTCAACATAAACTTTAATTTTGGTGGATGTCGATCATATTTTGTTTGTTGGCACGTGTCACAATTATTAATATATTCAGTTAGGTCAGTTTTCATATTTGGCCAATAATAGAGCCTTTGTAATGCTATTAGGCTTTCATTAATTCCTCGATGACAGGTTTTTTCATGATGATATGCAATTAGGTCTTTTTGTTTTGTCCTGTCAGTGACGTCAGTTAAAAGAGTTTTCGATATTACCAATTTGTAAGCACGGTTTTTAAATGTATTTGGTAACAAAACAGATAGTTCTCGATTTAAATCTATTTCGGTGTTTTGTACATAAAGGCAGTACATTTTTGTTGGATCCAAATAATTTAAAAAGAATTTAATTATTTCATTTTGATAGTTCTGACTTAAATAAACAGAAAATCTAGATTTATTTTGAAATGGGTAACTCCTAATCACGTGATAACGATCGTTTGTTTTTTGGTTAAATATTATTTGATTAGAATAAGTATTTAAACTATTTTCGGTAATTGGTATATTTAATATTGGATCTTCAGCTGCTGAGTGTACTGTCTCACCAGTATTAGGAATATTTGGCGGTTTAAGTTGAATGTCCGAGATGATATTAATTTTTGGAGTGTTTACATTTTCTAGAGGGTTAAACACGTCTTCAATTTGTTCCAATTGTTCAAGGCTTATATTTTGATCTTCTTCATGTATGTATTTATCGATATCTTCATTAATATCTCCAGGATTTCCGAAAAGTGACTCTTTATCTATCATATTTAGTTCAAAATTTTCTTTATGAAAGTCCGGAAAAGATAAAACATTTAGAGGTTGTGGGAAATTTAACGTTATATTTTTCTCAGTGTAATTAAAAACTTCTGTTTGCGCAAAACCGTTTTTTGCAGTAGTAAGTGTTTCTGGAAAATAGAGACCTTCAATGACTTGCTCGGGAATAATAACATCATTGTTTTGTGTTACTGGAATTCTTACGTTAACAATTTCGTGTGCATTCACAGTAATACAATATACTTCGTTTTGTGGTTGTCTAAATAAAATTGGTATATTAGTTGTATTATTCCTTAATTGTTTATTGACAAGATCGATAGAAAAATTAAAACGTTTTAGGTCGTTTAATCCTATTATACCGTCAAAGAATTTATGAAAGTCAAAAAGAATAAAAGATAGGTTGGTATTAGCCTTTAATTCTGGGAAAGCCGGAATATCTGCTTTAAATAGAGTTTCCTTTTCACCAGTTCCTGTTTTAATAATAGTTGGGGAATGATATATTTTTTCATAATAAAATTTTTCTGCAATGGAAGGTCGAAGAATCGAGTGAAAACAACCAGTATCAATTAAAAGTTTAATTGCGGGTTCTTTAATCTGGATGTACGGTAAACTATTATTAATTTCAGTGTACATTTCTAATGTCATTTCGTTGAGTC